ATTTTATTTATTATAAATATATATCCTTATTTTAATTTAAAGGTTTAAACTTAAAATAAGCTATAAAATAAAAAAGAGGATATATTTTATTATAATTAAAATATACCTTCCTTTTATTATTAAATTATTATCTAAATAAAAAAAAATTAACTTTAATAATTAAAAGAGTAATTTATACTATTTATTTCTTTTAACTTTATTTAAAGTATAATATTATATTAATTATCTCTTTTAAAGTAATTATTATTTATATTATAATTTTAATTATATTAATAATTAAAATTTTAAAAGTATTAATTTCCTAAATTATTAAAAAAAAGTTAAATTTAAATTTAAAACTATTAATAAATTTTTTAATAATATATAAATATAGTTAAGTTAAAGTTAAATTAAACTTAATTATATTTATTTAAATCTATTATAATATAATAGTAAATTAAATAATATTATTAATAGATTTAAATATTATTTCTTTTTATTATTAATAATATTATATAAATTAAGCTTTTCTTTTAAACTTATAGTTTTAATATAATTTATTTTATAATAAAGCAGATATATTAAAGGGTTTTATTCATATAGGTTAAATTTATTAATAAGTATTTTATAATAGTTTACTTTAAATTATAATATTAATTATATTACATTTTTTAAACCATTTATCCTTTTTAATAAAAAAGGTTTTTTTACCTTTTCCTTCTTTTTATTAAAGCGCTACCTTATAAAGCCCTCCTAATAATATTTAAATAAACCTATTTATATTAAATTTTTCTTATATATTTTAGCTTTATTTTAACTATTATTTTAAACTATTAAAAAGGGCTACCTTTTTAAACTCTTTAATATTATTTAATAATATTTTAATTAATTATTAATATTATAAATAATATAATAATAGTTAATAGGGTTAACTTAATTAATTTAATAAATAGATTAATAGTTATAAAAGGTTTTATAATATAGGGTTAAATAGTAATTAATAATTCTTAATTAATTTCTTTTTTAAAGTTTAATATTATAATATATTATTAATATAAATCTTTTAAAAAGGCATTTAATAAAAAAGGATTTATAAAATAATTATTTTAAAAGTTTTTAATTAAAATAAAGGATAAATTTAAATTAAGGTTTTTAGCTTAAAAATTAATATTAAAAAAAGGGATATTAAAATTAATAAAAAAGTCCTTTAAAGTAATTAATTTTAAAATTTAATAATTAGGTAAAATATTAACTTTATAATTAAAAAGATTTTAATTGCTAAGCATTAAAGGGTAAAAGAAAACTTTAAATACCCTTAATAATAATAATAAAAATAAAGGTAATTAATTAATATAATTTAAATTTAAATTAATATTTTAATTACCTATGTTTTTTTAATTAAAAAGGTATTTAAGCTATATTAAAACTTTATATATAAAATAAGGAAAAGTTTAAATATTTAAAAAACGAATAATATTAAATACTTAAAGTTATACTTAATTATAAAGGTTATAATAAATATTTAATAATATTTTTTTTATTAAATATTAATAATATAATTATAATTATTCTTATAATTATTAAAAAGAAAAGGTTAGGTTAAGAATTTTTAAATAGTTAATTATATATAATTTGCTTAACTTTTATCCGTTTTAAAGAATTAATAAGTTAAAAATTCTTCCAATTAGCCTTTAAAGCTTAACCTTATTAATTATTATTTAAAATAATAATATTTTAATATAATCTTCATTTATAGGATTAATAAAGTAAAATTTTAACGTATATTATTATTTTATATTTATAAATAGTAAAAGGTTAAAAATAAAGTATAATTTTAACCCTTAATAGTTAAAAATACATTTAAGTAAACATTTAAGCTTATAACCTATTAAAAGTAATATATATAATCCTATTAAATTATTTAAAAGTTTAAGTTATAATACAATTATCCGGCTAGATAAAGGTCTTATATATAAATTCCTAACATTCCAGTATATGGAACGTAAGTATTACCGCCTTCCCTTTCTGACACCCTAGAGGTGAAACCGCATGACAATAGGTGCTGATGTAAATGGCCCCTTTGGATGGATAATGGCTAATATCGGTTTTTAGATTATTGTCAACGACGATCTCAGTTTCGCTCTTTGCGGTTATCATCCGTAAAACGGAAAGTCGAATAGGGTAGAGATCCGTGGCGACTCTACGGCTTTCCGATGTAGCGCGAAAGTGTGGTGAACATGCAAGGTTGCGAATGCATATTCATTCTTTTGGTGAACTTGTTCATCGGTACGAGCCGGTCTCGGTAGTATTCCAAGATAGATATTTCCTATATAAGAATCTTCAATTCGGGCAGTAGCTTGGAAAACAAGGGGAATTTCATTAAAGACGCCATGATGATCTGTGCGGAAATAAGCTAAAATAGCCCGTCAGGTCGGAGAAGCATAAGCGTTGGGAAGATGGCGGGAGAGTGTTGGAGATGGACGCAGGTTGGTAGCAGGTAGAGTAGTGATGGAGTGCTCTTTTTTATTAATTAATTCCTTTTTTAATTAAATACTTTAAATTATAATAAAATTAATATTAAAAAATAAAGAAAGCGGTAAAAGGTAATTAAAAGGGATATATATTAAATAGGGTAATATTATTCAGGGTTAAATTTTACCGGTCAACTGCTTTATCTTCTTTTAAAACGGTTCTTTAGGGTAGGATTGGGGCGCCAAGGCCAAAACGGAGCGCCGGGCGGCTAACGGCTAGGACCTACCCGTATAGCGCCGGACCCGGGTTTTAGTCAGCAGATATGCTCGTACCGATGTTGGCCATATTGCACATTACTGGAATTATTCACGCTTCTTTATTCCCTCCCTTCTGCGTCACGATCAACTACAAGCGTATTGATAATGTCTGATGGACCCGAAGATTAGGAAAGAACCGCATGATACGGAAGACGGCCTTGACCACCACGATAACAAGCTTGTGGAGGAAGAATTCTGGTATCGAACCCAATTTTGCACATCATAGTGGCTATACACCTCGCTCATCACTCCCCATAGAATTGAGTTCATACAGTAATTTTCAAAAAGAAAAGGAGGGAAAGAGAGAAGAATACGCATTCAACTGTTTAATCGAACGGTAAACACCCGCATATCAGATGATTTCTCAAGAGAAAAGAAGGAATCTCCGAGGCAGACTATCCGAAAAAGAATGACAGACAGGCAAAGACAAGAATACCAGCTAAGTAAGATGTGGTTTCCAAAGTATTGGACTCTGCACTATGCGTGATCAAAGCATACATCAGTTGATATAAAAGAGAAGAAGGAAGGCAGGAAATTTCATTGCATTTAGTTGCTTGGGAATGATGCTATGACTATTCGATGCAGAGTAGGTAGATCCTCAAATGACTATAAAAAAATAAAACAAGATTTTAGAAGCTCCCAGAATCGAACTGGGTCCTTTGGACCATTGAACCCTCGTACGAAGCTAACGGTTGGTCCAACGTGCGCCACTACACCAAGCATCTTGTAACACGGTCTATTCGGTGTAGTTGTTGCAGCGCCGGCGGTACTTTCACAGCCGGGCGAATAGGATAAAGAAGGTCCTTTCCGTGCTCGGTCATACATCTTCTGTCAATTCCTCCGCGTTCTCTGGCGTTGGCTCTCCGTTTCCGCCGTCTCGTGGGCTTCGAAGAAATTCTAGAATCTTCACCTTTTGGATTACGTTTCGTCTCCTTCGTGGCGTTAGCAAAGAACTCGCGGGCATACCATTAGTTGAGATGACGAACTCGGTGCAATCGTGGCAAACCTCCCTCTGGCAGACAAGAGGGCCTTAATAAACCCTCAATCTCTCTTGTTGTGCAGGGGCAAACAGGGATAAAAAGCGGACATAGCAAGATCACCAGCGTTGAGAAAATAGAGGGCAGCTATTTAATAGCAGTAGAGCACGCCCATCGCGATGGATAACTTCTTTCCTTCATATCTGTGTACTTCCCAGGTAGGTAGGTACTCAAGTAGATTCCAATATACCCAGTCTGTAGAAAGCTGTCCCCTTACAGTGGGCAATTGCGGTGTTGATAACTAAGTACCTAGATTAAGTAGAAGCCCTGTCTTCTCAGCGAAGCCTACGTCACGGGTAGCAACACACATATTTCTACCTATGCTCAATTCCATGTGCATTCCATGTGCATTCTGACACCAATTTATTAGAAAAGTAGATGCACCTATTCCTTGAGCAATTATCAGCTTAATACATTCTCTTCGGTTTCAAGCTAGAGGTAGTAGTTGTATTAAATTGTAATTGTATTAACTTCTGGGGAATCTTGATGGGGGAGTATCGAGAGCAAGGATTCGGTTATCCACGCGCCGCCGTGTGCCACAGTCCCCATCCTTTGGGGTATGGGGGATTCCAGTTTCGGATGCCAGAACCTGGAGGCTTCCATACCAACCAACACTTCAACATTTATACGCACAATAAACCTCAACAGACCAAAAAAAATCCGAGAGCTTAATCCCACAAGCACGGCCTTCACACCCTATCCTCCCTCCCTCAACTCTAAAATTCAACCCAGTCCAATCAAACACAGCCAACGCCTCCGCAAACTTCTCAGCACCTATCATCACAAAAACCAAAAGCCACCAACACATTCACAACAGAGTGACCCAACGCAGGTAGGTAGGTAAAGACATATCTCAAGCCCAGACACAAAGATCTTCAAAAAGCCTCGCAAAACATAATTTCTTATCACATAGTTATTTATTTTCCTCTCCTCTCTCTCTAACCCCCTTCTCCTAATATAATAAATCTCAGGGTCTCGTTGTCCTCACCGCACCATCCCAATTAACTCAGAACCAACAACATCACGTAACCAGCATTAATTATACCCCGGGATTCTTCCACGCGTCTACCATGTCCTCACCTTTGTTTTCTATCTTCAGCTCGAATGAACATAGCCCTTAGAACACACACGATATATGAGACTACTTTTCTTGTGATTACAGTATTTCAAAGCAATAGATCCAGCAGCTATGTTGTACTATGCGTCGTCTATTAGTATTCGCATTCTATCATTAAAGATATAAGGATAACTACCGAAGACATATCAGACATGCAAATCATACATTAGGTATGTTCTTAACTCATTATCAATTGTCCTCGAAACTACAGGTAAGCCAGATGGATGGAATACAAGCTACAAAGTCGCTACAAAGGGTCATACCAAGTGCCTTTGTCTACCTTTTCAATCCCACACAGGCTCAAATCAAGCCTTGCCAACCTCGAAGACCCCCCATCATCCCCAAACGCGCCAGCAATGCGTCGAGCCGTCTCATGATATTCGTGAAAATTGGGATGAGGTTGTAGTCTATAATCAAAGTGCGGAATCTTTTATAGCTTGTCATAGTACTACAGTCGCGTGTTAGTGCATTGCAAAAAATAGTAAAGAAACAGGGAAAACTTACGTTGCTAACGTCTGGTACCTCGATCTTGATACCCTTGCGCTTCCGCATCGTCTCGACGACCTGGCCGACCTTGGAGGTCTTGTCGAGAGGTGAGCCACCGGGCAAGAGTTGCCAGTGGTCGAACACCATCTGAGGGAAGGCCTGGCCGGAGGTGGCCTGTCGGAGATCGGCGTTGAAGCCGAAGGACTCGGCAATAGGGAGGTAAGCCTTGATGGTGAACAGAGGAGTACCAGGGCGCTGCTCCTCGTTGAAGACGTGACCTCTTCTACGGGTCAAGACACCGTAAACACCGCCCATGGCACTCTCGGGTACTTGAATCTCGACCAAGAAGACAGGCTCTTGCAGAGCGGGATCAGCCAGCAGGGTAGCAGCGTAGAGCACACGTCTGGCAGTGGGGATGAGCTGACCACCGCCACGGTGGATAGCATCAGCGTGCAGAGTAACATCAAGGATGTTCCAGCGGACGCTACGGATGGGCTCCTCGGCAATGGGACCTTCACGGGTAGCCCACTGGAAACCGGAGACAACAGAGTCCTTGATTTCGTTGAGGTATTGCACGGCCTTGGTCTGGTCGACGAGCAAGTTGGCGCCGGTACCATCGGGACCGAAACACCAAATCTTACGGGCATCAGTGACATCCCAGCCGAAGTCGTCAGCTAGTACACGGGCACGAGCCTTGAAATCGTCACGGGGAGAGATCTTGCCATCCTCGATGGTCTTAGCCAACTCCTCGTCCATGGGCTCAGCAACCATGTATAGACGGTTGTGCTTGTTGGGGGACTTGGAGAGAGCAGTGATGGACGACTTGGCACTGACGGTCTCACGGTACTGGACGACGGGGTCGGAGAAGATGAGGGGAACACCAGCGTGGTCTTCCTCAAGATCCTTCAAGCAGATCTCGAGGTGAAGTTCACCAGCACCAGCAACGACGTGCTCACCAGACTCGCTGGTGGAAGTAAGGACGCAGGGGTCGGACTTGGATAGACGCTTGAGACCTTCAACAAGCTTGGGAAGATCCTGGGCGTTCTTGACCTGGACGGATCGGGTGACGACGGGTGATACGGAGAACTTCATGACCTTAAGGTTGTGGGCGGTTTCAAGGGTGGTCAGGGTACCGGACTTGAGCAAGAACTGGTCAATACCAACGAGACCAACAATGTTACCAGCAGGCATGTCATCAATGGGCTCGACCTTGCCACCCATCATCAGAACGGTACGCTGGATGGCCTTAATGAACAGGTCCTCCTTCTTGCCAGGGGTGTAGTTGGGACCCTGGATGCGGACCTTGATACCAGACTTGACTGTACCGGAGAAGACACGACCGAAAGCGTAGAAACGACCCTTATCGGAAGTGGGCACCATCTTGGAAACGTAAAGCATGAGGGGACCCTTGGGGTCACAGTCACGGATACCAATGGCAGCCTCGTCATCGATGGGACCCTCGTAGAGAGTCTCAGCACGGTACTTCTGAGCTGTGACTGGGGAAGGAAGGTGGAGGATCATCATCTCCAAAAGGGAGTCGGCAGCGGGCAAGAATGTTCGCATGACGGCCTTGAGGAGCTGCTTGCCCTCCTTCTCCTTGTCCTCAGCAGGAAGCTTGAGGTCGAGCTTGGAAAGCAGGGTGGCGACCTCTTCCTTCTTGAAGTTCATGACAGCGGCGAAGATCTTGAAGATGGGGTCCAAGATGAACTGGTTGAAGGCACGCTCGAGCTGTTTGCCCTCGTGGGTACCCTTGTTGGTCCACTTCTTGGTGGCGGCGTTGAAGTAGTTGTCACCCTGGGAAAGCATTAGCAGTCTAGAAGGAAGGGCGTTACTGCACACATTGACGTCTATGACATTGAAAACTTACCCAGAGACGCTCCATCATCTTGTTTCGGTCGACACCGAACTTCTTGGCGTAACGGATGGCGAACTGGCGGATGGTGAAGGCCCAGCCGTGAAGACCGGAACCGAAGGCGACGGTTCCCTTCTCAGGGTAGACCTGGAGGTCGCCCAGGGACTTGTCAAGGTAGGTAGAAATAACGACGTTGACGGACTCGATGGTTCGCAAGAAGGTCTGGTACAAGTCCTCCTTGGAAACCTGGAGTTCGAGAAGAGCACGGTCAACCTTGTTGATGACGACAACAGGCTTGATGCGCTCAGTCAGAGCCTGACGCAAAACAGTCTCGGTCTGGACGCAGACACCCTCGATGGTGTCGACGACGACAAGGGCACCATCAGTGACACGGAGAGCAGCAGTGACTTCAGAAGAGAAATCAACGTGACCGGGCGAGTCAATGAGGTTGATCAAGAAATCAGTACCATCGGACTTTTGGCCGACGATGTCCTTCAAGTCCTCCTCGCTGGGAAGAGTACCGTACAGGGAGATAGCCGTAGACTTGATAGTAATACCACGTTCCTGTTCGTCGGCTCTTGTATCTGTGGCTCTCGCATCACCAGCCTTTGCGGTGGAGATAATACCGGCCTTAGCCAGCAGGGAATCGGTCAAGGTGGACTTTCCATGATCGACGTGGGCAATGACGGACATGTTACGGACATTGGTCGGCTTGTCCATAAGCTGCCGGATCTCGTCAATCGTGAAGCTGTCGAAGAGTGCATTGTCAGCAAAATTGTCGCGCGCGGCGAGTGTAGGGTCTTATCTCCGAGCGGGGTATGTTGGATTTTTTTTGGTCAACTTTTCGACGCTGTCTCCAAGGTGTTTCGACACTCAAGACAGTGAAAAGTAGAAGATCAAGACAGCCGCGGAGTTCACCTCCGGTTGGCACAGCAAGATGAGAAAGAAACGCGACGATGAGGATACTCATGAGGAAGCATAGAGAAGACTTACTTGACCATTTTGGCGGTGTTTTGATGGTAACTCTACTGCAACGGAAGGTTAGCGACTAGAACACGTCTCTCTTGAAGGCAATGGATATATATGTAAAATCCAGAGGTGAGCGGGGTGAATGATGAATGATGGGCCCCGCTGCTCGTCCCTTGTCGTCTTCAAGAAACAAAACAAGAAGAGAAAGAGCTAGAGAGTTAGAGGAGATAGCGAGGGAGAGGAGAGAGGGAGGGAGAGAGAGAGAGAAGAAGAGGACGGCGGTGACGACGACGACGAACCTAGAAAAAGGAAGTTAAAGCAGAGGTGGGAGGAAAATGCACTCGCAAGCAAGCAACCACCGACCAGCTGTGGGTTGTTGCGGAAGGCAAGTATGCGACAAGCAAGTTGGGAGAATGCAAAGTGCAAGTGCAAGTTGCAAGTTGCAGTGGGTAGGAGCAGGAGGGAGAAAAAAGAGAAAAGGAAAATTTGTAATATACGGTAGGTAGGAGGAGTAAGTATGTATCATACGTATGTAAGGTAAGTACTGGAAGTAGAGAGGTACAAGCGGCGGGTTAGAGGGGCTGAGGGGCAACGACAGAGGCAGAGCACTGGCAGAGGTAGAGGTAAGAGGGGCAGACAGACGGGTGGCCGGGCCCATCGAGGCAAAAAAAAAAAAACCTTGTCGCTAGCAACGGAAGGAGGGGTTAATGTGAGGCGGGGCAAGTTAGTTCGTACTCAATTAGGTACACGGTATAGTACGTGAAGCACTAGCCCACCGAAGTACCTGGGCACTTGTGGTACTTGTGGTACGGCACTGTAAGAGGTACATCCGTCTGTACATACAGTACCATATGTGTCTGTATTGTGTGTGGCTCCATCGAATTGAAATTCGAATCGTGTGTTTGACCACAGCCGATGGGCCAGTGGCGTCACAATACCTAATGCAAAATGGGGACGGGTGCGGGGTACGTTTTGTGTCTTTTCTCTCTTGTCTCTCTCTCTCTCACCACAACCTCTCTTCTCCCTTTTTTTGACGCCGAAAGTATTGAGCGCAGTTCATATGGCTTTGGCTTACCTAGGAGTTTTGTATAAGGCAGACACTGCCTTGGTTTCTAAGAGGGTTGTACGAAGTATCCTACATCAAGTATGGTGGTTAGCCAAGGAGATATCTGCCCACGATGCGCGAAACAGAGCTGGCGGGGATAAGGTCGGCAAACAGCCACAATAGCAGCAAAGGTAGCTTAGATAGCTACCCAATTAGGTAGGTACCTAGGTAACTGGGCAGTAAATCTACCGCGCGAGCCACATGTACAAGCCACGGAGAGAAATATCATCCGGCTGTCAAGGTTAAGAGGGCTTCGAACCCTGTGCGCTCTTCCCGGCCCCCCCTCATTGTCAGCGAGAGAGGTACCTATGTAGCTCAAGCAGCAGCCCCGCCAGCTACCAAGAGCTCCTGATGCCCTACAGTTATGCAGCTTACAGTAGATATGTATATATGGGGGAAAAGAGCTAACTTACTCACTTAAGTATTGAATGGTTAATCCCTTCGATGCCGATGTCTCGCTTCGTATCGAGTCTTTGCTTCTGTTTCGCTAGGCGTCGATTGAAGTCTGATGTCTCCGTTCCGGGGCTTGCTTAAATATATCTTGCTTTGCCCTAGAAGCACTCTCAAGGTTTGCCCGGGCATCTCAAGCATTAGTGACATTCAGCTTAGTGCCCCGGGACAAATAACTCGGTCTGACTATTATCAGCAAGCTCAAGGTAAGCTCTCCACTCTTTAATACCTTATTTTCCTGGGCAACCTCTGCGCCAGTCGACGGCCTACGTGTAAGTAGGATTGTCGACTGTCTTGAGTGCCTGGCGGCTTGGGATGCTGTCGAGCACGATTATTTAAGTTTACTCAATTGTCCTATGAGTCAGCCCGGGTGCTCAGGGGCCATGTACTCGAGGTTATGATTGGTTTTCCATTGCCTTGAAATATGCTGTCCAGCCTTGGTGTGAATCACAACCTTATGCAAATTGAAGCAATGAGTGAAAGAATGAGTCCCACAGGCAATGATAGCTCAAAGTTAAACGTGTAGGAGATGGCCTAGTAGGTGTTGCCATAGTATTTTGTGTAGGATCTCATACACTGGTATTGCCAGGTAGTACGGCTAGCAAGCTGAAGATATTCTATAATAAGCCAGCTGATATACTGATGCCCATGGAAAAACGGGAATGAAGAAGAGAAGTACAAGGATAAAATGAAATAGGTGCACGACAGCAGTCCCATCTAGACCATCAGTCAGCCATCGAAAACAAAATGCGCAAAACGCCTGGCTATGCTATGCTATACACCTGCGTCCTGATCGCCCTGATATCTTCTACTAAAATGCGCTATTATATTTCAAGCCTTCTGAAAACCGCCGCATAGTTATCACGACCCCAGAATCTTCGCATACGCGTCTTCGACTTCGCCCGCCAGCTCAAGCAGGGCAACGATAACAATTTGATGTGTGAGGTTAGGCAGCCTGTCTCTATGCAGCCCAATCCATTCGAGGGGTGGCGTAGCCTCTCCCATGTCTCGTAGCTGCGGCGTTTCGATGACTGGCGGCTCGAGCGCCTCGTATTCATACTTAGACAGAGGAACATTAACCTCAGCTGTAATCTTCTGTTGTTCGCCATTCTTCCTCTCCTGCTCTGATTCCGGCACACCCGTGACTTTGATGGCTGACATGGTCGGGAGCTCGCGGCCCCAAGCCTGTGCAAGGAGTCGCGAATGTTTGGCCCACATGCCACGGATGTAGCTGATGCGAGAGTAATTCCATCCCACCTCCACCTTACCCTCAAAGGCGCTCTTGAACTTGTACTGGATACTTCGGGACTGCGCTCTCTGCCACGTTTCCATCACTGCTTCGACCTTGGGCACTTTGAGGATTGTCCCGCCACGCGAGCCTGTGGCGTTCTCTACTATATGCTCAACCCGAATATCTTTGAGAGTCCTAGGCGCTTCGGGTCCCCGGATTTCGGCGAGCCCGATCCGCAGCTGACCAAGGGTAAGTCCCAGAATACTGTGAATGCGCTGCCCTTCCATGTTCGCCGCGAACCTTGCTCGCGCATTGAGCGCCTCGAGTTTGAAAACTTGATGGTCAGAGAAGGTGCCTGGGAAAACGCCCAAATTGAGTGCCCTGAGCGTAACTACTACGTCGGTATCTAAGGATATGGGTGACTTAGCAGCCTTCTCAGTCGTCTCACCTCCACTGGAAGGAACGGCTGTTGTCACAGCCTGGCTGATTATAGACTTCCGCTCCATATGCTTCTCAATCTCTTGCAATGATGCCTCGTAGTTCGCTTTACGTTCCTGGATAAATTTCTGGACAGCCTTCCACAAAGCCGCACCTTGAGCCGCTGATGCGGTAGTACCAAAAACTTGTACGGCCTCCCCGTCAAATGTAGCTACGAGGCGATCACCCGCAGGACCTGCATGTTGACGGACATTATACATAAGGAACCCCATAGTGGTGATGTCCGCCACGAGGAAAGCTTGGTAGTCGAAAGCAGCCTTCAGTTTGAACTCGCTAAGACCGACTGATGCTTGGATTTTGGGCGTTTCATTCAAAGCTTGTTCCCGCTCTGGCCATTCTATGGAAGTGCGGAGCTTGAAATCACGGAGGGCAACAAACCCACCTAAACGACCATCGCAGGTTATGCCGATCTCCTTAAATCCTAAACACAGATTCTGTTCCCAATCCGAGGTTTTTTTAGAAGATACCCAGAATTCCTTGATGGCCAACTCAGGCTTTCCAAGTGATGGACCGAGGTCAATGGCGACGTCTAGGGCACTGATGGAGACTGTAGCCGTCCACGGAAATGCTGCCGTTGCAGCTACCTGCTGATATCTTTGAACTAAATGAGCTTGGGAAGCCGCCTCTTTCATTTCCTTAGCTACCGGCGCCGCTAAGCCTTGTCTCATCTCTCTTGGATACCAGATTTCGCGGAAAAGTAGGAACTCGTGGACCTGTCTGGCATTGATGGCAACCTTCATAGGGCTCATTTTGATGATAGCAGAGAGCCCACTCGTGCCGCTGACATGCTTGCTGTTCATTAACGAGAGCACAATGGAATCGACGTCAAAGCTACCAGTGGATTCTCGAGAATACACATGCTGCACGGCCAGATGAATCCTGCTGAAAGTTCCAGATAATGTGAAGAAATTGCCATGCTCGACTGAATGGACCGTATTCATAGTTACGTAAATGTCGTCGAACCTCGCCGTTGCGGCAACCCTACCGATAGGTTGGCAACTGAGAGTAAGCTCTTGCTTACAAATGCGTAAACCAAGGTTCAATTTGACACGACCTAGGACCTTATTTGGATCGGCATTAAGGATGTTGTCATCTTCAGTTGATTTCGATTTAGGAGCCGATTTTTGTTCTGTCGCTGAAACGTCAGAAGGGCTATCACTAACAACCTCCTTGATGCTCGACGATATATCCAAGATAAGAGGCACAACGGTTGGGCCCAGCGCGTTACGGGATGGCTCGATTTTGATTTCACCGTGTAGCGTAGCAACTTCTTTTCCGTCATCCCTATATTCGGCTTTCCACGCCAAACCAGGAGTTCGGAGCTCAGGAGTAGTCCCAGTCTCACTCGCATTAAACTGACCATACTTTCCGGCTAACGCATGACGAGTGGTTTTTGGATTAGCTGGATCCAGAGGAAACTTTTCGGAGGCTTGCCCAGATAGATGCACCACAGCACCCGCGAAGTCAGCGTCAAGTAGTACAGACTCTAGCCTTTTCCTTCCAAACAGAGATCCTCGTGGCTCGGCTGTGTTCTTTTCCGACTTATTTGCATCATCATTTCGTGCCACGACGGGTGTCCAGTGCTGCGAGGCACGTTGGGCATTGTCAATGGATAATGTAATGGAGTCTTTGATTTGTGCAGCCGGCACGATGAATGCAGATGTTAGGCGGACGTCCAATGATTTTCCGACTGCTTGGAAAGCAAGTCGTCGAGCGTCCGTGGTGGAGATAAATGCTACGTTAAACACCATCTCGGGCAATAACGCGGAATTCAATGAGCGTCTAGATTTATCCCATTGCGGCGGTGCCATTTGAAGTTGGAGATCCTCGATAGTCAACCTGGCCGAATTCTGCTTACGAGTTGCAAATTCGATCAATTTCACAGATAAGCAAAGGTCTTCTTGGCTTTTGGTTGCTTGATTTGGGATACCAGCAACAAGCCAGCCTATTTGAACGTTGCGGATGCGGAATGAGTACATAACTGATGCCAAAAATGAATCGAATATGTCGCTTTCAGTCTCCGGTGCGTCATCGTTAATGGCTATACGCGGTTTCGATTGTCTTAGTTTTCGCAAATATTCGAGTTCGCGCGACGTATCCAGCCTCTGGAACTTATCACCCATATATCCTAAGACATCCACAACGGTAGACACTGTGTCAGCTGAGAGGTTGACCGAGAAACCATCTGATGTGAAGTCAAAAGCTCTTAATAGGATGCCGTCCTCAAGCTCTCGGGTAGAAGCAGTAATAAGGGCCCCGAAAGCAAGATTGCCGCAAGACTTCAGGTCTTCTTCAACTCCTTTCATAATATCAAAGCTGATATTTCGGATGTTAACATGAACCTCCGGATTGTCTAGTATGGCAGATTGATCTAGCTTGTTCGTCACCTTGACGTGAACGCGGTCGAGGGAAAACGAGAGATGGGCAAAATACTTGGGATCTGACTTGATCGGTGCATTTCCCGAGATCTTGACTCCCGCCAACGTCGCATGGACATTGTATACCACATTAGGGTCGTCATTATTTAATGAAGCAGGCTCAGGTGTCGATGGTCCAAAAACATCATCTAAGTGGTTTTGTATGACCTTGCCCTGTTGCTGGAGCTCACTGATGGTACTGGAGATTTCGGGGCGGTTGAGCGCTGTGAGAAGACTGTACACAGCAGATGCATCAAGTTCGACGAGCTCTAAAGAGGCAAAGACTTCAACTGAACGTTCTCCAACCGTATTTTGACTGATTATTCGACCATTCATGGGAGGTATCTGAAGTAAAGAAATACTTTTTGAGGAGCTATTACCCCTGATTTGCATATCATGGGAGTTCTCTTTGACATCAAAATCAAATGTAATGTGTTTGCCAGCAGGAGCAGCAACAGTTGCACGTGAAACGGTACCAGTAATGATGTATGTTAACGAGCGCAGAAGTGGTAAAGTGATGCTGTACGAGTCTAAAAACATGGCCAAGTTGAAAGAGACAGTCGAGGAGGAGTCATTAGTTGATGGCTTGGGGGCTGATGCTGAAGAAGATTTAGGCAGCCTTTTCTGAAGTTCATTAATCCGGTTCACTTCATCTATGATTAATAAATCTGCGACCTCAGCGAGCACTATAGGGTCCTGTAAAATGACAACATCAAGGCCGTGACTGCTCGCTGCCGCTCTGATCGTATGGCCAAGGGAGTCGCCTGTGAGCAGTGACTCATGCGAGATAATAACGCTCGGTTTAGTAAGACGAGTAGTTACCAGCCCTTGCGAGTGACTAAGGACGTTAAGCCCGGCAGCATCGCAACTGACTGCAACATCAGTCTCCACGATAAGCGATTTCGTACACCCATATACTACCGACAACTTGAGATTTTCACACCGAGGTTGAATTGTCAGGTTAATGGTATCAAGCGATATCGCCCCTTTGCCCATCGCAAACACAAAGTGCAGCGAGCGAGATGATTGGTCATGTGTCAGTACTGTTCGGTTAACGGGTGAGTTAACTTGGGGTGACAGAGCCCCTGCTGCCAAATATATAGGCAAAAGTTGGTCCACGAGCTCAGTCAGCTCCCAGTTGAGGTTTACATCAATTTCTCCGCAATACAAATTGACAAGTGTGAGTGGTCCTCCAAATGCAGGGGATTGTCTAGGGTTCTCTTCAACGTTATGCCTATTGTTAAGCCTTGCTGTGAGATCTAAAAGCACAATCTGATTGCTCTTCAGACTCGGATCAAGGCTAAGTCGTAGCTCGTAGACTCTGCCTACAGCCATCCATGGAATATCATCCCAATTGGACGCTTCATCAAGATGCTTTCCGAAAATGTTGTCTAAGACTACTGCTTGGCTCATGTCGTCGAGATCCCAGCTTCTCCAATGGTCGAAAGTGGCTATAACCTGCTCCCTGACATCTGATGGCACTTCCATGGAGCCATTGAGACATTTTCGGCCGATTCTTGTTTGAGAGCCTGATGCAAGAGTGACCCACATGTATCGTAGTCGAGTAATCAATTTCCATGAATCATAGGTCCTCAAGTGTCTCCTAGCCGCCCTTAGAACAGCTGAGGGTCTTACGACGAAAGATGGATCCCCCACATGCTGGCCCTCCATGGTGACGCTGTGCGTAAAGTATTTCAAGCGCTCATCAGCAACTGACAAAGTTGAAAAGAGTGTTCCCATTCCTGAAGCGAGTGAGCTTGCCCTATTAGTTAAAGAGGCAAGATACTGGATGCGCTCCGGTGAGGTCTTGAGGTTGACTGCACCCATATCAACATCTAAATAATTAACTTCCTTCGAGCCCATTACTGCGATCACTCTCTCTACCTTAAGTAATACAGCTCCTTGCGTCTTACCCAAGTCAGCTAGTCTTTCAGAGGCAGTAAGAGTGACGGCAGCAAGTTGGAAATGGAATGAGGATGAAGGCTTTTTCGGTACAGGAATATTACTATGCGTGTCATTGTGTTTTTCGGATCGAATAGCGAACGCTAAGTCTTCCAACGATATATCATATTGGTCCTGGTGTTGCGATGTCGCGTCATCCACATGCGAGTTGTCTACAAAACATGCAGTGGCGTGGGGTAATCGTAGGATAACATCTGTAATGGCACCACCGATTTTCTCTTGCTTTTGCATCGCGAAGATGTCTGACATTGCCCCAATCTGCAAAGAGTCAAGGACATCTTCCGGTTGAGCCGGTTGAAATGCTCGAAGAAGAGCCACTATGCAACGCACTGATCTAGTGTTTAAAGCGAGATGTATACCTGAGGGAAAGTCAAAAAGTAGGCTTTGATGGGAACGATCTTGTGAAAACTGCTCAGGGTCAAGATCCTCCAAACCGAAATTGGAATCACTCGGCCCTCTGCCATGATGACCATGATGAATGCTTTGCGCTGGATCATCCATATGGTCTAGCTGAGTAGCTTCTAGTGGAAAGTATGGCGCACAGAATTGACTTGTGAATGTGATAGCTCTTTGCACTGCGTCTGTACTCGCGCTGCCTAGGCGATCTCCCCATAGCGAACGTCGATTGGATGAGGAGTCATGGAAAGTATGGCTTCTCAGTCCATTTCTAGAGACACGAGAGGAACCCGAATAAGTAAAAGAACGCGCAGCAGAGGCCGAGCCTTTTGAGACCCCTCGACGTATACTACCTGCTACACTCGAGCTTGCGACGGAAAGAAATGAACTCTTATGGCGAAGACGTCTTGAGACGTGTGAGTTGGTTGACAAGGTTGACGACCTATCATCAAGATGAGCAGCAGAAGATATGACCGGTTGTGGAACTCCGGGAACACTTTGAGCAATAGGTTCTACAAAGTCTGGCTGCAAATCTTCGAGTAAGCCTGGTATTAGGAGGAAGTCCGTTCTATGGGTCCGTTGGTCATGACGCCGAACGAGCTCCTGCTGTAATTGTCTCACATTGGCAAAATCATACTTCCTACCGACAAGGGCGAACTCAAAGTTGGTCCGTAAAACAAGATCTGTCGCTACGCGAGGCTGTAGTTTTGAATTCTGCCTCGCCACGGACTCTGACTGGATACATGAGAACTCGAGACGAGCGATAGAGATATCGGCACGCCTAGAATAATGAGTCCTTGCCCAATCGTTATAATGTATTTTGATATCTCCAGTTGAGCACAAGAAAGCAGAGCCTTCGACGTGTAACCAAATATAGACAGATTCGACATAAAGACGCAAGAATGTAACATCGTACACTACAGCTGGTGTAAGCAAGGCGTTCTCGTCGTCGTCAAGCGAAAAGCCGAAAGCCTTTCCTCCCTGAGCAAGTGTCGACATGAACTCGGCTGAACATTCTCCAGTAACCGCTCCGATATTCAGATCCCAATTACACAGATAGGTAGGCTCAGAAGGAGGTAGACCAAAAAGGCGATGACCATAAACGGCAAGCCCGTCAATAAAAAGTTGTGTTTTTGTTGTGGAACTCGCGGGGCGTACGGCGCCTCCTTCTTCATCTCCCATAGAGAGGCTTAGAGGTGTAAGACACAAATCGAGATCCATATAGTAGTTCGTGAATCGGAGATCAACGGCTAACGACGCAGCGTCAATAGCAATGTGACGCTTTGCCGAATACAAGTTCGCCGGCAGAATAATCCTTGGATCATCGGCGTGTATTGATAGCATTACATCTAAATCATTTGACTTCTTAGGTGGAGGACGACTTGCTGCTTGCACATTGGAGCCATGAGTATCAACTCGGAGAGTCTGTTGATATTCGTCTAGTGTCTTGAAATGTACATAGTCTCCGAAATAATTATCTTTCAACAAGAGAAAGTAGCGGATGAGGAAGCCATACAAATGGAATGTTGGCGACTGCGCGGTGACGTTTAGAACGAGGGTATCAGTATTAGCAGGCGATGTGGTTGTATTATAATAATAGCGTGCATCAACTGTAAGCTTTTCTAGGCTTCCAATATCTGTAGACGCCAGGAAAGTCGCTTGTGTATTCCACGTAGGTGTATGCAATGCAAACCCTAGTGTCTCTGTTTCGATCTTGAAAGGTACCACGTTATTGAGCGGGCGGTATGTATCAAGCTCAATGGGAGTGTCTACCTTTAGACAGGGGCTAGATAGAATAAGGAATGTGTTCTCGTCCATACTCACAGGGTCGTTGATAATGTTGACGTCGTTGACATTGAGGTAAAGTTTGAGATTACGGAGAGTCAAGTTTAACAAGTACTTGAAGGGGGTGAAGAGCAGGTATTCGGATGGCGGGCCAGTCCCCCAGTCGTCAATAAGGTCAATCAACAGAAATGTGTGCTCACGCAAGATAAAGAGCTCCATCCCGTCACTATCAATGTTGAATCGCCATGTGCGAAGGCCATTCCATTTCAAAGGCGTAGATAGATCACATGTAATTTTTTGAGTACCGGACCGCCACATTAAACCGTGATTGACGCTCGTGGATACCTCAGTTGAAGGCAAGTCAATCTTTAGGACATTATGGTATCCCGTTGATTTCGCCAGCATATCCATCGTATACGAAACTGTGGCGTTCATACCAATTTTGATGTCGAGCCAACCATACGGACGCTGCTCCGCCGGCGTAGTAGCTGTAGACTTTTGGCCATGACCTCGGCCACGGCCACGTTGCTGACCATGTTCCCGTTGTTGCTTCGTGGCAGACCCTTCCTTTTTCCACTTCCAATTTTTAGAACTTTCTCGTGTAGGTATTCTGAGTATAGCTTCGTCGCTAAGCTCCAGGTAAAAATTAAAGACTGTGGGCACGCGATCTGCTCCAATAGGCAGTTGTCGAGCTGGAACAGCATCTTTACAGAGCCCAGGAAAAAAGACTCTCTGTAATTCGGCCCGTTGTCTGTCTGCCCACGGGCCATAGTTGATTATACCTCCTTTGAGGTCTAAACTAATTGCCCAAGCAGGCGGCGTGTCTCCGTTGATATACTTAGGATCATTCGAGTCTATAGGAGGTCGAGACTGTGCATCCTTCCGCACCTTTGATGGGACGTCCCAATAAATTTTCAAGGTCCCGGCAGGACTATCCACTACAGTGTGAGCCGCAGCATACTCGATAGATGACCATTTCGACTTATCATCCTCATCATCAACGTTCAGGTAGCGAGAAAGGCCCTGCCACTGTGTCAACCCAGGGATAGGTGGCTCTGCAGGTGCGGTGCCGGTTCGGGAGTCTACCGAGAAAGACTCCACAGATTTTCTCCAATAAGGCACAAGATTTCGAAGCTTTCCAAGAGCCTTGCGGCGTTGTCTACGGAGAAACGATGGCTGATGAACGTCGCGGGAATCTAAAGCTGCTTGCTTCTCCCTCACAGCGCGAGACAGTTGGTCCTCTTTGTAACCATTGTGTTCCACCATTTCAAGTACCGGGTGATCGAAACTAATTTCGAAAAGTTGTCTATAGGGGTCAACTGTTTGACATTCCGTAGCATCAACCTCTCCAGAAAAGCCCTTAGCTTTCACGATGAGCAGACTTTTGGTATTGTCATTTCCCATGACCAAAGCACCTCTATCGCATTCAAAATGTACCGGGTAAAATTGCAACATCAATGGAAGGGTATCCTCAGCCCCTACCTGGCTTCTATCCATGGAGCTGGATACACTTTCAGGGGCCACAGGATTTCTAATTTCGGTGGAGTTTTTCTCGTCGCCATCGACACTCCCTTCCATATCTCGATCCTCCTTATCGATGTTCGATCCCTTGGTGAGTTTACGCCGCCGTGGCTGGTTCTCCTTGAATTCACCCACATACACGTCGTCTGTGCTTGTTTTAACATCGCCGTCATTATTGCCCCTACCCTCAATGTCGTTTTTATCACCGTGTAGTAGAGGCTCACCCGTAGCGTCGGTCATGGCATTGAGGATCGAATCATACGCGGCGCTGCGATTATACACGAACCATTCCAAACCAGACACTGCAATATTGATACGGCATGGCAGCTTTTGCTTTTTATCACTGGTATTGGAAACAGTATCCTCCACGTCAACCCTGGACCCATTTTTGGCATCATAGACCTGCGCATCGCGAACCCTGCGTAGCCAGTATGACCAAGTGATGTGGCCATTCTGGATGAGTATGGTTTCGTTATTGCCATGATACCGCAGACCAGTGAAGAAGAGACGGCCGCCGAGCAGTGATAATTGGAGGGCCTGGATGTCGATATAGATACGATATCGATGCCATGTATACGTGCGAATAACGGAGGAGACAATCGAGGCAACTACTCTATTGAAGTATAACAAGAAGAAGACAGCCCTGCGACAAAACACCAATATCAGTATGAGGGCTAATGGATCAAGGACGGGATGTTCGGGCTTACAAGACTCCAGTTACGACGGTGTATCCGAGGAATTCGCTACACAAATGTCAGCGCTTTCTATCTACATTCGTTTGCTCTATGGATAGAATCCAGGGATTGGTCGTTTTACCCATTAAAGTTCTTTAGAGGCGACGTTGTCGTTGAGCCAGGGCTCCCTTGGGTGGCCATCGGCACCTTAGCTTCCCCGGCTTCTCCAGAAGCACGCGCTACCCTCTTGTGTGGTATCGGGTAGTCCAGCGGTAGAAGACATTTATTCAAGGCCGTTTCTATAGACAAAACGAACTGGGAGAATCGGGGTTATCGTGGCGCAGGACAGGCAAGCATCGCATCCGAAAGGCACATGCCTTGCGCAGGCAAAATGCTCCTTCTCAATGACGCTACGCAGCAGAAACGCGCCTACTACTCTGGCACCCCAAGTCTCTAAGTACCAACTTATGCGTAGAATTGCAGGCCTGGTGGAATCGGCATTGATCTCTTGATCTATGGGCGAATATGGAGGTATTTGCTGCTGACAAGCACATGCATACCTATCTCAACCTATGCAATTGCTTAAACATCGCGAAAGCTGGGGTAGGCAGCTGCACTCTAGGTACTCTCCGTGCATTGCCAAGGGCGAATCAGCATGCAAACTCAGTATAGCTCGAAGCTGTAGTGGGGAGGCAACTGCTCAGGTTGGCATTTATGCGGCCTGGACTAATGCGTGGGGTCAGGTATTAGAGGAGGTACCTGGGAGTACTTTAGTGTCATTGGTTTCCCGGTGGTCTGGAACAGACTAGGGATTCTACAGTGGCTATATCAATAGTGTAAAGGTCCCTATCTTTTCTCAGATCCTCTCCAATGTCTGCTAAATCATAGACAGATGAAAGTATCATCTAAGTACCTTTCTCAACCCCTACCCAGAAGTACCGTCCGTCATCATCATCATCATCATTTGTACCAGGCATCAAGAACCACATGCTCTTACACCATCGCCTCCCGCTGCTATTGTCACCATCTCGTGAGTTGTGCACACTATCTATACACCATCTCCTCAAACCGACGGCTGTGCCCTGTACCACAATTGTCGATGATGTCGCTTCTCCAACCTCTTGGCTGTTACCCGTGAAGACGCTCCGACGCCTCTACATCTGAAGATACAGACCTACACTCCATCTCGAGGTCGAAATGGCTCCAGGTGGTACTGGTGAGAAGTTCACCACTGCGGTCACTATCGTTTCTGGCGTATTCTCATTAGCGGCCACTCTTCTTTCCATCGTGTAAGCTAGCTAGACATGATTTCGAGGGGCACGTGTTAATCTGGTTTTGAACAGCTCGATATGGTTTCAACTGTGCGTTGCCTGAACTGCCCACATATGTGCTCCGTATTCACGTCCGACAGGAAGAATTATCGAAAGCCACTTCTACAGCGCTATGTCGTCCGTATATTGCTCATGTAAGGGTCTAATATATTCTCGCGTCACCCTCGAGTACGTGTGCAGCTCTCTCTCTGACTCTTCTCTAGGGTTCCCATCTATTCCATTAGCTCCTGGGTCAGCATGGTGTCACTCAAGGCCGCCGCATTTCTTGACCCTATCCGAGATATATACGAGGTTCGTCCGCCCTCCCCACGCCCCCTTCCCGGCGTTTTCTCCTGGCAATGATCTAATATCGCTATGGCGGTTGTAGGCGTTTACGATCTACACGTTCTTTCAACTCCTCATCAACTATCTGGATGGCGAACGAGCCCTTATTATAATGACGCATGGCCGCGCCCCGGTTCATCATTTGTGGCCTTTGAACCACGTTTTACCCAAAGTCGATATCTCCGATCCGTACACGTTCTTAGCCATTAAGCGAGGCATTCTTCAATATGCCTGGCTCAAACCGATTTTAGCTCTTACCGCTATCATTATGAAGGCGACTGATACGTACAAAGAAATGTATATTAGCCTGTCGTCTGGCTATATGTGGAGTTCCATCATCTATAATATCAGTGTCACCGTCAGCCTCTACTCGCTGGGTTTGTTCTGGGTCTGCATGCACGACGATCTAATGCCATTTCGACCAGTGCCCAAGTTTCTTTGCATTAAGCTTATTATCTTTGCTTCCTATTGGCAGGGCTTCCTACTTTCTATTCTGGTGTGGCTCGGAGCCATCCCGGACGACGTACCAGACTACACCCAGGACAATCTAGCGGCTGCTATTCAAGATGCCTTAATTTGTGTTGAAATGCCGATTTTTGCCATAGCGCATTGGTATGCCTTCTCGTGGCACGACTACGCTAACAATACCGTTTCCTCGGCGAGAATGCCAGTTAAGTACGCCTTGAGAGACTCATTTGGTGTTATAGATCTCATCGAAGACTCCAAGGATACCTTTAGAGGTGACAATTACAGCTATCGTGTGTTTGATTCTAGCGGAAAGATCATTGCCCATGAAGATTCGAGCTCTCGATTCGCTCGGCTCAAAGACGGCATGAGATACAAGCGGGGTGGAGAGGCTAAATACTGGATTCCAAAACCTGGTGAGGTGCGAGGGGAATTGAATGCAAATACTCCTCTCTTGAATTCCAACGGAGGACCAAGCGGTAGTAACGGCCCCTCAAATTATACGGACGGTTCCGTTCCAGAAGTTTCATTAGACCCTGATGAGGAAAGCCTATACAGTAAAGCGAGAGAACTAGAGTTTGGTGACTGGAATGTGAGTGGCTTCACCCCTCCAGGCTATCAGATTGCTGACAAGGTGACAGTATCCCGTGATCACCGCGAATATACCAAGCAGGGATCTCTGGGTGTCTTCAGAACCACGAGTATATCAATCTAGGACTGGCGCCTGGAATGCCTCAAGATCCTCATCGTCAATAAGCGTGTCCAACAAGCCACCAGCCTTGAAGACAGCAAGCAGGACAAGTTCAGAGTCGATCGAGACCCAAGACAAAAAGGGGAAACGAAAGCAGTCAAAACCACAGGTTGCTTCTCCTCCAGAACCAACAGTACAAGTTGCCCAAGAGTCTCAAAGTAAAGGGCCACTTGGTGCACCAGTACTTAGCACAAGTGAGCCTCAGATATTGGAGGAAGAGGCAGAAGAAGACGACTTGACGGACGAAGTTTCCGATCAAGACGGACCGAGCCCTGTATATACAACGGGGCAAGAAGACGAATTCCGTAATGTTTGGGGGCACGAGCATTTGTAAATCATTGTAGCAGATTTGGTTCATTTCTTGTTACCTCATTACTAGATACCCCGGTACAGTTCAAGCTTTTCTTGTGCATACGGCTATTTTTCATGTACACGTTTTGGTAGCGGTTCATAAAAATTACTTGCTCAAATCACGAATCTTGTCTCACCCTTGTCAATGCATGCAGTTGAGGGATCTAAGCCAGATTTTTCTGTTATTTCATTGGTTGAAGGTACCAGGCTTCAGTGTTCAACGTTCCGGTCAGGGTCAGTACTATGTGATACATCGACTACCTAATTGATTATATACACGGCATTCTAATCGGACGCGCAACATATTCATGCCTCACTAGCCGGGCTCGGCGGTAAGTCACCTGTCGCCCAATCAGCCGGTTCTGGCCCGAGAACAAACTCCATTGTGCCCCCATTGGCAAAGACATCGTCCCACAAGACCCAGGCCTTGTCCCAGGATTTCCCATTCACCGACAAGGACTGCACGTAGTACGACTCCTGTCCGACGTTCTCAGCCGTGATGACGAGCTTCTTGCCACCGCCCAGATCGATAGTCAGATCTGCGAACCACGGCGACGCGATGAGGAAAGTCGTCTGACCCGTCAGCGGGTACATCCCAATCATGTTCCAGAGCACCCAGCTCTCCATGGCCCCGGCATCCGAGTTCCCCGGCAGCCCGGACTCCGTCGGGGCATAGTACGAGCGCGCCACGGCCCGGCTGTACTTGACTGAGAGATCCTGACGGCCCGCGAAGTTGAACAGGTATGGTGTTGCGAAACTCGGCTCGTTCCCTGGATTGAACAGCGTGTGGCCGAACTGCGAGTTCCCTGAAGACAGCCCCGGCATGAACATGGCTTCGAGGCGCGCCACGAAGGCATCCTTGCCACCGCTGTATTTGATCAGCGTCGCCACGTCGTGGTGCGCGTTGAACGAGTACTCCATCGGTAAACCTTGGTAATAGTCGTCGCCCCAGTAGCATCCGCCGCAGCTCAGCGGGTCCTGCGATACCCAGTTGCCGGATGAGTCGCGTGGCCCGAGGAAGCCTGTGAAGTTCAGCGCTTCGAGATCGGGGTTCCATTGGTTGCGCCAGTTGCGCGAGCGCTTGAGGTATTTCTCTGCTGCTGTTTCGTTGTTCAAGCCTTTGGCTACCTGGTAAAGGGCAAAGTCGTTGAGAGCGCTGTCCGGAGAGGTTAGCTGGGTGATATGTCGTTTTCTTTTCCTTTTCCCTTGCGCGCTGTAGTCATTACGCACGAACGGAAATGGGTTCCCAGAACTTACTATTCAATAGCCCGGCTCACGGAGCGTCGGTATTTCGTCGTGATGTATCCGTGCTTGATCCAATCTGGGAGAGCGCCTCGTCCCTCTTTCGTCGACGACGAGGTATCTCTCGGGTCATTGTTATTCGGAGGCACTGTCTCGGCATCCGTGACCATGGCCGCGAATCCGTCCTCCCAGTTTATGGCCCCGCGCACGCCTTTCACGTACGCGTCGGCGAGGACATTGTCCGCGTTGGACCCGCCTTGCGTCGCGCCGTTGAAGAAAGACGAGCGAGCATCAGGCATAAAACCTTCAAACCTCCAGACATCAATCACAGACCGGATGAGTTCTTCGTATGCTGTTGGCTGTAGGATTTGCAGCAGTGGCGTGTGAGAGCGGAACTGAAGGCTTGTAAGTGATTGCGCGTACAGTGGACTGAGGAAAGCTTACAGTATCCCAGAAGGTGAAAATATCATCGTAATACGGCTCGCTGGATTCCCACAACGGGTTCTCCCCAGTCTTGTTAGTTGGGATTAGTAACAGATGGTACAACGAAGAGTACAGCAGTTGTAGATTGGCCGTGTTCGACGAGTCTGTCGTTGTTATTTTGGAAAGGACCCCATTAGACCACGCCTCTTTGACACCCTTCTCCAAGGTGGTTAATTCAGTACCAGCTGGGATTTCGCTTTGTACGCTGCTGCAGGCCTGCTCGCTTGAGATGAAGGATACGCCCACTCTTGACGTGATACTAGTGGAATTAAACGTGAAAACGGCGCCTAATCGCGATTTCGACTCTTGGGTCGTGGAATCGCCATATTCGTCTAGAGTTGTCCCTGTTGCGGATGTTCCGAGGAAGGTTCTGAAAGTCGCAGGCTGGTCAAAATGACCACAGAAATATACAGTCCACTTTGGGGCGCGATTCCATCCCTGTTCAACGGTAAGCACATATCCCGAACAATTGGCCTTGTCGTCAGCAAAATACATTATCATAGGAGCCTGATCCCATGTAGCGGATTCCATCATCTGTAGGTGTGACGGTGATGTTGCCGCCGAGGTAAGTCTGTCCCAAGCCTTGGCCTCGATATGATGGAAGCACGTGGGAAACATCTACCACGACGTTGGAAGACCTGCTGTCTTCCGGAAACTCATACACGTACATGCCAGCCCGACCCGTAGCTCCCATCTCGACAGTGATCCCATTGAACAGACTCGATTTATAATACCCAAGCCGACTCTCATCTGCCTTACTCCGGTTAACGCTCAGGTCAGCCAGCGGGTTGTCTATCGTCCCGGGGACAGGCATTTGCGCTACCACGCCATACTTGGGGGCACCGCCAGTCCCGCTTTCATGAAGCAAACTGAATCCGATGAAATTTCCACTAGGTTGATAACCTGAATAACTATCAGACCCAGTGTATAGATCTGGCCCTAGTTTCACCATTCCGAGTGGCAAACTAACCCCCGGGAACGTGTTTCCACCATTCGTGGCGCCCATCTAGGTGGTTAATGTTAATAATCAAGCTTCGAGATTATGTTTTTTTTTATTTCTGTGGACAACTCACGTTAGGTAACACATATTCAGTGAGGTCTTGGGCCTGGCATAATGAGATCGCTGTCGCCGCCACCAGCGTCAGCGCGGACGATATGACTGCCTGACAAGGCATCTCGAGTGATTAGGCGATGACAGAGAAAGGGGAGTTAGTCTGTGCTGCGGTCCATAGGGCTTATTAATGTTTAAGTATTAGGCCAGGGGTATGGCACAAGTGAGTGTGGGGTTCCCGTCGAGATCAACAACGTTTGACTATCCAAATAAGCATACAGAATACCTTTCCCGCTAAACGATCTCACTCACTCACGGGTGGTCAGATGTTTATCTAGGTTGCAACAAACCACGCTTTATAACAAACCTACCCACCTAGTCCCAGAACTCAGCACGATGCCTCGGTACATGCAATTACATCACGGTTACTTTGAGCGTCTAGTGTAGCTTGGTAACCGAAGAATACTTAAAGGGTGACGTTTCATCCGTGGCTATTTTTTCCCTCCAAGGCCATGGCCCTGTCCTGGCCCGTTTGTCCACCTCCTGCTGAATCGGGTCATCGTGACGTTAGATGGCCCTGGCACATGGAACTATGGCGCGCTGGGATTCGCCCGTCCGCTCAAGAGTGGATTACCAGAGCCGCCTTACCGGCACCCCAGCCCCGAATCCTACAAAACGTCGATCCTTAGGCCGGCACCATCTGTCGACCTCCCACACCGGGTCTGACCGGGGCACTGGGCAGAACTGGGTATTCGCCCTTAGGTACCTACAGCAGTGAAAAATGTACATAGCCCCGTCCTCTGCCCGTCCGTTTTAAAATAGCGCTGAATGTTCAAGAAAAGGACGATTTGAATTAGCTCGAAGGTACCTAGATCGAGCCTGTTTCATCACCTATTTAGGTCTGACGAATCCAGCTATGGACTGACACTAAGTCTCGAACCATGTAGTCTGGATAACCTTATACCATATATAGACCATTTACCCACTCCCGTAGCTCTTGAGTTTAATACTAATCTTCTCCCCGCAACATATAGAGTCTGTTTCCATACAAATAAGGAATGCCGCAGTTTTCAACCTTATTACTTTATATAGCAAGAACCGCATGGCAAATGCCTAGCTTTCATGCTAGAACTCATCACTAGAAAACAAGATGATCAAGTTTTAAGTTTCGCCTAGGATTCGCACTACCTAGAGTATTTTAGTTTACGAAGCGTTCAGGTTGATTGCAACTTGACCGTATGTAGCTTAAAACTTCATGTTCAATACATAAACAAGTAGATGCAGCCTATATACTCATTTTAGCCTTCCCAGTGTAATAGCCCTGTACTAGAGCTTTTCAGTTTGGGGAAAGGAGAGGAAGCAAGAGTTGGTTCGCGGGTTGTTTCACGTGCCATTGATAAAGCCCATCATCCATTCAATTTGTGTGGGACCCTGCTGATCTCCAGCAGTCAGGCCCAGCGGAGGTGCACTTAAGACTTCAACGGAGATATTCTTTGCCTTGATAAGATGATTTCTGTCCTATCAAAGAGGCAACTTCTAGGTTCTTCTTGTGTCAAATGACCTGGCACGGTACATATGTGTAACATTCATCGTGCATGGCTATATCAAACCAATGAACTAACCCAGGCATTATGGATATTGGAGTGCACTTGCTGGCCGTTTCATAAGTGCCAACAGCAGTAGCCTTAACAACCCTTAGGGAGCTACCTGGCTATCTAGAAAGATCTCAGATTATCGCAGAATAGCTCCTAGCAAAGGATATAAGGTGCTGAACCCGTGATCTCAAATATCACATCAGCAAATCTGGACACTCACTAGGTACTTAGGCTTCCTGAGTCGCTGCATAACGTCATAACCAACCATATAAAAAGGCCAGGGCAACAAGTATACTTGAAGTGCAATTTGTCTATTTCTTCACGCGCCCGATGCTAGTGCTCCGAAGGGATAGCGTAGAGCATCTTGTGATTATTTATTATCATCCTTATTTGAGGTCTGCAGGATTTCTTTTCTGTCTCCCTGATATTGTGCATTGTTATTATGTAGTCCTCATTGTGTGAAATCATACCTTGTAGCATACTTACTAAGGTACATATGTATTTAGGTTCTATAACAGTAGGTACTGCAAGGTACCATGTTCTCACGCTAGCTGATACGTAATGCTGCGAGTTCAGCCGTACCTATTGGGTACCTCAGGTGCATCTGTTTTAGCGCCTGGCTAGGTGCTCGGTAGTCCAGCCAGAACACCCAATGAACCCCGAATTGACAGTGAACCTATGTAGGTGGTGAAAACTTCTACTCACCGCTTGACAATTCTGCCCGTTTTATTATCTCCCACCTTTCTGTCGCTTCACCTGTATATCCGATGTACTGCAAGGCGCCGGCGCCAGTAACAACATGGGTCGCCGGCCCAATCCCTTGATCCTCGAGTTCTTCGAGAGAGGTGCCAAACTGAATGACAATAGCAACCGTTACCACCACCGCTGCAAGGCCTGTGGCGAGGACTTTCCCAAGGGCCGCATTGACAGCCTTACAAACCACCTCACCAAGAAATGCCCTGCCATATCTGAGGCCGAGCGCATCAATGCCTGCCTGGCCCTTCACGGCATCAATAACGCATCTGGCCGTCCCAAATATGATGGGCTTTTGCACTCTGGTCCCAACATGGGCCCCAATACCAGTCATGCCACTGGTGTCGATACTGGGTTTTCTCTAGGTCAAACTGCTAGCCAAGCCACTGAGATGTCACATAACCACCTCCAGTCTCAGGCTCAGAACCAGATCTGGACCCCCTTGGAAACATTGGCTGAGGTATCTCGACAAATCGAAGCCAACGAAAAGCATGATGATCACAGTGCGATTAGTACCCACGATCCTACAACAGAGGCCGTGCAGACTACATTAGCTGCGGCCATTCCCAACATCACGTCCTCTGGATCTAATGCCTTCGAGTTGCAAGAACAATTCACTCTAGAAAACCCACCGATGAGCTATAATAACCAGCCTCAACAAGAGAAGAAAGGTACGTAATTAGCCCCACCTCAACTATCTCTCCTCACCCCCTGCAATATAGGTCATGCTAACCTCAAGCTTATAGATGCGACACCTCAGAGAGCACCCGAATATGTTCATCATGAACTCTCTGCTGAAGAACAGAGGATTCATCAACTTTTGCAATCCCCTGGGTCCCTTGGATCTCCATCGCAAACTGCCCTCTCAGTTGCCGCCGCCGCTGCAACGGCTCGACTCACTTCATCTCTGCTGGATCCTCAACTGCTTAGCGATGCAGCCATCGCTGAGCAAATTGCCCAGGCAGCTCCGTCCACCGATATGATAGTTGACTACCCAGAGCCGGAAAGAGAACAACTCACCCAAGTTGCCCAGATCAGTCAGGCAGCTCAAGTTACGCCACCACCACCTCCTCCCGTGAGTGCTGCTGAACCAGTAGCACCATGGCATGGTATGACCTACATGTCTGAGGATATCCATGGTCCAGCCACCGTCACTGATCATGGCCATCAAATGGGACCTAACCTCAAAGGTGGTTACCGTATGAATACTACCACCAGCCCTGATGGTCGCCAGAAGCACAGCCGCGCGAAGTTTGACAAAGAGCGCCGAATCGAAGTGCAAGAGGTACGTCGAATTGGTGCATGCATCCGGTGTCGTATTCTGCGCAAGGTGTGTTCCAAAGGTACACCATGCGATACCTGCAAAAAAGTACTATCACCTCGTGTGTGGAGAACTGGTTGTGTCCGAACCAAGCTTTCCGAGTTTATCGACCTATATTCCGCCGGGGTACAGGTGGTCATGGCTCAAAAGCGGATCAATGGCTACAAGACATCGTATGATTTACAGAATACTGGTGTCGTGGTAGAGGCCTCTCATTTCCCCGAATCTGGACATACCGTCACATTCCAGGTATTCCAAGGTTACCCTAGAGAAGAACTTGAAGAGACTCTGAAGTTAAACCCTCACCCTCCTGTCATACTGCTTGATAATGACAGGGAAGACATCCCGGGGAAAGTCGAGGCCTACATGCGCAACATGTTGCCAGAATACATCACACATGAGCCGTCACCGCACGTTCGGGTTACATTGCAGATTGCAGACCAAATTGCTAAGGAGACCAATGACGAACTCTTGAAACGGTCGCTTGAGCTTTGGGGAATTGTAGAAATGATGGATCGGGAACGGCAATGGACGATGCTGGCTAAGTCACCTCAGCCCGAAGTCGAAGATCACTGGATCAAAGACGATACAGAGAGTGAGGCCTACAGCAATATCTGCATGCAGCTTACTGCTGCCGCTGAGCGCAAAGCATCTCTGGCTAGCAGGAACCTGTTAAATGGAATTCAGCGGAGCTTGCAAGACGGCAAGACAAGGCTCGGATTCCCTATGTTCCTTACAGTCATGCTCTTTCTTAATTGTTTAGAAAAGACTACGTGGGCTTTCAAAGCTTGGGATCAGGAGAACTTGCGCCCAAAGTGGCCCCTGGAGCGACCACCTGGCAGTTACACCAACCAAGGGCACGGCCTTACCGAGCTGTTGAGAATGCTTCTTGTGATTCGCCACGTTCTTCCGAAGACTGTTCAGTCCGATCCTGATGTGCCTATTGTAGCCGAAGGAGAGGGACCCGAGGTCAAAAAGTATTTTCAGGACCTTAATGTCACTCGTAAGTCGCTACCTCTAACCTTGATCGAGATTTGCTTAGGGTCGCCTACTAATGTTCTTTCTTTTTTTTAGCTCGTTATCTTCGAATTCGATACCATGATAATAACTTCCAGCCAACTGATTCTCGATCTTTAGAGTTCTTGTTTTGCGCTCAGCTTCTTCTTCACGCCCCGCCTCCCCATGCCGAGCTTCATCCTTTGTCTCGTGGAGGCCTCCAGGAGACCCAGCAGGAAACCCATCAAGAAGTGCCGCAAGAAGTGTCTCAAGAAGTGCCTCAAGTTGCTTCACAAGACATGCCTGAGGCAACTTCTCAAGAGATCACTCAAGACGCCTAGTCATCGTCAACTGCTCAAGAGAAAATTCAAGTGTTCCCAGCAGTATCTCAGACCGACGATGCGGCTCTCACTCAGTGGCTGTTCAGCTACTAGATGTTTCCGATCAAGTTCCCACAAATATGGGCCCCTTCTTATCCGGGATTCTCATGAAGCCCTTCGGCATGCCTTATGAATTTGATGTATGATACCACGAGATTCCTGCGCCTCTCCGGCGCAATTATATAAACATAACACACGAGCTAGAACTGCTCGATACGGCCGTAATAGACCATTGGTCAGGAAAACCATAGAACGGATAGATAAAAAATCTGTGCGAAACAGACATAAAATGAAACGGATATGGAAACGGGCTATGACAAGAGATGATATTACTATACTATACATGTCTCGCGACACTTATGCTCGGTATATAGGGACGGAAAGAAAAAAAAAAGGTTCTTCCCTTCTCCTGTTCATGTGGCTAAAGGCGTTTTTTTCACGGTTGGAATGGAACAGGAATGAAGATGTTCACGTGTGATTTCTTCTGATCTCATTTCCTGTTTCCAGGGACTATGTACCTATTCCCGACGGGATCTCTGTTCTCCCCTTTTCTTTCGTTCTTTGCTAGCACTGAGATGGATTGCTAGACCCTTACATAGATGCGAACGGATATATGCGATATAGAATACTAAGGAGAGAGGCCTTGTTCGCTTTCTTGTCTTGATGTATTCTGAACCAACTTTAAGTGTTAAGCTGTTGTGAAGTAGTCAGCTACGTCCGTGTGGCTAATGGCTTTGTGGTCTGGCTAATTTGACTCATCTCGCACAAGGATGTTCTCCGATGACCCAGTAAGAGAGACTTTTGTACATCAATATATATGTAGCTAGGTAGGTAGGTGTGTTCCCCTATATTCATCAAATATCCATACTTGCATTCATTAGCCTCGAGCTCGTGCACAGATCGTTTGCACATTGAATAAATCGTGATTGCGTTCACAGTCTATAGGTGTTTGGACTCTGCTTTTTTATTGTTTTGTTTTTATTTCATTGTGTTCGTTTCATGCATGCATACATACATACACCCCTTCGTGTGTTGTTCCTGTTGTACAAGTCTATCCACTTAACCTATGTCTAGCCTTAGGTATCTGTCATTGCTTGTTGCCCCACCTAGTTCTTTCCTCCCTGCGTTTCTATCAAAAAAGGATTCGAGGGTTTATGCAAATTATTGAAGCTGTGGATCTTGATGATCAAGGATGGAGGACGAGGGGCGGGTATAAGGAGGTATTGGGAGGTTGAGGTATGAGTTCAGGATATGTCTGTCATCTACAACTTGGAAATGATGGCAGCGGCATACTCATGGGTCTTGGCTTTGCCGCCCAGATCGCCTGTCAAAGCCTTGCCCTCAGCCAGGGTGTCGAAAGTGGCACGCTCAATGCGGTTGGCGTACTCGGTCAGACCCATGTGGCGCAACATCATCATGGAGCTGAGAAGCAGCGCGGTGGGGTTAGCCAGACCCTTGCCGGCAATGTCGGGAGCAGAACCGTGGACGGCCTCGAAAATAGAGCACTCGTCACCGATGTTGCCCGAGGGGGTAAGACCAAGACCACCAATCAGACCGGCGCACATGTCGGAGAGAATGTCACCGTACAGGTTGGGCATGACGAGGACCTTGTCGTTGTAAGGTAGAGGGTCAGTGACCATCTTCAAGCAAGTGTTGTCGAGCAGCTCGGCGTCGAACTCGATATCGGGGTAATCCTTAGCGACGTCACGAGCGACACGGAGGAAGAGACCATCGGACATCTTCATAATGGTGGCCTTGTGTACAACGCGGACCTTCTTACGGCCAATTTCCTGAGCGTGCTGGAACGCAAATCGGAGCACACGCTCACTGGCCTCGCGGGTAATGAGCTTGATGCTCTGAACGACGCCATCAACAACGACGTGCTCGATACCGGAGTACTCGCCCTCGGTGTTCTCACGAATCAGAACGGTATCGACGCCATCGTAGGGGGTCTTGTACCCAGCAACGGAGCGGCAAGGTCGCAGGTTGGCGAAAAGGTTGAAGGTTCTTCGGAGGGTGAGGTTAAGAGAGACGTGGCCCTTGCCGACGGGGGTCTTACTATCTGTCAGTAGCGGTTCTCCTCGTATGAGAATATGGGATCCTCCAAATGACGTACAGCTAAAGGCCCCTTAAGGGCAACCTTGTTTCTCTCGATGCTCTCGATGGTGGCATCGGGAATAGCAGTCTTTCCGTCCTTGAGGATCGGGGTAACATCGACGGGCTCCCAAGCAATTGGTGTCTATAATGGGCCGGTAAGCTTTCATACGATAACCGAAGAGGAACTCCAAGTTAGAGAGCGTACCTTGGCGGCCTCGAAGATGTCCTTCACAGCCTGAGAGATCTCAGGGCCAATACCATCACCCTCCATGATACTGACAGTGTAGCGGCCCTGTCGCACAGCATGTTAGTTCTGATGGTGGTGCATTGGCAGCATGGCAGATGTGCTGGTTGTGAGCGGTTTGTGAACGGTTGACAGGCTTGAGCTATTTTCGTAGCCTTGTCGCAAAGCGGTTTGATGCCGAGGTAATGGAGAGGGCGGCCAAACGTACATTGGCGTTCTTGGTGCCTTGGAATTTGGCAACCTTGTCTGAGTAAAACCTCCGGTTCTGAAGACAGATGCAGTGGTTAGTAACATGAATAACTTGAGGAACGCTCCATCTTCCAAGACATCTCACTCACCTGGAAGGATAGAGTAGCAGTGGCTCTGGGCACGGCTGCAAAGCATTGGCGCCGCGCAGGGGCGGCGACAGCACGGAGGGCTAGCATGATGAGGGAACAGCTGGGAGGGCAGCTAGAGAGAGGAGGGTATAATGCTGGTATTCGAATGATGTCGACAACAACAAATAAAAATGCTGGCGCCGCAGGAAAAGGCTTGTGAATGTCGCGCGCTGCGTGGGGAATTTTCGAAGAGCGGTTTTCCCAAGTAAAAGTAACGTGCCCGCCTCGGGTGGTGTCGGGCTATTTTCACTGGCCGGACAGGCCGCTCGGGCGCTCTACCTCCCTAAAAGGAACTTTCCTAGGGAAGGTTAGGGAAGAAAAATACCGACATACTTACCTAATCAATAAACTGGGGCTTTGTCTCAGAACTCAAACCACGCAGCATTTTTGACATCTGATAACGCCCTCAAAGCCCCTACCTCGCCTACTAACCCAACCTGGAAATGTGGGAGCTAAAATGGTACAGTACATAGAAGAGTCAACACTTTACAGCGAAGTTACGTAACCGCTGTTATCCGCTGTAATTAGGCCACTGCGTGGGAGCTAGGGGTATCTGTGCCTGAGCTTCTGCCTGAGCCGGCGGCGCATTGCAGTGTGGAGTAGTTTCAGCGCAACTTGCGACGACGACGGCCTCATCCTCGACGACACGCTTTGGTCGTCTGCCTGGCCTAGGACTATCAGCACAACAAAGTATACAATTGATTGATTGCCGTCTCCATTTACAACACGCGCGCTTTCAGCTGCGGACGTGCATCACTGATAGTCGGCTTCAAGAGCCCCTAGCCGAGGCCCTCTGTATGGAACAGCCATAGATGCCCAGCTGCAATCATGGCCGACTTCGATCGTAATGTCCTCGACTTTTATGGCATATCCACCTTAATGCCTACAACATGGCCAGCCGAGAAGAATGACAAGATAGATGACTCGGATAGTGACCGCGAGCAGCAGAAGAAGAAGCTGAACCGCCGAAAGTCCCGCTACGATGCCCTCGAACGCGCCGTCAGCAGTAGGGCTAGTATCGTTGCAGGCTCCGAGAAGTCGTCGAGCGGCGTCAGTAACCTGGTGCAGAGAGACGAGCCCGATCCACTTGGGTCTTCGGATAGCGTTGTGAGGACTCTCAATGACCTCGGAGTACCCATCCAAGATGACACTCGGTTGCGTAAGTTCCCCATACACGCCGCAGCCCACTCTATTCTAGTAAGGACTCAAGGCTGAATGCTCCCTACCCAGGCAATCGCTTCCTGCTGTCTTCGACGAGTTTCTCTCCTGCTCTGTTCCTTTCTCAGATGCACGCCAACGCCGATACGCAGTCTTTACTAAGCGGCCTTGATGTTCTCTCCCGATCGATCGACCAGAAGTCCGCCTCATTGAAGGTTTTGGTTGAGTCCAACTTTGAGCGCTTCGTTCGTGCCAAGGCGACCATCGACAATGTTTACAAGGAGATGAAATATCGTGGCGCCGAGCCACCTACAACACCTACTGGTCGAGTACGTGCGCATTCTCGTCATGCTAGTAGAAGTAGTTTCAGGGGTAGCAGTAGTGGCGGCGGTGGTGCTGGCGGACCTGCCGTGCCAACGCTTGGAAATAGTCCGCTCTTGTCGCCTGGCCTGGGAGAAAATCGGAAAAAGAACGCACTTGTAAAGGAAAGCGATTATGGTGTGTTGGGTATCAAAGGCCCTCTTCTTGATGTCTCCGCAAAGGCAGAAGATGTTTGGGGTCCTGCTTTAGGCGGTCGCGAGAAGGAGGAAAATCTGAAAACCATATCTACCAGTCTAGACCGCTATAAAGAGGACATTGAAACGAGCGCCAACATCGCGGATAGCATACGAAGAAAAGATTACGACGCACTAGTAGAAGAATATGGCCGGGCTAGGAGATTTGCCGACGAAACCAGGAAACTAGTCCAGAACCTGGGTGAAACACCACCGAGCGAGACTCAGACATACCAAATCTTGATCGCTGCTCGAATGTGGCACGATGTCGAGGAACAGATCCAGCTCTTCAAGCGGGAGGTCTGGCGCAAATTGACATTACTTCACAGCGTCTCCAAGACAGATACCAGGGGACCGGCTCAAGATCAACACATGGAACTCATCAGCCTGCTACTGGAACTAGGTGTAGAAGATAACCCGATATGGGTCTGGCTCTTGAGTAGATACGATTATCTAAAAGGCAAAATATCACTGGTAGGAGATCGGGCTAAAGTTGAGATCGAAGTATTGAGACGTCGCCTCGCCCATGCTGACAAGCCTTCGTCACAAATCCTCGCCTCGCATTTACGCAGTCTAGGCCGACATTCGGCGGGAAGTAAACCTAACGGGCTGGACACATCAGATGTCATCGAGTTATGGGAGAAAATGGTATCATTTTTGTCCAGTCTCTTGTCTTCTCAGGGTGTGTTGGGAGAGGTTTTGGAATTTTGGCACACCGTCGAAAATTTCATCGACGGAAAAGCGCAGAAGTCGCTACCTACGGGTTATAATGGTGAGTCGCGTGAACACCACCGGCTCTCAGCACAGGGCACGCTCGACCTTCGGAAAGCCACCATCGAGCTTGTTGATATGATCCGTGCTCATGTGTTTGAATTCTTTGCTGGTGCTCCCCCTGAGGATATCTCGCTCCTGTTTTCTCCTTTGCCTCCTTCACCAGGATCTCCCATGTCGGCGCAATTATCGCCTACAAATGCTCGAGACCCTCGATTCCGTCTTGATCCTAACAACATCCCACCACCCTCTCCCAAGCGAGGTGACTCTTGGGAAAAGTTTGCATTTTGGCCACCAACGTCCAACTCCATAAGTGGCGTTCATTACTTGTCGAAAATGCTTGGCTTGGTTGGCACCGGTGCGGCGGAGATGGCCAGTGTAGCTCCTGTCAGCCAAGATGACGCAAAACAGATGGAATTGCTCAGGACGTTAATCGGCGCTGCGCGGGATAGATGTGTTTCTGCCCTTTGCGCTGCATGGAACAAAGATGCCGAGAATATCAAGCTGGTAGAGGATTGGCAACGTTCCAAAGATATGGGAGATGTGACCTGCATGCCCGCAACCTTTTCCGCGTTCGAAGGAGCCCTACTTGGTGGCATACAGAAGATATTATATGTATCTGAGGCAATTGCCAAACCTGGACCTGGGGATATTATCCTACCTCCGCCGGCAAAGCTGTTGCAGATGGTCCGAAGCCAGTACGTGACAACATTATATAAAGCACTTAGTGGGATGGTCGAGAATGCCGAAAGGACAGTCAAGAAAGCCCAGGACGAATGGAGTACAGAAACGGAGGCCCCAGTGGGTTCCAACTATGACAGCGCATCTGTGATTTCTGGAAAGGGAACAATTGATGCTGGTGATAGAGTAAGTAATTGCTTCATGAGTCACAGAATACAACACTAACGAGTCAACCAACACAGAACGTTCGCATGCTATTGACACTCAGTAATCTACAAGCACTCCGTTCTCAAGTAGTTCCTAGCTTGAACTCCCAGTTCGAGGCGGCCTTCTCTGTCAAGCTTACGGAAGAGTCAAAGACAATCAAGGATGTCCTCGGCCAGATTGACGCCCGGCTATTCCAGACTTATACCCGACCAGCGGTAGATTCTCTACGCAAACTCATCCACACAGGAATAAACGATCCCAACTGGGCGCCGGCCGGAAAACCCACCGAAGTAAAGCCATATGTGTATCAATCCCTCCTCTCCCTCGTACTCGTACACACGCAAGTCTCCACAACAGCCCCTTCCCTAACAAGCCAGGTGCTTTCCTTCCTCCTCGAGCAAATTAGTCGTGAGCTCCTAGAGGCCTTCAAAGCGCGGCAAGCATTTGGCCTCAGCGCCCTGATCCAAGCGACGCTGGACGTCGAATTCGTCGCCCAGACGCTCAGCCAGTATACCACGGAAAAGGCCTCGGCCCTGCAGAGCGAGATCTACGCCATGCTCGACGCCAAGACGGACAGTCAGGCCCGCAGCCAGCTCCAGGAGGAATTACCCGGCATGCGCGAGCTGCTGAAGAGATTGAGAGATCAGTCGAGGACGGAATTCGCGTGCTTCAAGAAGCCGAGGAGAACCCAGACTTTGGAGCGGAAAGCGACGGGGTAGGGCTAGATAGATATTCATATTCCATGTCTCGAATGAGTTTCTGGGGGCGTAACCCCCGTCGATCAAGAAACTCGCTCTATAATGTCTACGAAGCGGTGAGATGGCTAGATGCTTGGATTTTTATACCCAAGTTAGCTTCTTCTTGTTCCATGTCTATTACCGTGTAGTACATGTCTATATAATATCGTAGCAGAACCCCGTCTGTAGTCGTCTTATATGATATCAATGAACAGCTACCCGACCCAACTACCTACTTACCTAGGTATCTATCTAAGTGTACATCTACTCCCGAAGTCTAAGCAATACAATTGTAATCCAGCACGGCAGTGCGGACTTAAACATGTTTGGAGATGTAGTGTATATCATATCCTACCTAAGTCCTTACAAGTTACAAGTTAACCTATCCTCATCACAATCCCATCCCCCATCATCTCCCCATAGTCACAATCACAATTATTCAGATTAAAAAAAAGTTCACAGCACGAGTATGATGATCTATTACATATCCCAATAGAATCATTTCCATTCACTCTTATCCCTCACCACTGCATACATACTCTATCTAACATAAGCGAAAGTATATAGGTAGGTAGGTAGTAAACAAGCAGCACCACGGTAACACACGATAAACCCTTGCGCAACGGGAGGGAAGCTGCTAAGAGTCCAATTAACTGCTAAGTAGACAGTTTGCGCTACCTAGGTATACCGGACTCGTCTCGGGCCGTCAATGCCATCGCTGCGCCAAAACTTTTGTATATATCTATTATGCAAAATACCAAGTGTGAAGTGAATTATAAGTATTTATCTTTCCCTTTCTCTGAACTTTGCTTTAGCGGTTCAATCCCTCGGCGGCCCACTTTATCTATATACCATTATAAGGCGGCGAGGTAAGGGAGTTTGCTTCTCGCCCAGACTCCGCCTTGTGCAATATTCTATTGAACGCAGATACGGTGAATATCTCACTGCCCCAATAAGTCGCGGGCAAGGGCAGCTTTCTGCTCATCACTAAGTACCTCCTCTTTGACCTTATCGGCCTTAGAAGCGTCGAAGCGCCATAACCCACCGGTCCTATCTGCGTCCCCATTTTCATCTACACCGATAGATGTGGCCAACATCTGGAGTGTCTCATCCGGGTCCAGGCGAGCTGTAAAATACCTTCTCTCCCATTGTTTCCCTTCAGCCTGCTCCTTCTTGCGCATTGCGCGCTGGGCTTGCTCGATCTTTGTTTTCTCCCTGCCGACGTAGTCCATGTCACCTTTGGCTATGCCCTCCGCTACGCCAGCCCATGCACGGCGCGACTCGAGGGGGTGTTGTTGGTCAACGGGCATCACAATCAGTTCGCTCATCGGGTTTACGTCGGGATCCCATGTGCCCACTAGCGTCTTTGATGAATTGTGCTTTGAAGAGCCGCTGTGGATTTCAAATGCCTTGGTCCACTGACCGGAGCAGTTGTACAATACGTTCTTCTCGTCTCCAGTGGGGTATAGCGTTGCTGTGAACGAGTTCTTCTTGCCGCTTACCCAACCCTTGCCGAGGTACGAGATCTTGGCTGTGAAGCCTGTTGAGGATGTGATGTACGATGAACCGTCAAGCTCTACGAAGGGAGCACCGAATATGAGGCCTTCTATATGTAGTGAAGGCAGTGTGATAAGATAAGTCTCGCTCTCGCCTGTTTTGGAAGGCACTGGGACAGAAAGGATGGCATGACCGATCTGCTTGATGTTGATGGTCTTGGAGAAACTGGCTTTTTGTGCGTTATAACCTTGCAAATGGACTCCAGAAGCTTCGTTTTTGATGCTGTATGCGGTGGCAGGTGGATGGTGGCTGTTTTAAGGTGCGTCAACATGAATCGTATTCCTCAATGCGCAAACTAGTCCCTGGCAACTCACTTGACTTGCTCGCTGACCAGAGCAGTGGTTCCGACGTTATCCTCCCATTTCCCCAAAAACAATTCGCCTAGGAAGGGATTGAGGGGCTTCTTCTCATTGCCGTAACTCTCGCTTCGGCTCGCATATTGTTGTTTGAGAGTGGTTAGAAACCATTTGAGCACAAGCAAAGCCCTCTTGGCAGGGTCTGCCTCCTTGGCTGGAGCGGCAAAGACGCTGGGATGTTCGCCCCAGTACGAACTGAACTCGGTAAGACTTGTCGAGGACAGAATGAAAGGCGGGGCGGTCAGAGAGGATAGATCGCCATTGAAGGAGGCAATGGACTATATGCCAGATAAGAAGAGATGAACTATGTTAGCCAACCAGCCAACCAGGCAAGCAAGAGAGACGAGAGACGTCGAGGGTGGATATATGAGAAAACAGTTGTGTGCCACGGTCAACTAGGATCGCCAGCTGTATGGTACAGTCGCGGGGCACTAACCTTGAGAAAGGAAGACCAAGATGACCCGGTAGCTTGGGGATTCGGGACCGGATCCGACATGACTGTGAACTCTTTAACGCAACGTAGTAAAAGATACTGTGTTCGTAAGGTACCTTAGTGAACAAATAATTACGGTAGGTAGCACTGGGGAGCAGAAGCAAGGCAAGGGTCCACGACAGGGTCGAGGTTGATGGCGATGATGATGTCAACAAAGTGGTGTCGAGTCCAGTGGTAGACCCGGTCTTGACACGGTCTTGACCCGTACGTCAATCAATAGATATGATAGGATTTAGCAGGACTTAGGTATGTCGACGGCGTCGCGAGGGGCAGAACGAGCAGAGAGCATGCAAGCTAGTCACGGCCTAGTCTGAGGATTTGCGGCCAGGTGGATCCAATAGTTTGGCGTGAATGCCGAGATGGGCAGACAGATGAAACGAGGGGCGGGAAGATGAGGTGTTTTCTCTGTTCAATGCCCGGTGACAACGTCGTCGGCAGGGCAGAGACAGACGCAGGCACAGGTAAAGACAAATCTGAAGAGTGGAGGATGGAAGATGGAGGATGTATGATGGATGGGGGTCTTGTCAGGATTACATACAGTAGGTAAGTAAAGGAGATAGATACCTAGGTAGATAGGTAGGTAGGTAGGTACAGTAGATGGGGATCGGGGGTTAGACAAGACGCTTTTTATTGTCTGGCCTTCTTCCTCTGTCAGTACTGCTCTGTCCTTTCAGCTTAGGATTCTTCTGCTGAGGGAATGTTGAAGCTAGGTATGATGGTAAAGTGAGGCGCAATTCGTCGGAAAGGTAGGGTTGACGTCAAAAGGCGATGTGCAAATGCCCCTCCATCATCATCTGTGGGCTGGTCCTACCCACATGTATCGTGTACTTGTCCCAGCACCTACTTTTACCTACTTCTGCCTACTTTTACGCGTTAACCTTGGGTAGATCGACTTAGCATTGCACTTTCTCCCCACATGCACTATCCGCCCCTCTCTCCCTTGCTCAGGTTACCTGACCTTAAGGTCAGACTCAGACCCAGATCCAGATCCAGATTCAGATTTTAGTGCAGGTCCAGGTGCAGCGGCGTATTCGCAGCTTGAAGCACGTATTCGTTCCATGCTGTGCTATATTGCTAGGTGACCTTAGGGACAGTGGTGGGTGTGACACAATAAGGTCATTAGAAATACATATATAGATCCATCTACTCGTCTATCCTGAGGTCCTCGTGGCTCTTTCGTCCCATACGAGTACGACTCTCTCTCGTTATAACACCTCGTTCCCAGCTCCAGGACACAGGTTTAAATGCGTGCTTAACACATACATACATAGATAGCAGTATCGCAGTCTTACACGCGACAAGTCCACCAGTCCAAATCATCGAGATCATTCGGGATTTATCATGGTCGATCTCCAAAGTCCGTGACCGTCCCCCACGCCCTTGGATTACTTGCATTTCATCTGCCGTGAAGGTGGAGGTGCAAAGCGCCGGATGACACTAGTGTACAGCATGACTGCAGCGGTGCCGCTCCAAGTTGCGCTTTTGTCTGAAACAAGAAGCTGATAGCGTGCCGCGAATAAACTGGGAGATATACAGCTATATCTATATCACAGTACACATTCCTGCCTAGCTCCATCTTTCACGACCTCAGCATATCACGGGGCTTTTTTCTACAGTGCTCGACTAAAACATTCGTTCGCAGTAGATGTAAAACTAGGTAGTGAAATCGTCATCGACTTGTCGTCGTTGTCACTGTTACCGTCAAACGTCCAGTGACTGGTAGGTAGTCATTCAATTCTGTGCCGTCCGTTATTAGGATTACACACTATCCGAGTCGGTGCGTTGCTGTCTATTACCATTACAGGACCAAAAGGCAACTCCTTCCCCGGGTATCGTTTCAAGTCGTCAAAACCTTTCCCACGTTTTCGCCACGGTCTCCGATCATCATTTGACCGGGTGCCCTGCCTATTTTGAAAGCTGCTGACCCTATGCACCGATAACCCCACACAAAAACATATGCCCGTACAACAAAAAAGTCTATATACATATATCTAAACAAAATCCGAATACAATAAAAGCGGCACTAGGTGCGCTTCTGTGGCCTCAAGACGAAGAGGGCGCGGGTGGGGGCCGGGGCGTATGGCATCTACTAACCAGACCCTGACCCATCTTGCCGTTGATTCCCGAGAACCGCCCGTCGGCGATGTCACCAAGGATGGCCCATGGGGCATAGTCGCATCGTTTGATGGCCGGATCGTAGGTCCACGCCAGGCACTTGGTCGACTGTCGCTCACAGATTGCGAGGCAGTCTTCAACCCTGATCACGCCTTCAACTGTCGTGCTCCCATCGTCGAGTCGTCCAACGTAATTTATGTTCTGCCGGACCGGTACGCCAATGAATGATTGGTAGTCCGGCACTCCGTATATCCTAGAGAGGGAGCCCCATGTTACCGGGCCCTTCTGGCCTCTGAAGACTTCCCCGACTTGCTCCATGGCATCTCTATCTCCCAGGCCGTGGAAGCCCATGATGGGTAGGCATAACCGGTCCACCCACATTCGCGTCATCCAAGGGTGTTCTCCGTTGAAGAAACGTCGGTACGTCTCATCGAGGTATATGGCGATCTTCATCAATGTAGTCGAAAGCAATTTGTCACCCCAAACAGCGAATGGGGACTCCAGATGGGCTTTCGCCACGATCTCGGGATGCCATTCGAAGAGGTTTCGCATCGTGGCTCCAGATAGAATGACGGAAGAGCCACCATGAGGGAATCGGCCCTTGTAGTCTCCTACGGGGTTCCCTATGTAGTGGGGCTGGCCAAAATTCAGGTGACCCAAGAGTAGACTCAGGGAACTCTTGATAACATAGGTATCGTCATCCAACATGACATACCACTTCTTCTTGGGTAGCGTATGCCAGGCATACTCCAGTGCAGGTAGGAACTAACAGCAGATTGTTAGTTATGCGATCCAGTACGACCAAAATGTAGATCAGGGTTGGTGGTACCTTCATGGCGTCGAGCTCCCATCCGATAGCCCTGCCTAGGCCTTCAGATAGGACCCATTCCTCAGCCTCGACAGCATCGCGAAGGTTTCTGTACTTATAGACGCGCTCCAAGTGTTCTCTTCCCTTGAGAGCGCCTCTATCCAAATTCCAGCCCAGAATATCGATGACCTCTACCCCCTTTCCATTTGTCAGGTTATAACGCTTTTGCTCTGGTATAACGGGAAAGTCCTGGACAACGACAATATCGGGGAAGAACGACTCGTTACTCAAGGCCCGCAATGAGAGGGGCATACGATGCTTGGTGCCGTATCCTGTTTTGATGATGACACCAATATCGTTGTCAGGGTCGATAGGGTAGCGTTGTTTCCTGTACAGCCACGCGTCGTTCGGGTGTTGACTCTGGTAGTAGTCTTTGGCTACGCTATGTTGAAAACGAAAGAAGGCTCTGAAAGCACCGTCATAGGGCGCCGTGGTATAGATGACGAAAAAAGATACAACGAAGCCAATGGCGAGCTTCTGCCATCGTGTAAGACGGGCGCCCAGTGCGCGAAGCTTGTGCCGCTCGACCAACCCCATTGTAGGAAATGGTCGTTTTGGGTTCGAAGAACAACGAGTTAGACGAAGTCGAGATGGGTTGTTGGAGAATGCTGGTCCTCTGGATCGATGGCTCGGATGACGATCCCCTCCCTCTCCAAGAGTTGATGATGTCGGCGTGCGGCGCTGGGGAAACGAGTGTGGGTTCTGAATAAGTAGGTACAGGGTAACTACATATAGAAACGAGATCTACACCATGAGAAGCGATGGGATGGGATGGACCAAAAACAAGGATGCTGGATAAATACAGGCCGCTCGGAATGTACAGAAGACAAAACCACACCACGCTGGACGACTGTCGGTTCGCATCTATTACTTGACACCGCAGAAGGTGAGCATTGTCGGTTTGATTTATTTTTTCGGTGTCGAGGAGGATTGGATGGATGGATAGATAGATAGATGGGCGGATGGAATGGGCGGACGGGTGCCATGGCGGAAAAGGAGAACAGAGAGAAAGCCTGTCTCGCCTGTGTTGGCTGGATGTTACGCAATCCTTCATTGGAAGTGGAGTGTGAACGTGCATCGAAAACAGGGATGTGCCCGGCCTTGGCAGACGAAAGAGGAGTACCAATCGGTCATTGCACAGCATCGAAATCTACCACCGATTTAGTGCTTTGCACTATAACAGCTATTTACTCACTCTACTTACACTACCTACCGAGACTACCTACCTCTATATAGGCACTGCCACCTCACTACCGGCCCCCAGCGCCGCGGCATTATACACTAGGTAACAACTAAAGTGCATATATACTATATACTATCTAGTAGATATAAGTAGTGTAGGGTACTATGTAAAGTGAATGTCTGTGAGTGCTAATAGCCAATGTTCCTGGCGGAGTCCGGCCGGTTTTGGCCATGTTCTGGCCAGGTGCATCGTGGGTGCCCGAAGTGGTGTCCAAGCCGCTAAGCCAGCGCTAACACCCGATTTCCACAGTACCAGCCTGCCCAGGGGCTGGATGGGGACGGTTAGCGGCTCGTCGCCTCAACTGAAAACAGAAGAGTGATTGGCGAGCCAGGGCTAAGAAAAGCACCCATGTATTGAAGATGCAGGCAGAGCAGAAGAGAAGACTTTTCATGAAAATATGATCTGAGAGTTGGCAGGACTATTACCTGCTCAGGGAGGATATGCATACCTAGCTACAGCACGTTGCATCCTGTGACTGTAATTAGCCCAAGCACCCCTTGAGTAGGCAGGTGTACATACCAGTGCATTTGGGTAGTATGGGTGTAACCTGCAACCGGCGCCGGTAGATCTCAGCTAACATGCCTTTACATAGTACTAATTACATAGATATTCACTTTCATTATATAGTACCTGTAGGTAGTGTCTACTTGAGTAGCTGCTAGCTCACCCAAAAACTGAATGATAAAGCCTGTGTAGGGTAATCATGATGTCGTAGTGTAAATTCAGGTTTGGGTTCAACTTACCCTAGACTCAGTGATCAATATCTACTCGGGTAACTGATCACATGCGACCATGCAAACTGGGCTGACTGTTTCCAGAAGTCTGAGCAGGCCTAAGCAGCCAACTCCATGGGTACGCAAATTTTTAGTATGCCTCCTACCCATGACACGGCATGGCGCTGGATATGGCTGATATGTGGCTGGTGCCCTGCATCCATCTGCCGAAGTTTAGGTTAAGGTACCTAATACGCGTTCGTGAGTCTTCTTGCGCCGAATACCATGCGAAGCATCTTTCGAGAACTTACTTGGTGCACCCAAATTTATTATCAGTGGCTAGTCATATATGCTATAGAGGACTAGAAAGAGAGGTGTGCGACAACTACTCTATAGTACGCGTGCGCTCTACGGGGGGCTTATGAGCTGTGTCGCTGACAAGCTTGTGAGTATATCACAGTTACTGGTGGTATGTTTATATGTAGCCAGGTGATAGTCATGCTTCAAAATATAGCTTCACAGTGAGTGGTTGGCTTGGCTCAGTGAGAATATATGCGACTGAGGATGACTTCAACATGGTTGGAGGGCCTTATATTAGTAGGTGAATCATGGAGAAATACCTACAAGATACATCTCGCTAGAGTTGGCTCTGCAATGGGTTATGTAGCTATATCGGTGAAAAGATCGTATACGAGGGATCGTATTCAAATACCTAATCAGTCTATCGGTGATTTATATCTTAAGCGCTGTTGATGGCGCGCATGTGAACTCGCAATGACGCTAGAATTCTCTCCTAAGCAAAAGGTCAAACTTAAATAATCGGTGACAGCCTTAATAACCACTCCTTTTCTCTTTGTACTACGCGATCTCATCTCATGAAGCACTCTGAAATTGAAGCGCGGGACTCCCGAACGCCCGGTGTTGGGTGGAACTCCAAGTGCTTCGTGCTTTTCCTGCTATATACTGCTAAGTCGTGTCTTTTCTTCGTCATTATAATAAATGAATTACGCATCGAGGCCACCCAAAAAAAGAAAAGAAAAGAAAAAAGGAAGATCTCAACTCTTCTCCGAGTACGTACGCATAGTTTACACATATAGCCCTGCCATTACTCCCGAGCGGTGTGTGATGTTCTTTCTTTCTCTCTCTTTAAGGCGAGGCGCCTCGGCAGCAATACATCAATAAAATCAGGCCTCTCAATATTAACTGGTGATATTGATGATCTAGCGAAGACTCTCTCCCCAAGAGGTGCGATGGTAGGCATATGTCGTGATAGCACATGTAGGCGCTTGAATCGTAGACTAGGGGTTGTGCTCCAGGGTGGTGATGTGAAGAAGATAAAGTTCTTGCATCACAGACTCCTAGCTGGATGCTAATTACTATTATATGTTCACTGAGACCGTCTAGACATTACGAGTCGCAGGCGTTCGCGCTCTCAACTGTAGGAAGGTATACAATTGCCGAAGTTCCGAATGATGAAGATGGCTGCTGAGAAAACGAATTCTTAGCAATTAACAGAGGCGTAGGAGCTAGATGAAAGAAGATGAATCGAGCTATCGAAATGCTTGCGCTTTTATTTTTATTCTTTTTTTTAAAAAAAGAAAGAAAAAGGATTTCTTGGATTTCTTCTTACTCAAAATTACCAACTTGACCACCCTACTATCTTCTCCTTCATAACCCCCTTTACCAAGTCTAGGGTAGACTGTGTCTTTAAATCGAGGTTGTGTGCGGCTCATATGTAGATTCCCCATACTGGCGTCGTGCCGCTGTTAACTTTGTATAGTGAACAAGAAAAAGGACGTACTTCGTGACACGTACGCAGTTTCATCACTCTATTCAGCCTTGTGTACCATTTGGCATAGAAAAAGCACCTCCAGTCCGTATTGATGTACATATCTAGTGTTTGGGCTATAGATGGATATATAAATATATGAGCTAGAATTAATATTAACGCATATTGGACTAAGAACATGATCGTCAGTGGGAAATATTCCGGTCGGTTATCTTTGTACGCGACCTATTACAATCCTGCCACTCATTCGCATTATCCTTATACTTTCCCGGCATTCGCATCCGCGATGATCATCTCGCTAGCCTTCTGGCTCATGGTATAAATAGCCGTAACAATATAGAAGCCGGGAATCCTAGGAAAAACAGAGGCATCGACGACACGCAGCCCTTTGACGCCACGGACCTTGAGGTCCGAGTCCAGCACGGCCATCGGATCGTCGTCGGCGCCCATGGGACAAGTACATGAGGCATGGTGGCCCCATGCCTCATCTTGGAGCCACTGCTTGATGGCCTGCTCATCGGTGTGACTCCTCCCGGGCCAGTTCTCCTCGAACGCGCCAAAGGTGGGTATGTACCTGTCCATTGCGCTGCGACTCCACTGGAAGGCCTCGTACAGGGCCTGGACGTCCTCCTCGCCGCCCTGCGCGAAGTTGTTGAAGGTGATGTTGGGCATGTCGCGCGGGTCCGTGGACACGAGTTTCACCGTGCCCGCGCGGTTGCGCGTGTGGCCCTTGAGAATGAGCCATGACCAGTGACGCTTGTCGCTTAGCGAGTACCGCGAATAGTCCGGGAAATACCCCTCGAAGGCACCCGGAGCTCCGAGGATGATGACGTCTGCGTCTTTATCTGCGACGGACGACTTGAGCACGTAGGCTACTGCGCCGCCGTTCGTGGCGTACACGCCCTTGGACTCTTGACTCTGGCCGGCTTCCCACTTCTCCAGACATGGGTCGGGACCGTCCGTTAATTGGAAGGTACAGTCCGCGGTCAACGCGTAGTCTTTGTCTGACACGGATATTACTGCGTTTTCATATCTATCTTGCATATTGGTTCCCTGTGCTTTCCGTGAGCGACGTGTTTGGGGATGGGGTGGGAATGTAAACATACAACACCAGGAAGATCCACCACAACGGGTATGCCGAATGATTCTAGCTCGGGAGCAGGCCCAATACCGCTGAGCTTGAGAAGCTGTGGTGTGTTATACGCACCACCAGCAACGATGACCTCGCGAGAAGCACGGACCGAGCCTTTGCCTGTGATTTGAGCTGTAGCAGAACGGGCATCAGCACGGTATAGGCTCTTCCCTTCAATATACTCAACGCCGATTGCACGGGGAGTGCCGTTGACATCCTTGAAGTTGATCTTGGTTACCTATTCACCATCAGTTTCATATAACCCTATAGAAGAGACAGGAATGCCCTGCGTAAAGCTTACCAATGTGTACAGCTTAATATCGAGGTGATACTTCAGAGTCCCATCATCGTTCACTGCATTAGCAACATCAAGAATGCGCTCCCGTGGGGAAGCCCGCACGCCGTCTTTCATAGCGATGGGGACTTGGTATAACCCAGGCCTACCGAGCTGGCCCGGGCCGTTAATATCGACGGCGAAAATGGTGGCGAGATTTGTTACAGTACTGAGGAGGCCCGTCACCAGATCTTTCCCAGCAGCTGTTGCCCCTGATAAGACCAGGTTGAGGAACTTAAAGTCCTCGAGAACAAGGCCCAGATAAGTCACCGAAGTGGTAAGCCAACCATGATAGCCATGGCCTACAATACTGCTGGGGAGATACTCGTTCTTCTCTACTTTCTCGAAGTATTGCCTCATGTTGGCGCCTGCCCATGAGTCGTCGCCAGTTAACTCGGCAATATTATCCCAGTCTTGATCGAAGGGGTACATCGTGATCATAGCATTGTGTCGTGAGCAACCACCGAGCGTGCCAGCTCTGGGGTATAGGATACCAAGCGGCTCTGCGCCTGGGGGAGGGTTGAGGCCTCTGTACTGAGTGCCATTGGGCATCTTGTAGATCATCTTTGAATCTTTCCTCTGTTGGCCTATATCGTCGAAGTGATTGACCCAAAAGTTCCACGCCGTGTTCTCGAATTCAGAAGCTAGGAAGTGTAGACCGGGAACAACTTCCTCCGTTGCTATTGTCCATTAGTCAGTGCGCCTGATCATGATAATTGAGAATGTGTTTTACCCCCTCCAGAGTCACCACCAGCATCAATTAGCAAGACCTTGAAGCCGGCTATAGCGAGGTTCGCCGCGACTGGACCGCCGCCAGGTCCTGACCCAACAACGACATAGTCGTACTCTTTCGTCCCATTGCTGAGGCGCTTCTTATGATGAAAGAATTGGTTGTGCCTCTGGCTATAAGAGCTGCGCAGAAGTTAGGGAACAGGCTGACCTAATTCCTAGCGAGCGACTCACAGTGAAAAGGCGGCTTCGACCAGTATAGCCAAGGAAACGAAACCAGCGAACCGCATTATGTCGTTTTGGAAGTTGGTACCAGCCTAAGTTATGCAAAGCACAGGCAATTATAACGTAGTCGCATCAATTACAACATCTCTCAATGCGTACGTAAGTGGCGTGAACCAAATGGGCGAGAAAAGAGAATTGCCGGTAGTTTCGTCAGAAATCCTTCGAGCACCAGGCCTTGTCATAACAGATAAACCATGGGCCTCTTTGGGAAGGGATGTCAGATAAGGTACTGGTATCATCTATGTCAGTTTAGCGGTATCGAGTGGATTATAACAAACTACCAACCGGCATAGTAATAGCAAAGCTCGTGTCATTGGGGCTTCAGTATGTCGAATATGGAAGGAAGTATGGTAGTATCGTGTGTGTAGTCATTCCATGTTGGGATGAGCAGGGAGCAGCTAACAACCTTGATGAAGTGGGGTGACAAGGTTGCTTGCGCACTTGGTGTAGCGTAGCGTGTGTAAAGGGGTTGCTAGTATGTAAGCCCTGAAAGTGGAAAGATCAACATAAATAACTGTGGGCAGACCATGTAGTTGTTGGACCTGAAAGAGTATAGTATCATAGAGACGGATGTTGCGGAAAAGCGTGCCAAAGAATAAAAAATTGTCTCTAGGATTCTGTTTAGGCAGGTAGTTAGTATCACGAGGTTGGCGATGTCGAAAAGTTCCCTCAGCTCTTCCCATACTTAGGCACAACAACCCTTATTAGAATGAGTCTCATGTTTGAAATAGTCGGTCATGACTCGTGGGAAGTGACGGACCTTGAATGTCGCTGGAAAATAGTTCGGCGCAATACCTCAAATGGGAGCCTCGATGTTATTGTTTGGGAGTAAAGCTGCCTAGCCGTTTAACTAAGGATAGCTATAAGTGCCACATAGGACACTGATCTAGACAAGTCAACACGTCTTGGCCTCGTTAGCTCATGGAAAGTAGTTGAGAGCAGTTGATAAGACTGGAACTAATTTCTAATATTCGAATCTCATGGAATTGCTTCGGAAACAATATACATGTAAACGTGAGACCTTTCAAGATATTGTGCCAAAAGCACCAAATTATATCTCGGTAAACAAGGATAACATGGTCGCTTCAATGCAAGCCACCGGTAGTGCGCTGCAATGCTACGGTCTACCTACATATACACCTTCGGCATCCACCACCAACCAGTATTACCCAGATCAGAGGCAAAGTAAGAGTGCATCTGCCGTTTATTGATAGCTAAACTACCTACTTAGTGTAGAGACTAGGACCAGGTATTGAGGTTGTCTGTTATTTGTTACATGCGAGCGATGAAGTTACATTACTAACGCCTGTATCTACAAGAGATCAGGATAATCTGTTAAATATAATGTACTTCACTATGCCAATTGCTTGGCCTAGATGGATATATTCTGGCATACGACCTCGCTACCTGGATTTTGGTAAATGCAGGTACGAGGCATCATCCCCCAGCGCTACCCTGGTTACTCCTCTGTCTGACTGATCGCCAAGAAACTCCAAAGCCGGGATTGTTGCCGGGAGCTAAACAACGCGCTACTTTACGAGCCGTTGGTGATGGCGCGATTGCCATGCAACCCCCCTTGGTGCGGAGTGATACTCGTGGTGTACACGTAGTGCCCTACGTATGTTTTACTGATAAGATGGTCCGGAATCAGAGGATAGCTGCCGGAAGAAATTATCATCACGTTGTCGAGGGGAACCGACCTAGTGTAATGTGCGTCAAGCAGTCTTATGCTTACATGTGCCTGAGTAGATTGCTTATATCTGTCATGCGGATCATGTAGGTACGCAACCTCCACGATCGTACGTTATCTCAGAGCCGTTACGAATGTGACGGCGCCGAGTTCCGCAGGAGAATATATATGCATGCTCTTTGTCTTTTCTGTTTGTTTCGCACTATAGTACCCATAACTGGCCGACGGGCAGTTGATCTTCATGGCTTACGGGTAGGTAGTATACTGTCATAGGTACTGACATACCTATTATCAACAAATTAATAGTGTGTGCTACATACGTATTATCTACACTACCGAGACTACCTACATGTTATAAGTAAGTATGCACATGCGGCATGTTGGTGAATCGGACCAGTACGAGACGTTAATAGTCTTGGGGTCTCCAAGAACGGTAAAGGTATGGTAGGATGACAGCGTAGCATCGGCGAACTCTGCTTGCATAAGCGTAGTTAGTGCCCCATGAATTCACTCAAAGTTTCCAAGAGTGCTTTTCACATGGTTCCCTATCCTCCTCTGGAATGGGTTCTGTCAGGCGATCTCCCCTTTGTCTTATGTTCCAGTCTCCATCAACGGACCGAGAACAGGACTAACGGAGCTGAAAAAAGAAAATAAGATAGTCACAATGCTTTAGAATCGATCTTTACGGACGCAGCCAAGTCGAAACGTTTCTATCTTATAGCTAGCTGTGGCAGTGCTAGCTTAATGTCTTCCCCGGGCATTGAGCTCCGCTTAGAACTAGCTTGGCTAGAAATGCCGCCGTTGTTGGGGAGAGTTGTGCTCCTCCACTTGGTTTAATGACTGCCCCATATCACACCTCCAACGTCTGCATCCGCATGGCATTGAGCCTAAGTATGCAGGTACACATATGTCAGAGCCGTTCGATAAGGCAAATGTAAATTACATAGTTTCTTTATAGGAACGATCTTTGCTATGTTCGGTTTAACGACTATCCAATATCACATGAAAACCAAGAAATACCTAGTTATCCGAGCAATATTCCTATGCATCGTGAAATACCTATATGCCTAAGTACCTACGTACTGGTCTACCGCACCATGTCCCATGCTAACTACCTAGGATGTGATCCAGGTATTATAGCAGGGTCGGCTATACCAATCTTCACGTCAGAATGTCTGGCCCTTGACAAATTCGTGCTAGGGTATGGGTAAATATGGGGAGGATCATCAAACTAGGTGGACCGGGATTGGTAACCAGCCATCTGAGGTGATATCCCGATGGGCTCATTGGAAAGACCTCGACCTCGTGTACATAGTCTCAACGTTGAAAGAATCATATGAAAAGCTGTCACGATAGTTTATATCTTACAGAGGCTTGCGCTTCGTGGTCGAAGCCCTCGGAGTTTTCCTAATACTTAATCGTCTCTGTCTAACGGGCAAAAGATTTCCTTGTTGGCGTCTATGTAGCCATCATGTTGGGAAGGGCACTGGTCTTAGGGTGCTTAATTGGATTTGCTTCCGTCGCATTTGCTGCAGATCTTGCTGGATTTAATCCAAACGACGTTCCTGAATGCGGCGTATGTGATCTTCGAATACTAGCACAAGCCCTCCGAATGTTACTGATAATATTCTATAGCTCCTCTGTATAAGCGGTACAGTGTCGCAAAAATCGTCATGTTCGCCGACCGACTTCGCCTGTGTTTGCGCCAATGACGCCTTGATTGGAGAGATTGAGGCATGTATCGCACACTCGTGCCCTCCGCGGGATGCGTTGAGTATGACCCCTTTATTGGATTCTCTTTCTTCCGTTGAGCGTCACACTAATACTCTTTATTAGCGACAGCAAAAATCGCGAAGGCATTGTGCGGTGTTGAATCAAGGAACAGTACGTAATCCTCGATTTATCCTTTCTCACGAGAGGCACATCTTAAGCTCTTTCGCGCATCACACTATGGAAATCATGCAAATTCCACTATCTCGCGGTGTTTACTGACATCTGATGCCGTATAGTAAACTTAGCAGTATGGCTGGTTCCACTGGTGACAATCATCCTCAGCACGATTTTCTTCATTTTGAAGCTGGTGTCTCGATTCGTGCTACAACAGCAGGTTGATGTTAGCGACATCATGCTAGGTATCAGCGTGGTAAGTTCTATCGCGCCGTTATTCGTGACGACAGTGGGATTTCTGACTTTTTTCCCTTCGATATTAGGCTTTGACGCTTCCGGTTTTATGGGTGGCCTTCAGATTGTCCCAGTTAGGATTGGGGCATGATGTTTGGAGCATACCTCAGGATAATATCACAAAGATCCTTTATGTATGGAACCCCGACCATCTGATCATAATGTACTCTGCGGATGTCGCTGACTTGGTCCATAGTTGTATTGGTGGGCAGAGATTATATACCAATCTGGTTTACCCCTTACGAGAATTGCGATCCTCTTTTTCTATCTCAAGGTGTTCCCGCAAAAACATATCAGATGGGCAAGCTATGCGCTCATCGGGCTGAACGCCGCGAACTTGATCGCCTTTGTGCTGGCCACCATCTTTCAATGTTCTCCAATCTATGGTGCTTGGACATTTTGGGACGGAACGTTTCAAGGACATTGCAATGATCTCCATCTCCAGTCGTGGATACAAGCTGGAATCAATATCGCTTTAGGTAAATCTTCTATAATGGCATTTCTGTCAAGGGCGTCAAATAAGAGACACTCCATTGGAGCGACTTTTTATTTTCCTTTCCCAGTACATCCTGATCTGCTAGAATTGATCGCTAACTCTTATTATCTGTAGATCTCACGACCATAATTCTACCACTACCATCATTAGCAAAACTTTCGGCTTCAAGGGGGAGGAAAATTCGCATAATAATCATGTTCGCGCTCGGGTTCTTGTAAGTAGATTTCAATTGTCGGCCCAGCCTGTTTCATCACATCACTAATGCAGGCATGGGAACAGCATCACGATCATCAGCGTCCTTCGTCTAAGGACTCTTGTGGTGTTCGCGAATTCCACAAACGTTAGTTACGATTACGTCGAGCCAGGACTGTACTCTATCATCGAAGCCTCGGTCAGCATTATCTGCGGTTGCTTGCCCTCAGTAAGAGCCCTTCTGCTCACCATCACGCCCAAACTCCTTACTTTGACGAATCGGTCCAAATTTTCGAACTCTCAGACGCCGCCAGGCGAATCCTCGCGTCAAAAGTTTGATCGCCTTGATGATTGCGAGAGTGCAAAAAGTCCCATCAAAGTCAAGAACGAGTGGTCAATTCACAGCCAAAGCACCCACCAGGGTCTGGAGTCCGGATCCAATGTGGAGCTGGTGACCATGGACACTACGCGATCTCGGAGCAGTATAGATAGCGAGCATGAAGAAGCGACTCGAACAGTACAGAGTGTGAACTGGAGCCGGCCACTGCCACGCTCGCATGAAGGCGGCCTGGCATAAATGTCCCTTGCGTTATGTTTCATTAACTTCATCTAGCATAGGTAACAGTATATGGCGTTAGCGTTTGTCTTTTGGGGTGGCAATAGTCAAGATAGCGTGGGTGGTATCGTCTTTATCAGCAAGTTAAATTGGACGGAGGCAAGGAAATAACAAGAGGGATGCGGAGGTTTGCGATTGCGATATGGCGGGTTGCTTAAGCATGGCTTGTTCCAACAGGAATCTTTTATCCTAGATGGATTATTCGGAGACCTTAACGGGAATGTGAACCTGCCCTGATGACACATCAAGCTGGCCCACTGAAGCTAACGACAACTGGGATGCTGGCATGCGACATGCCTTGGAATTGGCAACAGCTGGGCTGGTCTCAACCTGAGCGTGGATAATAAGGTCGACATGGCCGATGAGAGTGCGTCTGAAAACTAGTCGCGCTTTTATTTGGTGTTCGATATCATGTACAAAGGGCAACCAACAGAGCAATAAATACACTTGTGCCCAAACTCGGGATGGTAAAATGTATTTGATATGGATGCGTAGTTATTGCGAGATGGCATTTTGGTATAGCAAAAGGGCACATGTAAATGCAAATCTGGATATTAGGAGCAGATATCATGCGAAACTACTTATGTATATAAGTTTCAAAATGTGCCGGATCCATCAACAGTGACCAACCATCTGGTCCTAAAGCAAGCTAGCTAGCTCAGTGGAAGAGCGCCGGGCTCATAACCCGGAGGTCGATTGATCGAAACAATCGCTAGCTAACATTTTACACTTTTTTAATGCACTTTTTTTAAGTTGTTCACCATATACATAGCATATATATATATATATTTTCCTTCTTCTTCCATTTCTTTTCCATTTCTACCCGAGCTACCAACCCTCTCCTTTTCTGTATTCCAACCCCTTCACTCTTTCAATAGTCCTCTATCTATATGTAGGTAGGTAATTAAGCGTGTATGTGCACAGCAAGGTGTAGCCCATTTTTATAGTGAAAAATTTTAGGGGATTTACACGCTGTACGTGGCCCCCACTTCCGCTAAACCCTTCAGTTCTTTAGGTACCTAAAAACTTACCTAAGGTACTTAGTAAGTATCCTCCATTCTTCAGCCTCGACATCACTAAAGGCTCCTTTCTTGCTTGGCTGCTAGGTATAACACGCAACACGCGCTCGCGCTCTCGGACTGTCCAGGCCCCTTGCACATAGAAACATGTGCGGCATCCATGCGGCAATCACCACATCCAAGTACTCCGGATTATCATCTGAGCTGAAGCAGTCCTTGGTGAACCGAGGACCCGACCACTTTGGTCAGGCTCAGCGGGAACTCGCCTGTGCTGATGCAGATCGCCAGCTTCATCTCTATTTCACTTCGACCGTTCTGGCCTTGAGAGGAGACCATGTTGCCAAGCAGCCGCTCCAAGACAAGACGCCCGGTGGGTCAGTGCTATGCTGGAATGGCGAGGCCTGGCGCATCGATGGCCGGCCTGTTGACGGCAACGACGGCGAAGCTGTCTTTTCTATGCTTCAGTCCTCTGGTTCATCGTTCCACCAGACTAGAGAGGCCCATGTGTTAGACGTGCTGCGGAGGATTGAGGGTCCCTTCGCCTTTGTTTACTACGATTCTGCTTCTAGCCAGATCTATTATGGCCGCGATCGCCTCGGAAGGCGGTCTCTCCTTATCAAACCTTCGGATGACACAAACTCTATCACGCTCTCCAGTATTGCATCTGTGCCAACAAATGGCTGGGAAGAAGTTAGTTCCGACGGAATCTGGTCAATAAATTTGGGGTTATATAATGAAGCCTCAAACGAAAGTCCTTTAAATGACCATGTCGCCAAGCATGCCTGGCTACAGTCTAGTAATGATGAGATGGTAAGTTATGGAGGCTCACAATCGAAGATTTGGAGCTAAAATAATATTTAGGTTTCGAGCATTGGTATTTTTAACAAAGAACTGCCGTCCTCAAAGCATGTGTTGGACTTCAGCTCGCCCTCGCTTCAAATTCTTAGGTACAAACTGGTGGAATCCCTAAAGCCGCGTGTTCTAAAAGTCCCTGAGCCACCGAATCCAACTTCAGACGTCGATGCCCGCATTGCTATCCTCTTCTCGGGTGGCCTAGACTGCACTGTTCTTGCGAGACTTGCTCATGAGCTTGTGCCTATCGACCAAGGCCTAGACTTGATAAATGTCGCTTTCGAAAACCCACGCCAAGTTGCCATAGCCGCTACACAACCGCACCTACAGGCTGCAGATATGTACGAAGGCTGTCCCGATAGAGCCACCGGACGGAAAGCCTTTGCTGAACTACAATCTTCCTGTCCAGGGAGATACTGGCGTTTCATCGCTGTACGTATCCCCCACTCTCACCCTCATCTAATAGATTGAAACTAAGTTGTGCACAGGTAAATGTCCCATTCGAAGAAGCCATGGCCCACAAGGCCAAGATCTTGTCTTTGATCTATCCACATGACACTGAAATGGACTTGTCAATTGGTTTTGCCCTGTATTTCGCAGCAAGGGGTACGGGAGACTGTTATGTCAGCCAGATTGAGTGGCAATCTTCGCCGCCTGTAATCAGTACTTCAGCACGAGTGCTTCTATCCGGGCTTGGAGCAGATGAATTATTTGGCGGCTACTCTCGACATGAGGCAGCGTTTAAGAGGGCTGGCTATAGTGGTCTTGTTGACGAATTGCTGCTAGATGTTAGCCGCATTGGGCAGCGTAATCTCGGTCGAGATGATCGCATCATGGCGCACTGGGGTAGAGAAGTGCGTTTCCCATATCTTGACGAAGATTTTCTCAAATTCGCCATTAGCAGCCCGGTGTGGGAGAAGTGCGATTTTGAGAATGCCTTCCATCCTGCAGTCATCGACCCAGCGAAGCGACTCCTGAGACTTCTGGCTGACCAGCTGGGCCTCCCCATTACTGCACGCCAGAAGAAGAAAGCAGTAAGAGAGTTTGTGGCCCATATCAAACCAAATACTTACTAGTTCACAGATACAATTTGGCTCTCGGACTGCTAAGATAGAGAGTGCGACGGGTCGCCTTAGGGGTACAGCCCAAGTAACCGCATGAGACTTATTCAACTGCAAGTAAGTGTAGCATGACGTTCCATTGGACGCGCCAGTGTTGGGGATCCCTCGATCTCGGTTCTTTTGGCGATGATGATAAAAACAGATACTTCCGAGTTGGTAGTGCTACGGTCCGAGTTCCTTCCTAGCTGCGTGTTTCGACTTCTTGTCGTAACCCTCTTCGTTGCGATTCACTTGGTGCATGAAAACGATGACGTCGTAAAGGCATTTCTGAGCCATATCAACTGCGCTATCCATTGCTGCTTGTCTTATGAGATAGGAGACTGATAGTATGTGTAGATGTTCGTGTCAAGAAAACCGGCCACTTAGAACAACGCCTGATTCTCAACACTTGAATCAAATATGGCCAATAGGCCATTCCTGGCAATTTCATCGCGGTGAGTTCTCCTGGCCATTTCGAGCCAACTCGGTATCTTACAAGCCTCATCAGGGCTCCCGCTAGTTCGTCTAGCTCTGTCTAGGTGAGCATGTCAGATCATGGAGTCTATTCCTAAGAGCAGTTAAGCAAGGCTGCACATCTTGCTCTTAGATCAAGAATCTACCTCAGCTTGTGTCACTAGTGCCACACTTGTCAATCATCAACATAGCAGCTGTGAACACTCAAGCGTGTAAAAGCCTTTGGACAAACCTTCGTATCGCCAAGGTAAGGGATTCATGTCGTCCATAACCTGCGCAATAGCTATATCAGCTTGCCTTGGAGTGTTTCGGCGGAAGCACATAGCCAGCTCTGGGTTATCACGTCTTCTGAAATGCCAGATATGAGCGGCAATATAGTAATTCTCAGGGATAAGAAATGTCACTGAACACACCGTTCAATCTAATCACTCTTAATCATATACTTAGAGGTAGGTAAGTCTAAATACGAGTATACTTAACATTCTGTTGGTTTAACGGGTGCATCAGTAGGTGACGCAACAACGGGTTATTTTTCGCCGAACATTGTCTATATACTTGCTGAAGACTAGAAGATTATCAGACTAGTCTGCAGAGTACTATGCTTGGAATATGGGCTCTGGAGAAGCTTAGGTGCCTCGGCTGATGTTTAGTAACCTGGGGAAAAAACCTGGGGAAGTTGGAGATGATTGCCAAGTTGGGATTAGCCTAGGCACAAGTGAATGTGGGGGACTTACGAAGGTGGCTGGCGGGCTGGCTCGTCAGCATTGTCCGTTTACACGACGTTCCTTGTGCTATGTCAAGCTATGAAACTCAGTTATCTTTGGTTCGAGGAAATTGAAATACAGAAACAACAAGTTGCATATCTAATTGATGTTCCCATACATCTGTTAGTGCAGGAGTGATCGAAACCCCGTTCACCCCTCAAAATCAGTCAGCTTAAACTTCGAAAAACTCGAAAACAAATTATGGCGTCGACCATCGAGCGCAAATCTAATGGGGAAGTAATCTACGGGCCGGATAAGGTCTTCGAAGTCCCCAATGTCGATTTAATGACATTGCTGTTCGGTTAGTTCGAGTGCCTCTTTAGATTTGCAACTGTTTAGAAACTGTGCAACTGACTTGTGGGGTGTAGAATCTGAAGAAAGTCGCGTGCCACCTGACACTGTCATCCAGTACGTGAGTCGAAAACCTTTATCTCCTCACTACTTCTGGGCTCAGGTGTTCCTGCTTCTTACATACCATTAAGGCTCTCGAGTATCAAAATAACTATTACTAACTCTCAATTTCCGATAGTGCCGATGCTGCAGAGCCTTCTAACAATCTCACTAAGGCGAGACTCCTGCAGTTGTCCAAGAAGGCTGCACATGTGTTTAGGTATCAATATGGGATTGGAGCTAACGGCCCAGACAAGGATGTCGTCTTCAACATTTCCACGGGTAACTTCATGATCCCGGTCATGTTCTACGCAGCTATCACAGCCGGTGGCATCTTCTCATCTACTAGCCCTGCCGCGACACCAGACGAGTTTGCATACCAATTGCAGCAGACAGAAGCCAAGGTGATTGTGTGCACGGCGGATCTGAAAGAGACCGCGCTCGCCGCGGCGCAGAAAGTCGGGCTCGCACCGCGGAATATCCTCGTCTATGGCGGGACCAAGGATTTGGAATTCTGGGAGGCGGGATCGGGCGCAAAGGTGCCGATATCTAACCAGGAGCTTGACTGGCGGCGCATCACAGATCCCGTGGAGCTTGAAAACAGTGTCATATGCTTGCTGTTCTCGAGCGGAACGACGGGGCTGCCGAAGGCTATGCGTATCTCGCACCGAAATAGTGTTGCTGCTTGCACGCTCAATGCTGAGCCTGGGAGGCAGTATGTCGAAAAGACGAAACCGCCAGGATACAAGTGGTATGTACGAGAGATGGGACGCTTGAACACCCCCCCTACAGCCCTTTAAAGGTTCTGAACTGATAATTCCGCAGTGCGTCTAGTTTCTCCTTACCTTTTCCCACGAAATGCGGAGTGCCACGGATATCACCGCGCCGAAATGGCAACCTTCAACTTTGAAAACCTTCTACTAACTCATTGTAGATATTAATCTAGCCCACCTCCCCGCCGCCCACATTGCAGGCGTCCAAAGCTACCTCGTGAACAACTGCTATCTTGGCGGGACCTGCTACTGGATGCAGCGGTTCGACTTCCCCAAGTTTTGCGAATATGCGAAGAAATATAAGGCCACAACCATGTTCACCGTTCCGCCGATTTTCCTATTGATTGCCAAGTCACCTTTGGTAAAGGACCATTTTGACACCTGGGACGACGCCTTATCTGGCGCGGCACCGATGGGACAGGATCTCCAGATAGAAGTTGGCCGGAAGCTTGGTAACGGCACCACGTTGGTGCGGCAGTGCTGGGGCCTTAGTGAGACGGTAGGGCTCATCAAATTGCGTATTAGGATTACTTTCCGTCCCTCGGGCACCCCTATCATTCCCCTTGGTCGTCTTTGCTACTATTCCCGAGTTGAATATAGAAATACAAGGTGCTGACTATATCACGTACAGACGGGTGCTATTACCGCCACACCAAGGGAGCTAGCCCACGTTGCACCAGCGGGATCAGTCGGACCCCTCATACCGAACTGCTACGCACGCATCGTCGACGACAACGAGAGAGACGTCGAGCCCGGTGCGTCAGGGGAGATTTGGGTGCGCGGCCCAGTAGTCACGAAGGGATATTGGAGGAACGAGAAGGCGAACAGGGATTCGTTCACAGACGGCTGGTTCCGCACGGGCGATATAGGCGTATTTAGAGACGGGTATTTCTTCATCGTTGATCGGAAGAAGGTATGTCTCCCTTTCTATGAATACTGCGCAGCTCAAGGTTGCGAAGCGAAAAGGAAGAAAGCGTGGAGAGCTAATGTGCTTGTCGCTAGGAGCTCATAAAGTATAAAGGAAACCAGGTCGCGCCTGCTGAGCTCGAGGCTGTGCTGCTGTCGCATCCGAAGATCCTCGATGCGGCGGTTATCGGTGTCCCTGGTGAGGGGACGGAGGTTCCTCGGTGAGTAGTGCTCAGGGTTTTGTGCGGTTGGCTGGGACTAACGCTGTAGTAGGGCCTACATAGTCGCGAATCGAAAAGAAATCAGCGGGCGTGAGATCATCGAGTGGTTCAGCAAGCAGGGGCTGTCGAGGTATAAGAGTCTAAGAGGCGGTGTAGTTTTTATTGATGCGATCCCGAAGAGCCCTTCTGGAAAGATCTTGAGAAAGAATCTCAAAGATCTGGCACAGAGGGAGACGCCGACAGCTAAGATCTAATCTAGTAGTGGTATTGCCCGGAGGGTCGCGGTTTGTGTCGTCGAGCTGGTATATTTTACAACAGGATCGCGCCAATACACCGTTCACGTATACTAAAAGAGATCATTCATAGGTTTGCTTGTGGTTCTTTAGGGAATCGGTAACAGCATGCTTTCAGCTTGACAAGTAAGTAGTCTTTCGGGCAAGACAAAAAGGTCGTGACCTAGATTATTCACAAGCACACAATAAGTAGCACATAGAGTTGGGAAAGTATCAGAGAGTCTATATTCTCGAGTATCTAACTGCAGTGATCCCAGCTTACTCGTCAACAGCTAGCCAACTCATACATTTATGAGCACGCGATGGTGTGTGTAGGTTCCGAAGGACAGCTGTAGATTTCGGGAGATACGTCGCAGGTAGCCCTACGACGTCCAAAGGATACGTAGCCATCATTGCTGAGGCGGGCTAAAGTAGGTCTGGAATATATACCGAACCTTGCGTACGGTCTTTTCTGTACTGAGTCCCGTCAATGCGATCAGGGCGCGGTAGTCTAGCTGAAACAACAAAAAAAGGAGGGTTAGTTAACGAATATCCAATCACTGATAGGGAATGGTTTTTAATACCCGAGGTCTTTCATTAAAGCACCAGATGGCGTAAATAATGTCCCTCATCTCATCCTCAGTGGGTAGCGATCGATATGCTCTGGGATCACCAGAGCTCAAACAGTACGTCGTTCTCAACCAATCCCACTGTGACATACAGTTAGTTATCGTCACTTACGAGGTGGTCCGAAGCTTCTTATATACGATGCGTTGAGACTAGGGTGTAGGGCTCTTGAAGGCACATATAGCTCGCGTTGAATTCATTATTTTGATTCAAAGTAATAGAACTTACACGTCTTTGGGCTTCAACTCTTGAAGTTCTCAGATAATAACCGAGCCTACCAAAATCGATCTGGGCAAATATTAAGTTTCTTGTTCAAAGAATTTATACGTTCTTGCTGTTAACGTGACTTACTACCGCGTCCCAGCGAAAGCACTTGAGCATCGCCAATAGGTACTGGGCTGTGGTGTCTCGGGGTACCGGAGGAATAGGAATCACTGAGATGGAAAGTTAGTGCATGCTTAGCAAATCCTTAGCTGGGTTGATCACCATCCCGAAAAGGAGACACAGAATAGATAAACCTGGTGGCAAGATAAGAGGATGGTAGCTTACTTGCGACGAGATAATAACAGAGCTCAGATAGAAGAATAGACGGAAGGGGTAGGTAGACAGAGGGATGGCTGTTGATTGAAGAGGGTAGCAAAGGGAACAGACTGAGAGGATCCCAGCTGGAAATTTATACTGGGGGAATTGGGCAGCCGTTGATGGGAGAAGACTGGACTGGAGTCACACAGACCCGATTTCGTTCAATACACCCACTGTGCAAACATATTCAAGCCAGCGCTGTTTCAGGTGGACTGGGACGTGCCTGTGGCCATGGCTTTTTTTTCTCTTCCACGCCCCTGTTGAGCAGGAAACCATGAGCTAGTAGATTTACTAGATGCTGAATAGATAGTACAATAAGGCACCTGACCTTATTCCTCCTTCTTCAGGCGATACTAGGGCACGGCATAGAAGAGTACATTCATTGTGAACTTCTCATCGTAACGTTAGATAAATATATACGAAGTATAATAGATATATTGATCTGAAACAGAATATACCCAAGCTCTCCTGCGTGGATTTGTACGACAGGCCTTGAACTCCAGCAGCCATGGCAGCCCACATGTATACAGGAAAGGCATTGGTGTTACTAGTGTGCCTGATGTTTGTAGGCACTAGCAATGAATGTGACTTAAGCGCAGTGCTCGATTCATCCCTCAGAGGTTTCCATGTACACAATCTCTACAAAAATTCAAAGTAGCCATCTCCACAGGGAAGCTATACTACAAAGGGGCGAGTCCAGAAATGAGCTCAATGGGTGGCACAAATTCCGGTTGGGAATTGTGGTAGCCAGGTAATGAGGAGCTGTAATGGTCTAGGATGAAAATGGAGTAGGTGAATTCTGTTGGAATAGAGGCACATTGTTTCAATATGAAAATTTGCTTAGTTCCTAGGTATTACTGGATATAGTAGTCATATATAATGATCATGTAGTGGACTCTTTGCTCCCCTAATGACAGCTGGTCTTACAAGGAGACCTGGTCAAAGCTGCTGTCAGTTGATATCCATTACCTGAGCCTGCTCCCAATCATTGGTACCAGATTATTTTAGGTGATACAGTGCCTATGCCTTGTATACTCCAAGGTACTTTTGTTGATCACAAGGTGTTGTTAGCTTTGCAGGAATGATGGCCGGAGCCCAGCCGTTTTCATGAGATTGTTTGTGGCGGACCCCCGGAGCTCCGGATCGCGGCTTGGACGTTGGGTTTGACGCTATTCTCCGCCCTGCTCCGCCAGGTTCCGGTCTTCAGTCCGGGCCTTGTCGTCGGGATTCTAGTTTGTTTGCCTCCTCCCATTGAGCAAGGTGGGGACATACATACAAGATTCACTAGGCCACTGGCCTTTCTGACTGTTTGTACTGTGCAGTGAATGAATGTGGAGTTGATTGTGTGAATTCTTGTCCTAATCATCTGCTGGGGGGTTAAGTCTGAAAGCAAACCTAGCGGGGTTGGATGAGCAATTGTGATCAAAGATTCTTTCCACTACCTTATCAAAACTACTATAAGCGCATATAGGGTTTATTGGAGCGTTCTGTTAGAAGAATGAGGCTTTTTGTGCTACAAGAGGGCGTGGGGTGGGGATTTTCCTTGCAAGTGTCACTTTGCTTGAACTTATAATGGGAATGAAGTATTCTACTCATAAAACACCTAATTCTCATTATATCTCTCTGCCATCACCGTCTTTTCTGAGAATATGCGTTAGAAATGTCAAATAAATAAACTGGGACATTATCTCTCTTACCATTAAGGTTATTGCTATTTAAGGGTTTCACATTTGGACAAGATCAAGATATGAATTGGATAAAATATCAGAAAGATTTTTGACTGCCTAAGTTTGGGCCGGGACTGGAGAAATATAGGCGTAGTAGGGAGAGCACAAGAGCATACATTAGATTACCCAACTAAAGTATAGTTGACCATATCTAGTTTGGCTACGTATAATTGAGGTAGACAAACGATCACAAAAGCTTGTCATGCTCTATTAGCGTGAACTGCCTGTTCTCGGGACAACGATCTACGTTCCATTCTTTTGAGAATTTCACGGAGATCTTTAGGTACGGAGTTGAAGCCCTTAGAACTTGGCAACAGCAGGTCCAGGCATGACATAAGCACCTTTTCCGCCCCAGAAGTTGAATGTTAGACCGGGGTCATTCTTTTTATAAATGCCCGGGATCTTAGAGACTGGAGATGGCTTGACCGGGCCGGTGCCGCCAGTGATGCGGATTTGTGCGCATTCCATGTCTACGTATAGAGGTTAGTAGGAGTTAACTTAGTTGAAAAGGAGATTATGGCTTACATAGCTGTTTGATTTGAGACATTTAGTAATTAGCTCTGTTATCAGTCTTGGACGTGGAATAATCTTACCTGTGGCTTTCCAACATCTGTCATCTCAATCAGCATGGATCTATAGGCAACACATATGGATAAGGGGACTTACGGTTCTCGTGAATACCAATGTGCTCCCCACGAAGCAGATACTCGCCGTCCTCTATATTTTTGGGTAGTGTAAACTCCATCGTATACTTTCCGTAAGTTGGCCATCCACCAGTAGAAGTGGGGTTTCCAGTCGGGCCAGACTCCCATCTATGCACATTGTTCAGTCTATGTCCGTAATACTCGTGCGCATAATAATTAGATGTGTTGAACATGCCACTCACACTTTGAACCAGTCTCCAGATCCATCGTAATCACTCACGTTGCCTGGAGCCTTGGACATGTAGAAAAACCCGGGGCCAGGGTGCTCGATGAATTCATTGTTGAACAACTTGAGACCAATTTTATCGCCTGCCTTGACATCCATGTAGGTTTTCGTTCCAGCGCTCGTTGCACCCTTGTTGCACCTTAGATCATTCCTATTTATTGGTCAGCTCGTCTTGCTAGATATTGCCAAGCCTGTCGGGTAACGGACGAGTCAATGATCTCCGTGAAAGAGGGCATATAGGAGTTGGTGTTCCTTCGAACGTAAGTGTATTCCCCTCCAACTTGCTTGCCATTGTGCATAACTTTGAAGATGATTAGTCTCAACCTCAAAATGGGCTTGAGGTATCAGATGCAACTAACGAATGTTCAGGATATAGTGAGAACTGGCGAAGGGAGCAGATAGCAGAGCTACTGCGGCCACGAATGAGAAAGATTTGACCATGTTGGGCAATTGGACGAAAACAAGAAGTAATAGAGCCTAAGATTAACAACTAGAAAAACACGCTCGCCTTGAAAATCAGTAGAAGACAAAGCCTACCTTTATAGCTTTTCGATCATTTCTGAACCAATTCCAGGTACGGTTCGCTTTATTCATTCCCAATTCTGCCGCGATCGGCATATCTTTAAAGCCCGTGATAGTTCCTCGATAAAGGCTAGTTCCGAGATCTTGGCCCGCTGGCTGTCTTTAGATTGACTGAGTGTTGCGCTAGCTGACTTGTATTATGACCCGAGGTATTCGTTAAGTCTTGCCAAGGAGTGAGTAGGTTTTGTGACTGGAGGAAGAAAATCTGGGGAAGCGGCTTGGTTCTTCTTGGTTCTGCTTGGCATATATTCATCCAAATTGAACACATTAGTAATTGGAGAAGAATATCATCCGAAACAGGCACACGGACCATACTCGTGATTGTACGAAGTTAAAGTCCTGGTGGCTGCTAAAAAGTAGTTACTGGTGATCTATCAACTTGTGCCGCAGATTTTATCTTATGGCGACACTGAGTAGATACCGGCGGTGCGACAAGGTTGTTTGCACCTGAACCTTGTTGAGTCTCAAGAGCCGAATGCGACTTTCCTGCATGGTCGATTCTCGGCAGTGATGTACTGGGATTTCTCAAGGAAGCGAGAGAGTCATTTGATCTGAAAGCGTGGTCTCTGGTACCGTGGTTCTGGAGTCGTTACACGGTCATTTCTAGGTGCGATATGTCCTGTGGCCTCAATTGCACAGCACCGGGTTGCCTTTGTGCTACAAACCTGCAATATAGGTGCTTATTTTCTTCGCTCATAGCCGACCATAGCTGTGAAGGGCGCTTATCCAGCTATCACTCTTTCTATCCAAGAGACTCTTAAAAGGCAGAAGAAGGAGAACCAGGCTGCAATGGATACCGAAGACCCATAGTCGAACAGCTGTACTGCCATACTCATGATATTCGCCCTTCAATTCAGTATAGATTTCAGTCGCTAAATATTAGGGGTACGTCTACCTATATTCTGACTGACAAAAGAATGACAGTCGACTGGCTGCCTGAGGCGAAATGCAAACAGAGGTATGTTAAGCTCTAGGCTTCCGTCTATGTGTATTCATCTCTTTTCCAAGTGTAACAGCTTGCTCTGGGCATGCCGCATCATTCTTTATAAATCGCTTAAGTGGTTACACCAGAGGAAGAATGAAATCATTAATGTGTAGCCTGAAATTGAAAGAATATCCAATGTTGACTAATTCCCAAGAGACCTTGCTTCAAGGCATTCGTGAAGAATATTGTACCATAAAATCTTCTAGATTTAATGTTGTCCCAGCATAGCACATCAGGCCAAGTTCCTCAGACCTAAATCCCGTATTCCAATCGTAACGCCATCACTCCTTACTTATCCTATTCAATCAGCCCATTCTTTCTCGATACCGAACACGTAACGCCATCATCTCAGCAGAGCTTCTCACTAACAACGCCATTAAGCGATCCCTTCAGATTCTCCCGATCGTCCCAAATCGCTCTGCCAAGCGATGGAAAGATGATATCAGCGCCTTCGGTCTGGGGACCGTCCACATCTGCTAGTGGCCATTTGGCACGTTCGAATCGCTTAATGATGCCTGCACCCATGTTTACCATGCGAATCTCAACAAAATTGCCAAGTTGCCTGTGGATATCGTCCTTTAGCTCCGCAAGAGCCGTCACACCTGTCATGTCAATGAAAGGTACCATCGTGAAGTCTAAGACGACGATTGACAACGGCATATCCTTCAATACAACATTGCGCTCTTTTCGAAGTCGCGCAAGCCTTCGCTCCCCAGCCACGCTCCACGAGCGCGCAGAGTCAGCACTATAATGGGGGTTCTGCACTGACGGGTAGACTAGCTGAATAGACTCGAGAATTTGAGTCTTATTGCGCTGGGCGTTAGGGTAGAATAAAGAGTCTTGGAAAGAGACGACGACGGTATCCTCCGGGATGTTCACAGCCACATCCTCAGAACCCGCACCACTTACACGTGGAAGGGAATGAGGTTCGTTAATGCGCCCCCCCGGGCCGCTTTGGACTGAGATGCGAGATTTCACGAATGCTGAGCGGAGCAAGGTCCAGACGACAGCCCAACCAGCTGCTGATCCGATGCCGTACTCTGAACCTACGAAGATGGTAACAAACTACGTCCAACCGTTAGTATATCATTCTCTCCTTGTGTATCATTTCTCGAGAGCGCCCGGGATGATACAAGACGAATGAGGGTTCTTTCTTACAAATGCTACGTTGAAGGCAATATAATCGGCGAGTGAGACTCTGTAGATCTTGTAGATGGCAGAGAATGGACCAAATAGATGAATGACAGCCATGATCTAGTTTACAATCAGTAATTGCACCTCGACATGGCTTGGTTGAGAATAAAGGCAGAAAGACTTACGATGATGGCTGAGAGTGTAGCCTTGGGAAGCCAATAGAGCGCTGGGGAAAAGAAGTAGATTGTCAACAGAATCCAAGCGGCGGTGACCACTCCATTAAGGGGGCTACGGACGCCGCATTCAGAATTGACCGCAGTCCGAGACATCGCTCCTCCAACGGGCATGGAGCCAAAGAAGCTGTTGACCAGGTTTGTGACGCCGAGGTAGTTGAACTCTTGTGTCTGGTCGACGGTGTAATGGTTCTTCCTACCAAAGGCTTTGGCCACAGCTTGGTGCTCCAATGAAGCTGCAATGAACGGCGCTATAGCCCTAGCAGCTACCTTTGAAATTAGAGCGTTATCGTGAGTCTTTGGCTGAGCAATGCCGTTCGTGTTGACCTTGCTGATCGCCCAGAGGAGCTCATCCCTATCCTTGTTGACAAGATAGGATATAAGAGTGAAAATGATTAGAACGATGATGGCTCGGCTGCTCGAGATGTATTGGATCACGAAGTGCTTCTTGCCCCATTTCTTCCCTACCTTTTCGAGAAGGTACAGGATTACTACGGTACCGAAACCGACGCCGGAAGTTGGTCCGTCCCATTTTGGGAGCCGTCTTAGTACATCTCCGATTATAGCGAAGACGGTAGAGGGGGTATTGTCAAGTCCTACAAGCCCCCCGACTTGTCCGAAACCGATTGTGAGGGCTGTGGCTGAGATGAATCCAATCAAGATGGGAATTGAGATGTAATCTAGGAGAAATCCGAGGCCGAGTAAACCGATAACGAGTCCATAAACACCGACCATAAAGGCAACTGCGGCAGCGATATCAGCGGGTGAATATTCAGCCTTCAAATCCGCCACGATTTCCGCGGTCAGAAGGCCCATGAGCGAAGTCGGTCCGGTGGATAAGTCTGTAATATGACGAATTAGCCCTTATTTGTTGTATAGAACTAAGATAATCGATACCTACCCTTTGAGGTTCCTAGGAACACGGCGACAGCAGCTGGTACCCAACTACTGTAAAGTCCGTGTTCAATAGGTATCGTCGCAATCTTGGCGTAAGACAGGCCCTGAGGAATGAGCATCACTCCAATCGTCAAGCCAGCCACTGCACGAAATATTGTCAGTTACCTAGTTTACTCATAGTGATCTGTTTACTGATTGAGACGTATCTTTGCCATAATGACTGTTCCTTAGGCTTTCCAAGAGAGGGGCAAAGAGAAGAAACAAAGGGGGGATTCAATTACTTACTGAAATCTGAGGCGAGCCATGATGGAGAATATCGTGGGAGCCACTGGACGATTGGGAGCTTGTCAAGGAAATATTGCTTCGCAGCAGAAGGAAGCTTTTTGGGGGCAACTTCAGCATAATGCTTTACTCTGTTCAAGTTGTGGTCTGTTCTCAGTTCTTCTCGAAGAACCTCGAAGTTCTCCTCGATCTTACGAGTAGCCATAGTGACAAGGGTGGGACAAGAATGGTTGCCAGCTGGAATTGGCAGTCGAGCTAGCTAGCTAGCTGTCCTTGTTGTACCTATTCTTTCACAATAGAAGCCCCTTTGTCCTTTTAAGCTTCAAACCTATCGAAACAATATTGTCTTATATAAATGCTGCTCAAAGCTAGTTTACAATGTAAAATAGGAAGGTCTTGCGAGCCAGATCGGGATGAGATCTTCTCGTCACACCGAGATAAACTTATCGTCGAATCGGCGCTCTCAGGTCTGTGTCCATCGCATCGCGAAAGCAAGTGATAGCAACCCCTCCCTCCCTCGGCGCATTCTCGCAGTCTGTCGGTATCGTTCGCGGATGAATAATTGCTACCGTGCCTGAATATCGAGCCTGGCCTTACGGGGAGACCCAAGTTGGGGCATGCTACTTCAGTCGAGAAACGAGACAACACTAAATCAGGGCATGAATTCGACCAATGAGTCAGGCTTCTGCAGCATCGGAAGTCTACTGTGTTTCCACCGGGTTGGTCTTAGAATGGATAACACTCCGCTACTTGTTCTATCTAGCTGGAAATGTGCTATAATGTTGGTTGAGGCATGCTGACGCATGACAACCCGCCCATTCGCATGTGAACCCGTTGTGACACCAATAGGCCTGAGCCGAGAGGCGGATTCAAGGGCGGGGTTATGCCTACACTATCCGGGACGGGATTTCGTAGTGGAAGAAACGACTTTTGTGGCGTCTCTGGTGAGGGGAGCCGTGGTGGCTGATTTCACACTGATCCTTCAATGCTGAGACTCTGTTACTGTGAAACCTACTGTCCATAAATATTATCTACCTACTTTAAACCTGTTATTCTAGAAGGTCTCAGGAATGATTCTGTTCTGCGTATTTGAATTGGCATCTGGTTGTTCCTCAGCATGTAGTAGTTTGTTTAGTTATGGTATATCTGGAACAGTCTTTTAATAGAGACGAAGTAACGATGACGATAACCACCACTCTGCCGTGAACATCATTTCTTGATAGGCCAAGACACAAGCCCTCGCAAGGGTTTCCATGTACATCTACTAAGGGTTTCGATAGCCAGTAAAAACTCAATAAACCCGCTTACATATCATCAGCCAAGACACACAACCAGTGCTGATTCGACGGTATTACATGCGCTTAGTGCTTTAACGAGCCCCAAGAGCCTGGTCTTAAGCCCCAACATGGGTTCGATCACCTAGTAGTATGTCGACATACATAGTAAGTATGGTTAATTCGGAAGGGTACTACTCCATTGGATTCTGGCATTGAATCTCCAACAGCCACAACCGACGTCTGAGCCGAAATTAGTTTCTCGAACTCAATATGTGCATCGCGATATTTCTCCGTCAATTCACGCTGATTAGCATAATAATAGCATCATGGTGTCACTACGTTGACGCGAAATAGACAGAACATCGTTGCTATCAAGCTACTAGTAATTAGACGTTTATTCCCAGGCGACGTTATGGTAAGCTTCCCTGCAGAGCCAAGGTGCATGGCAAAAGCTTGGGCCTTTCTTGTCTGGGCAGATCTGGGTACTGTCTGCGGCTGTGGTTGTTCCATTGCAGTGACCAAGCCCTTGGCCGCCTGATAATTTTGCTGGGCGCCGAGAATTATCGGAGATATTTGTTGATCGTTACCTAATAATGCGCGTCTATACTTTGAATTTGGGACGACGAAGTTTTCTAGGCTGGCAACATAAGTCCAAAGTTTTGATTCCATCGTCTTCATCTTTGCACCTAGCGCCGCGATCTACGCTCTCCACCCGAATATAAAAGTCGTATCGCCTGAAATGGGTCGGGTGATGACGACGTGGATCCAGCAAGGCGTTAGCCAGGCATGTTACAACGCATATTCTGCCGGAGGCAATCGATGAATAATCCGAGATACCAGAAGAGAAGAGCTGTAATGGCCCTGTTGGCAGTCCCACGTCTTCTTGCCTCTACTTTCCTAAACAGGAGAGTATCCCACCTTGGAGCCAGCCCCTAGAGAGGTCTGGATACAACCCAACGTCTCATGATGAAGCTGCAGAGCTAGGTAGTTATGTCCATACTACTGTATAATATCCCTGTAGCTCATCAACGGATAGCCTATCATCGTCCCCAGAATGCCGCGCGGTCTCGTCTCCACCACAATGCTAGCACTTGATCGCGACCTAGCACCAGGCAAGATTACGGTAGTTTGCCTATAAAGGTAGTTTATTGACCTCATTCTACAGTCAGCCACAGCAATGCGTCTTTTGCCATTGGATCGCTCATTCATTCTAGTGGGCAGAAACACGCCGTGTGCTAGGTATCATACTTGGAGGCTTAACGCCACTATCTGCTGTGAAACCCGGCTTCTGCCCAGCTACGTCAGTCTCTGAAGGTTTGCCTAGTCTGCATAAGGAGAAACAGTCCTCCACGGTAGCTTTGAGGTGGAGTTCGGCATGTTAGACTCTCCGCGAGAGTCTAGTTTAGTGCCCGTCGCAGGTGGATACAGTGGGTTGCTGGTGGGTTTGTGGTGGGAAATTCGTCGTGTTCTGGCTGTCGAAATTTGGAGATTCTGTTGGACGTGTAACGTGTGTCTGCGTGCGCCTCCAAATTACTAAACGACAGTACACCGTATGTTTCGATAGCTAGAGGCCCAAAGAAACACACCGGATAGCGCTCAATATGCATAATTGGAAGAAAATATGATCGTTATCTTCTCATTGTTGTGGGTAAGTATCAGGCAGTATGCAAACAAAAGGCCCTATGGTGGTTGTCTGGTATTTATACAATAGATATTCATCTCCCTTTCCCGCGGTCGTTAGTCATACTGTACTTACTGAACGCTAGCTACGCGAGTGAGCACATAACAACTTGTAATAGATGGATTGGAATCCGCCAGTGTACAGTCGGCTAATGGAACATAGAAGTAACTGTCACTACACCTCCAGGATAAAATTTACCTAATACAAAAAAGCCGAGTCAGGGGTGTATAAGTAGAGGACTCTACAGGTCAAGACTAGTGTCACGGGATTATTAGGGCTTAGAATAGCACTAGGAGACGGGGAGTCTTTCCTATTCTTGCCCATGTTGTCTGCATCCGGGAGAGAGAGCATGGTGCCGTGTTTTGGCTGTAGCGAGTTAGGTCCACGAGGGGGTCGGTTCTTCACATTTTGCTATCACTCAAGCATGGGCACCTACTAACCTTCGTAGGTAAGTACGCATTGCCACGATTCTGTAGCTACAGTAGGTAGTTGGGGCAGTGACAAATTCAAGATATGGCCCGCGGGTATGCAGCAAGGCGTCTCCGGAGGCACGTATTGCTTCCTGTTATTTCCAGCAATAGTATGTGTAGAACCCTGCCTCATCGCTCTAAAGATAGCTCTGCTTAAATCTACCGAGCGAAGTAGCCGCCGCGCTACAATGTATGTTGTCTCTTCCCCGCGTCTCATTGACTTGTGCGCTAGTCCTTCCATAGTAAGAAAGCGATACCTTCTCGCATTTCAATGCCCCTGTGATGATTATTGTTGTAATACTAAGGGGTGATACTGAGGGGAAGCCTGGTAGAGGTCTGGGTTGGAATACACACGCGAACCTCCCTTTACTGGAGGCAATGCAACCTGTACAAGCAAAGTGATGAAAGTGTACAGCATGTAATACCATTGATGCAGCAAGGACTGGTTACGGATAATAAGCACCAGATTGAGGCATGATAGCATATGGTATGTATCACAGACCAAGTAGGTATATCTGAAATGCTAATAACTGGCCTAAAATGTATTATTCGTTTCCTTGTAAATGTTTATTGTATAGAAGTAACCAAAGACGGCAACACATGGTGATACTGCTTTACTTATAACATGCATCCACTGACGGTTTATATTTTGTATCCTAGTGGCCGCTTCGTAGAGAGCAGGCTACTACTTGAGGTAAGCTATAGTTCATCAACACTGTCGGAAGCAGTCGACCTTGATGAGTCTGGCATCGTTACTTCATCCTTCTCCGCGCTCTTCACCTTGTTCCAGAAAATCTCGCCGTTCTTAGGATCGTCCTTGAAGAGGTGGTCGACAACAAGCTTCTTGGGGGTCTCGCCCATCCACTGGAAGAGAGAGAAGTCTCTAAACTCGTCGGCTTTGAAGACCTCGAGCATCTCGATGGGCTCGTCCCCAATATTCTCTACAAAGTGGCCCATATTTCGCGGTACGATGCCCACGTCTCCGGGGACGTAATCGAATGTCCGTGCGGTGCCCTCAGCGGCGAAGATGGTGACACGACCTCGACCCTTGAGGAAGAAGTTCCACTCATCCGCGTTCGGATGCCAGTGCATCTCTCGTATAGCGCCGGGCTGTATGGTGACGTGAGCGGCGGCTACAGTCTTTGAGATGGGGAAGTTCTTGGAATCCGTAATCCGGACATCGCCACCAGTGGTGATCTTGGGTTCCTGCTCGAGCATGCGATGAGTGAAGTTATACTTCGACTTCTTCACATTCTTTCCGGTTGGTTTCTCGTCTTCCAGCGAGCCTGGGTATGAGCCTTGGAAAATGTACTTTTCGCCTTTGGGAATGTGCTTGAAGACTTCTGGGGCTAGGTTAAAGTTCTTCGAGATAACTGACTTAGGTGTGTGCGCTAAGAAATCGTTAGTCTAAACCATCATTGCTAACTCAGTTGAGGGTACTAACCTAGCCAGTCAGAGAGAATGAAAGTCGACTCTTCCGAGAAGTTGCCATCGTCGAAGATGAGCAGAAATTCCGTACCATTCTCCCCCAAGCCTTGGAGAGAGTGAGGAACACCACTAGGAAAGTACCACAGGTCTCCTGTCTTTAGGTCGTCCATGAAGTTACCTCCTTCATAGTCAATCGCAGTCACGCGAACCTCGCCGTCCAAAACGTACGCCCATTCAGCCTCCTTGTGCCAATGTAGCTCGCGAATAACCCCCTTATCGAGTCGCATGTTTACACTGGCAAGGTCGACACTCGTGCCCAGCTCCCGAACTGTAGTCTGACGGGTCCAGCCGCCCTCCTGTTACAATTAGCAAAAATAGGTTGCCGAGGGGTAGATGGAGGAGTCCTTACCTCAATTCGCACATGCGAGTCGGCAAAGCTCCATCGCATGTTACCCATGTTGCCATGGTCAGTGCTAGGTGGGCGCACGAGATCCGGGCTCTGACGAGAGCGCTCCCAATTCCATGGTCCTAGGACAGAGGCGCCCAAGCCGTTGCGATACGGCAGAGGGTCCAATTTCTCTCCAATCGCATCAACGGCGCCGTCATAGGGATCTCTGTAGTCCGGATTGTACGGTGACTTGGTCTTCTTCGAATATTTAGCAGGTAGCTCTAGACCAGCTAGAAGGTATTGGCGCGGGCTGTCTTGCACGGGGACAGCGAGCCCTGAGTTAGTCAAAGCAAGCCCCGCGAGCAAAAGTCGCGACAAGGAGCTCTGCTGCGATTGGGGGAACTGCATTGTTGTTGGTCAGGATAGTGTGGATTTCGAGCAAAGTTAGAGCAAAGTATGCTAGACCGCCAATTGTCAATTGAACCTATGTGGTGGCAGGGTTTGAGATTTAAAGACGTGCGGATGAGGGAGAGAAGACAAAGGGAGACGAAGAAAGCTCGAACACGCGATGGCGAAAGCAGCGATACGGAGCTATGTCGTAGACGACTTTCCGAGCTTCTTCCTAACTGCTGATAATTAACCAAGCTAACGTACAGTAGGACCGGATGTACCTACGTAAGGTAGTACCGGTACACAGCATACTTACATACCCCTACACTTTGCGTGGATAAGCCAATGTGTCAATGCATTTACCTGGATGGGGTGGAATACTTGGTCGGCGTGTCGCCAACTCTTTGCTGGAGTCTACTGTTCGATGCAGAGCTCCTCCGGGTCAACTATCCTATTAGAATCAAGAGGCCCAGGGACCCTTCAGAATGGAGGCAAACTGACTCAGCAGTCCCATATCATCCCTTGCACATGCGCATGTTAGCTGGACTCCGAAGCAAGCCCGAGCATTCTCCAGTGCTTGTTGTATGTGAAACAAGAAGATGGCTACGCCTTGATGCGACATGCCTACGTGCCGTTGTTACCGTCTGCCACTCTTACCAGGCACCTACCATCGTACAGTAGGAATTGTCGGCAGGCAAGGTCAGATATCTTGTTTGAACCGGTAGCAGGAACCCCTGTCGATACTGTATCTTACTTACTAAGTGGCTTATAGACAGTAGCGTACGCCGTGTCTCGGCGATGATTGTGACTGGTAATCAGCGAGAGGGGCCGTCTAGCTTACCAACTCAAGGAGAGAGACCTGTAAACTCTAAACGCAGTATTAGATTGGCATCAAAAATCGTATACTTGGAAAATTAATGAGCTGTTACGGTTCGCCGTGTCTAAGATAAGGATCATGTCTAGTTTAGACTTCAAGTGACTCGAAAAGTAGATTGTGCATAATCCATCTACTCAGTAAGGCCACGCTATTGAGTATTATAGTGAATGTACGGAGCTATAACATTTCCTAGCTTAATCCCGCCTTACTAAAACACTCAAGTTTCCAACAAACGCGTTCCTACTTGTAAGCGCTGCACTGCAATGGAAAACGCTGTGAAAATGGAGTGGACCATTGGAGAATGTTGAAGCCAAGAAACATAGTTGCAACCAACTTTCCTCAAATGTTTCTAGTGCACCTCGAGATAACATTATCCATGAGTCTCGACTCTCCAAGAACTCCCCGGTGTTTCGGTTGGGGTAACGCAGCCAAGCTTCGATTTCCAGCATGTCATCAACTAGGGTTCCTCGTCGACGTCACATACCAACAAGTACCACACCGGCTAATCCCCATAAGTGTGTAGCACCGTATGCTACTCCGGAGGCTAATCGTGTAGCGTGGCTAGCAGTAATCGCCATAAATTTCCTCCACCTCTCGATATCCTCCGGCGACATTACCTACCGTGATGGTAAGGGAGGGCAAGCTAGCATAGTCTTGGCTGATTGATTCGGACAAACTGATAAAGAAGCGAACCTCGGCGCTTTCAACTCCCCATCTATAGCTCGTCCTCCCATCAATCTCAAAGCATTTTTAGCTTTAGGCATCTTCTCTCTAAACCTTGACACAAGCGCTTGAAAAGAGCCCCGTCGCCTTCGATCCTCTCATGCCGCCTCCTACTTCGTCAAATGGATATGGTGCCGTCAATGGCTCAGGACGGGGCGCGAACGCTCCTGGCGATGAAGAGCAGCCTTTGTTAAACGGTACCGGACGGCCTCTTAAGTCGGGATGGCGCAAAAGCATGACGACGGACATTCGTCGAGATTGGACTGATCTAGTGCTGCTCACCTGTTACATCGTGACTGGCCTACTCGACAGCGCATCCATATCGACATGGGGCTCCTTCGTTTCGATGCAGACCGGTAGATTCCTCCTAATTACCTTTTTTTTCTTGTTTTCTTACTTCACATGTGGGAGCTAACAAAATGAAGGCAATACGGTTTACTTCGGCTTGGGGATCGCTGCACCACACGAGTCTACCAGATGGATTAAGTCGGGGACCTCACTCGCCTTCTTCTGCATAGGCTCGGTGTTCTTCAGTTCTTTCCACCGCATTTTCTCCGCCAAACGACGATGGGTTCTCTGCGCATCCTTTATTGTACAACTACTGTTGATCGTCGGGGCGGCAGCAATCCTCACTTTTGGACCGGAATCTGCAGACCCGAAAGAGTCGATCGGATGGTCAGAACTTGTTCCTATTGCCCTGATAGCGTTTCAGAGCTGCGGGCAAGCAGTAGCTAGCAGAGCGCTTAAGCATAACGCTCTTACAAGTGTTGTGCTCACAAGTATCTACTGTGACCTATTCTCAGATGCCAACCTGCTAGCCGCCCAGAACGTGGAACGAAATAGAAGGGTCGCAGCGCCACTACTCCTTCTTGTGGGAGCCATCTTTGGTGGCCTCCTAGCCCACAGCTCGGTGGGTTGCGCAGGCGCCTTGTGGGTTTCTGCGGCGCTCAAGTTTGGCGTTGTCATCGCATGGTTCTTGTGGCCCGATGAAGCGCAATGAGGTGGCGTTTGTTTCGGTGCTTCATGTGCTTAGGCTGGACGCACAATGATAGGTGTGCGAACTATAGCCTGTATATCTGCGGCCATAGCCGGTTTTCCGTGTGGGATCGCGACGATCTGATAGATAAAAGATAAAATCATAGAGCGCTTTGAGGGGTATAGAACATGATACAGTACTAAGGGCTAAGTCTGGAGTTGGAAATTCTTCACAATAAAGTTCGTTTTACTAATACCTGCTCGTTCTGAAAGTTATTTAGGGAGAAGTGAAGCAGTTCCGGACCAAGTAGAGGCACAATTAACCAACCTCTCGACCCCTCCGTTCAGTACACGCAACCATTCATAATTCTAGCAGCGCAGCCCAACGCCTGTATTCGAGTGGAGTACAGTCGCTTGTCGAATTATTTCACTTATTGATTAGCTACGTTCATATTCTTTAGCAGTCAACATAGATTCAAAGCTTGCCGTGCGTCTACTACCCGCCAACTTACATATATCTGTTACGTAAAGAGACATACGGGCAACTAGATTAGAAATACAAAAGCATGCATGTAATCGGATAACAGCGATCTCAACGCACTGTCTTGGAAGACCTAATATTATCGCCACCACTTATTGCCATGTGTTTTTAAGTAAGATATGTGCAACTTTTCACACTTCAGTGTTCTTCCAGGCCATGCTAGATGATGATATCCATAGAAACACCCATATTTCCAATATTGCTGCAGTTGAAGTACATCGAGTTGAATCTCCGATTGCTTTACATGTGTTATCTAGACTGTGTAAGTAGTCTCAGCCAGGCGCAAAGGCGTGCACATGGTCTTCCGTTTGACAATTTGATACAAGCGGATGTATGGCAAAACGTCGCTCAAAACTCGCTCACACGGCTTAGAGAAAATTAGAAAACGGAATGTTCCAATTGGTGCATAATGTAACCTCCAAACTGTCATCAAACCCTAGACCTGCCGAAGAGGAAACTTCTATTTACTACATGACTAGATAGTATCTGGTTATCTAGCTATGACCAGAATTCAAATAGCGACTTGAGCACTGAACTTCGCTTTCTAGGTCTAGTCATGGTAGCTTTAGGAAAACCACTTCTACACGACGAGTTAGTGGCATACGAGCGTATATCTAGTTTTCTCGCACGTAAGGTTCTCTCGACCCGAAAGCAGCTGGGAGCGTTTTCTCCGAATTAAAGCTATGTTCTGACATCTTACTCAACATTCTGTTTACTAAATAGTCAACATTTTCCAAATGAGGTCCGGCGCCGAACTTCGCGATGATCGGATCCGCGACTCATGTTCAATTAGCGGTCCAATCCTCAGGCATATCCGACAAGACGTGACTGCCAAGTTTGGAGGAAGGGAAAACGCATCCGGTGCGGCATTACCCATTTGGTTCTACGAGATTTCCCAGTCCCAGTCTATACTACATTAATACTAAGGATCCCCAGATTCAAGCCCGCTCTCGGCATCGCTAGAACGAAATCGCCCACTTGGCGCCCCATCCTTCGCTTATCAAGCGATACCTTGGGATCTCGGGGAAGATCTGCCGATTGGTAATGAAGATGGCGGGAAATCTCAAATCTCTTTTCTTCGTCGTATCTGCGGTCGAATTTCTGTCTGGCCTTGAGCACCTCTACGTTGTAAAATAGTCGCCGTATGATCCTCCCTGGTAGAAAATCATGTCGACGGTACGGGACCCCGCGATTGAGCCAAGCGACGTGGAAAGAACTGGAGATGCGAAAATCGCTGGAGACTCATCCGAGCCGATGGCCGATGCCGATGTCGCCGAATTGGAAAAAGATGGCGAACCGCCTCTGCCATTCTCTAGAGCGCGGTGTATAGCTCTCGTGGCTACGGTTACGGGCGCCAGCTTCCTAAACGTAGTGCCCCTTTTTTTATTACTACCAAGTTTTCTTAAAATGAGCAAAGGAGGGATATTGGATAGTAAGAAAACTACTAACAACCACGAAGACACTTTCTAGTCAAGCCGTTGTTATAATCCTACCGACGATTGGGAGGGAGATCGGTATTCCTGAGACCCGGCTGCAATGGATTGTGTCGGCATATGCTTTAACTTTCGGCACATTCCTGTTAATCTGGGGCCGTATCGCCGATAGTAAGTAACCCTCAGCATCTTTCTTCAAAAGCGGAGATTTGCCTATGTAGAGTTTGAATCACGTTCCATGAGTTCTGAAAGCTTTTAGATTACTCGCAGATCGCGCTCAAGATCGCAGCCGTTGACTCTCAGTGCTACAGTATATGGAAAACGAGATATTTTCATCTGGGGCAGCGCCTTCGTGGCTGCTACTTTGATAGCTAACCCCTTCCTGCCAAATGAAATCGCTTTCGACCTTTTCAGGGGGCTGCAAGGTCTGGGAGCCGCAGCGAATGTTCCTACGGCAATTGGGATATTAGGTGTTACGTTTCCTCCGGGAAAGGCTAAGAATTATGCATTTAGCGCTTATGGTGTGTTTGATCCCGGTTGTTGCTTTCCAGAACTCCCATGTTGATCTGTCGCTAGCTTCTGGAGCGCCATTAGGGAGTGTCTTCGGAAACCTCCTTGCTGGTGGCATTGCTTCAGCCACGAGTTGGAAATGGGTGTTTGGCACTCTAGGAGCACTCGCTGCTGTGATTACGGTTGCCGGCTATTTCTTCATTCCCCCACCGCCTCCTGCTTTGACCCCGGAGAGGAGAGGACTTGCGCTTCTTGAGCATGTCGATTGGCTGGGAGGATTCCTTGTCACAGTCGGCCTTCTTGCTCTTCTGTTCGCTTTGACAGAGGGCAACGTCGTTGGCTGGAGCACTCCCTGGGTTCCAGTCTTAATTGTTGTTTCAGTCCTTCTCCTATGTGTTTTCTATGTCTGGCAGTGGTATCAAGAGAATCGCACTACAAGGAGGCCGCTGATCAAAGTTTCCATATTCAAGAACGGGAGGTTTTGCGCTGGCCTCCTGATCATGGCGCTTTTCTTCGCTAGCTTCAACAACTTCATAGTCTATGCGACTTACTTCTATCAGAATTACCAAGGTCTCAGCCCCCTCGACACCACCCTACGTTTCATCGCAACAGGCGTCACAGGTACACTAGTGGCATTCGTCGTCAGCCATCTAATCTCGCGTGTCCCAACATGGATTCTGCTCCTGTGCGCAAACGTGGCAATGTCTGTTGCATGTCTGCTGTTCGCTGTGCCGCTTCCTCGTGGAACCTCCTACTTTGCCTTTGGACTGCCAGCCTTCATTCTGTCCGTAATCGGCGCTGATATCACATGGCCTTGTTTGACACTTTTCACATCAAAGTCTCTTCCACAAGAAGATCAAGCAATAGGAGGGGGTCTCATCAACGCCTCAGCCGGCGTTGGCAGAGCTATCGGACTTGCTATCGACACAGCTATTCAGACGGCTGTGCTCGCTAGAGAAAGGGGTGTCTCTGTGGACAAGGCTGGCGAGATCCAGGAATGGGACGCGGCATCCTTAGAGAGCATTAGGGCGGCAGACTGGTTCAACTTTGCGCTCAGTCTCTTGTGCGTAGCGGTTGTCTGTCTTGCGTTTCGCGGAACAGGGATTGTAGGGAAAAAGGAAGAACCGAAGAGGGAACCCCCTCAAGTCTTGAGAGATGCTGAAAAAGCCGATACCACGAAATGAGCATTGAAAACTATAGACCTAGATTGATACTACCAGCTCATACATACTACGAGATTGCAGCCTAAAATCAGACCGTCACAACTGCCAATACCTAATACCTCCTATGCTCCCTATACAAAAGTAAACCTACAAGAAGTTGATGTAAAAGCTCCTCGTGAACAAGTTTTCATAATAAAATCACCTGGAAATATAGATTGCTGTTATAATGCGCTCTATGATCATATCATAGTCTACGATATCCCATAGCCGTTTACACACTATCATCGCATTGCTCAACCACTGTACCTAATCTTCCTCAGGCAAAGGGCTCATGCGACGTCCCCAAGCATAATAGAATTCAGTGGAGCCAACCTCTCGCTTCTTTGAAAATGCTTCTTCTGAGAGCTTGGCAGCTTCTCTACCCCTCTCCAGCATCTTGGCCTGGTATGGGTCAAAGACCTCCTTGATGCTCTCGATGTTATCTTTGTCAATCTTGCTTATAGCCTTGGCAAGGTTCAGTGCATCTGATATGGCGTGGTAACCGCCTTCTCCACGAACTGTCCTGAGATAAGTATTTGATTTGCTTTCCGATTGTGTAGTGGACTCACAGGGTGTCATAGCATGAGCAGCATCCCCTAGAAGCGTGACTCTCCCGGTTGGCATCGAGTCTATGACCAGAGTGTACTTGTGTGAAAAAAGAATTAGTTTACGACATTTCTTTGAATAGGTGCGACTTATACTTACGAGCCTGAGCACCGGGAGGGTCGACTGGGGGTCTGATCTCTTGAGAGTAGTGAGGTACTTAACTGGCAGATCCTTCGTTTTGCTGACTACAAAGTCGTACAGTTCCTGTCCAGTAGCTTTATAAGTCCAGAAATCCTTCTCGGTAGCACCTCTATTCGGAAGGAGGTTAGTTTCGAAGAAAACAGACTGAACTTCATAGAGCTGCAGGAAATGTGGCATGGAAAGGATGTTGGAGTCATACTCATCTGGCCATATCAAAGCCCAGCCGATCTTCCCAGACTCTCCATCAGGATTCATCTCTATCAGGGTAACTAGAAAAATCATGGGGGCGCCATTGATAGAGTCCATATCCACTATGTAGAGAGAATGGCCCAGACGAAGCTGCTCTTCAATCTCGTCGCCTTTGAGAGTACAGTAACCATCGATGAAACCCACTGGCGGTGTTCTGATGGGATCATGTCCGAGGATATGCTTGCGGGCTACAAGGAAAGTTAGCAGCTAGCTAAAGCTCTTATGGAGTGAATAACAGACGGTACGTACTGACACTTCGAGAGCCCTCTGCACCAACAAGGATATCGCCTTCAGCAGACGTCCCATCCTGGAAGTATATCTTTACCTTGTCACCGGTCTCCACGATGTTTTCAATCTTCTTGCTGTATTGCACCGGAATATGCGTTTCTAACCATTCAACAATCTTGTGACGAGCAGCTCGAACAATCCAACCAGACTCATCGCCTCGCACACCAATCTTGGGCTGGTTCGGTGTCTCGGGGTTGTAATAGACAACTTCAGGTTGATACTTCGTCAAGGGAAGTAAATTGCTTAACGAGGATACTGGAGGCAAGTCGTCTGGGATGGATTGTTTGAGATCATCGAGCATGCTATTGTCAAGTTAGCGAAGTTGACTCTGAGATATGATATACTCTCACCCGTGCAGGCCGATTACCCATCCTGGTCGTCGCTCACGCTGATTCTCGTCCCTCTCAAATATTTCATAGGAAATACCTTGCTTTCGCAGCGCTTGCGCTAATGCTAGGCCACCTAACCCTGCGCCGGCAATGAGAACGTCTGATGAAGAGTCAGCTCCGGCAGACGATCTAGGTCTTTTAATACAGGAATATAGTAATCTCAGGGATAAGTAGCTCAGAGGTCTGAAGTTTTTCACACGATACTGGGTGATACGTACGAGGGGAAGATGAAGCAGTCATTGTATCAAGCGTTTCAGTCGATTGACTCTCGAATCAGGATACTTGATCAAAGTGGACGAGACAAGGTGAGTGCTATCTTTCTCCCAAGTTCCTGAGATTTCTCACGTTTTATGCGGTGAGGAGCTCTTAGGCTTACTTAATTATTTATGCGAATTACTACACTTAAGGAGCGCTTGCAATCACACAGACACGATCTACACGAGGGCTGCGAGTGCAAGAAATCGGTATACAAGATATGACATTTTCGGTGTTCGCAACTTGTGTATTGTCCGAGAGCAGTCAGTCCTCATTCATGATTCAATATTTCAGCAAGATACATCTTGCTTATGATTACGCCGAGCCGCTCTGGTCGGAGACCGACCCCCGATGAGCACTGAGATGTAAAATATTACTATTTATAATGAAGGTTTTCATGAGAAGATACACGAATTGTACCTACAACCGAAGCTTTCCCGTATCCCCGTATCTCGGCCGAACCGTAATACTGAGTAGGATCCCTTCTTAAATTCCCCCGTATGATTACATCTTGCTTCATAGTTTGGAGGATTCCTGAGACTTAGATAAAAGGAATTAAATAATGAGAGCTTAAGTCTTGTGTAAAAACTTGTATTGATTTTGAGGTAGCCGCTCCATCTTCGATCTGCGTCGGTACTAATAGACAATACTTATAAGCTATTACTCCGGGCCCACACACTTCAGCCATGTCGTGCTGAACATTGCATTCATGCTACCATCAACTAACAGTAACCATCGTGTACTACTGAAAAACTAGCGACTCTAAAGCGACATCGATACTCGAGTTGTCATTTCACTTGGACAATTTCAGATACTAATACAATAACCCCCATCTCGTTCCCCCACGTACTCCGCATCATGAACTCCAAACCCCGCATGCCCCGCCATCTCGCGATATTGAGCCCCGGCTATACAGAGCTGACGATGCCGTTCACATGACAGCTCGTTCTTGGGAGAAGGTTTAAAGGCTTCAAGTCGTCTGGTCCTATATCTCTCTCCTAAAATTCTATTTTTTTGCAATATCAATTGTCGGATTGAAGAACAATAACACCTTGTCTAGTGATAGTTTGCGAAGACGACAGAAACCCAGAAGAGAGGGCACCAGAGAGGAAACCCAAAAAGGGGCAACTGAGAAACCAGTTAAAACAAAACAGTCTCTTGAAACCCAAGCACATAATGGCGAAAAACATCCTCATCACTGGCGCGGGTGGCCTTGTCGGTCCCCTGATCGCAGCCCGTCTATTAAACGACCCAGAGTACAACGTGGTACTAACAGACCTGCTCGACCCAATTGTACCCTCGGGCGTAAAATACCCACAGAACGCGCGCTGTCTCAAGGGCGACATAACAGACGCATCTTTCATCCAGACCCTCATATCCGCGGCCCAGCCACTGCACGCCGTCTTCCTCTTCCACGGGATAATGTCAGCTGGGTCAGAGGCTGACTTCGACCTCTCCCTCGCGGTGAACGTGAAAAGCGTGCAAAACCTGCTTCTTGCGCTGCGCGACTCGAACCCAGGGATCCGCGTCATCTACTCGTCGTCGCAGGCCGTCTACGGCCAGCCCCTTCCGGAAAAGGTCACAGACGACGTGACCCCGACGCCCGAGGGCACGTACGGCGCGCACAAGTTACTGACGGAGATCTTCATCAACGACATGCACCGCAAGGGCTTCATCGATGCCTTCATCCTGCGGTTCCCTACTGTTGCCGTGCGGCCAGGGCGCCCTACCAACGCGGCGTCCTCGTTTTTGTCGGGCATGATTCGTGAGCCGATGAACGGCGAGGAATGCGTCTTACCGCTGAAGGATCGCAGCTTCCGCAGCTTCGTGTGCTCGCCGAGCAGTTTGCAGGAGAACTTGTATCGCGTGCTGCACATGGACTCGGAAAAGCTGCCCAAGCACATCCGACATATCAATATCCCCGGCATCTCCGTCTCAATCCAGGAGCTCATGGATGCGCTGGCGAAGTACGGCGGCGAGGACAAGTTGAAGTTCTTGAAGGAGGAGACGAAGCCGGAGCTGGAGCGTATTTTGCGAAGCTGGGCGTCAGACTTCGACACGTCTACGCCTATCCGATTGGGATTGACGAAGGACGAGAGAGCGGACGATATCGTCAAGGAGTATATTGATTCACTGAAGAAATAATTATGTAGGATATGTGAATACCACTTATAATCTGTACGTACGAGTGGCCGAACATTTAGACAGCCTACGGCAGCCTTGCAAAAGACCTTCATGGAGCTTCATGATACCTCGTAAGACATGCAACCTTGTTTTAAAAATTGAAAATATCTAGACTTCGTTGGCAATGAGCCATCTCCGGCCTTAGGAAATCAACAGAAGTCGAAGCAAAGGCCGCACCAGTGTATATAGGATTCAATTCGGCCAACAGGGCCATGAAGGAAATTGGTACCCAAGGACCTCTGCAACCTCAAAAGATTATTATATTGTGAATAGATTCAATTCCACGCCCAGTGATTAGCACCTGTCAGTTAATCTCGATGAATTAGTTACGTGAGGGCATAGGTACTGATGTAAGGCCGCTTTCTGAGCCCGGCACACTATACACTTTTGATCATAATCCATTCATAGACATAAAGTGATGCACGCTCGCTCAACAGAGGAATAATTAAAGTTAATTTTAGACAGAGCCAGTGGGTGCACCGCTAGTCACTGCCATTTTTGCGTAGAACAGCTCCGTCTCGGCACAGATGACCATGCCATCATCCCCGGCGAAGTTGAAGTTGGCCGATGTTTGGCCCAGGAATATCTTGCCGATCAAGGTTCCAGCGGTATTGTAGACGTGAACACCATCACCAACGCCAGCATACAGACGGCCTTTCGTGTCAATGTGAATGCCTAAAATGTTGAAAAAAAAATCATGATTAGCATGAACAACGGGTGACGGAGATGGATGTTGGGGGAAAGGATCAGATCATACCATCTGGGATTCCGGTGTGGGCATGTGCGAAGGTCTTCCGATTTGACCAAGTGCCGTCATTTGCGACATCAAACCGATAACTGTGCAATGTGAATTAGTGATCTACGCCGTAAGGATGGCTTGATGGCAATTTAGAGTGAAGTAAGAGACTCACATGGTTGCTGGATAAGTTGCATTGATGCCCCAAAAGACTTGTTGGGCCCCGGTGTCGGCGACGTATGCATGCGAACCACGAGGAGAGAATACGATTCCTATGAGATGAATATCAGCACTTGCAAGACATGGCAATCAGTCGCATACGAAGCGAGTATTAGCAACATACCGTTCGGTTGGCGGAATCCATCAGCAACAACTGTGACAGCACCAGTCTTGTCGTTGTACCGGTAAACCTGGTGTGGGAGTGCTTCCGCTGGCCTGAAGTCTTGGAGCAACCCGTAGACGGGGTCTGTGAAGTATAACTCATTGTTCTTCGGGTTAATGGCCATGTCGTTTAGAGAGTTGAACTGGCGGCCGTAGTAGTTATTCAGAAGGACTTGGGGTTTCTATTGTTAGTACATGTCAAATTAAGCCTCCCGCTTAGATGGACCGTTTACCTGTGGTGTTGTATGGTTCTCTAGGATTCATCATTATAAGGTCCGATGTTTTCTCCGCACCCATACCCTCGGCTGCGAAGAGAATGGTATCCTTATATCTTATCGCTCCTGCACCAACAATTAGCACATTCCTTTTACCATGATATCAATGTGAAGATGAAGCATGTCTTTTGCTTACCATTGGGGTTCAGCACCGTAGGGTTGGAGTCAACAACGTGCACCTTGACCTCACCCGTCGCATTTCGCTTTGTAGAAACGGCTTCGGCTTCGTCAAGGCTAATCTTTTGGATAATGGCCGATTTATTCAGACCTGTGCCAGTTGCCGGGTTACCTGCACTCTGCACGAAGAACACTTCGTTGGTTGGGGGATACCTAAATGCAACTCGGTTAAACTTGAATTTCTACAGTAATAGGTATGTTGACCCCGCATCATACCATACCACAGCTTCATGGAAGATAGGATTTACATCGCTCCGCGCAATGAGCGTCAAGGTTGGGTTCGGCCCAATCACATCATAAAATTCGTCATCGTAGACATGGAAGGGCTTTTCCTTGAGAGCAGCAAGGTCGTAGCCAGGAGGAACAAAAACCTGTATCTTAGTTTAATTGCTAGCTTCAAGCATAGGAACGCTATGGACCACGACTTACGCTTGTTAAGTTAAACTCACTCGGAGGTGGGACGGAAGGCAGAACATTGAAAGCTTTCTGGTCGATAAACTGAGCTTGAGCCAGTATCTCGTGCCTCCGCTCGGGCAGGTCGTTGTAAGTGCCAATGGCCACACCGACAGAGAGCACTGTCAGTGCTGCAAGAGTAGTGAGTTTAGTCATACTCCAGCCTGTGTCTTCATTGTTTCCAGTAGGGGGCTGCCCGAGGGAGACGGCTTGTAAGTGCCTTTCTCCATGGCTGCTCGCGGACCGGCCCATCGTATTTATGCCCGTCCCACGGCCCCGACTTGCCGAGGACTACCCCTGTGGTGACGATCCTTGGCAACAGATCATCCAGTTGAAGTGTGCGCGTCTCGCGGCACCATCAAGCGACGGCGCATGCAACCAGGATCTGGAATCAACCGGCGCAACCACGCTTAGCAGCCTGGGGGCTACAGCGGCAGCGAATGGACGTCGTTACCCAAGTGATTCATGACGTGAGCAAATGCCTTTACGACTCCAAGTGGCTAGCGGAGCTGTGGTCGGTGTGCGTTGAGTGTAACTTCAAGTTGCGGGGAAGGCAGCTTCGGTTGACTGCATTCTCACGGCTGAGCAAGCGAGTCCAAGATGAGGTTTCCAACTTTCTAGGCCTTATCCACCAAACTAACCTCACCTAGGTAACAAGGCGGTATTTCCCGGCCCCCAGAGATTTAACACGGCGGTCAGACTAATGCAATGGACTTGCCTTGCGTTCGGCAATGCTTGAAGCTCAAATAACAGTGTATTGTTAATGATCAAGCGTTCAGGCAACGGATAGATTAACATGTATCAATGTGTGAAACAAAGTTTTAAGGTTATTTGGTAAAATCTAAACCCCACCCTCCCGCCTACATTTCCTGTGTTAATACTAGGAGTAAGTAGGAAATGTTCTCGAAAACAACGCATTTAGAAAATCAAGCATCCTATTCTAAAAGTTAGCTGCCGACTTAGTAGATCGTGGGGAAATGAATTTCCAGATCGCGTACCAGCGTACTACACCTTGACCCCAAAATGGCACCCACAACCCCCCACGCCCATCTCTGACACTATCTCTATACTTCCTAACCTCCCTCCACATTGTCTTAGGTTTAGTACTATAGATCTAGCCGCATATATTTTAGCATTGTAAAGATAGCTTAAGTTCAAAGTAATTGTCTCGATCTTTGCTATGTCTCAACGGTAACGGTGAGGCAATTGGTTTCACCGATATCGGCATGGCAGAGCAGTGAAAAGCAATTGTGTGGCCTCTTTATCGTTTGACTTCGCTCAACACTAACAATAGAAGCCATAGTAGTAAGTCTTGAGACTACCTACATAGCCTCGCTACCTAACATATAAGTATATACATAGGCCTTGTATATGTATGTATAGGTGAAAGCTTGTAAGTATATAGATACCAAGCATACTACGCTCGGAAGATAGCATGAGTATGCGCTACAAAACCGAGTGAACATCCTTGGTTTCATGGCAAATTTCGCATAGATGAGCACATAGAGAGAGATGGTTGAGCATGGCCTCCGGAACAGAGGTTGCATTTTTATATTGATCAAACTTTACCATGAGAAGCCAAATGTGCATTTTGGCCCCTTTTTCCACCGAACGCCAGCAAGACAGAAATAGATAGACAGGTATAGAAGTATCATGCTAGACTCGGGTAGAAATCGTTATCCATTTACTGCTCCATGGCCTCCCCAGTCTCCTTAACCTCGTCATCACCCCACAGACCCTCAAGTTTAAACTCCTTTGCCCATTCCGTGACAATTTCCTTCTGATCTATCATGACAGCAGGCGCCACTTGTGCGCTACCCTTGGCTGTACTTGCTTTAATGCTGTCGAGAGAGACGGGCATCTTCGGTGGCTCTGCCCATCCTTGGACACGCCCGTCTCGCCAGTCTGTTATGACTGTCATGGCGGCAGCCGGCAGATTGGGAACTCCGCCACGACCTAGCCTTCCCCTCTTCCGAGCGACTTGTACCAAAAAGTCGGTAGTAGAGTCTCCATCGGTAGACATGAGCGGCGGGAGGTCGTAAACGTCCAAAAGCTTTTGTGATAGCTCCGGCGAAGATGATAGTTTCTTCAGGAGCAGAGAAACAGCGGGTATAGGGTCGTCTATCTGCTTGGGGGGGATTGCGTTTAGGAGGATGAGGTGGGCATGTTCTTCGACCGCGGTCCTCTTGGGATTGTCACTGTCGGCGGTAGAAGGGAAGACAATTCCAGGGGAATCGAGTAAGGTGAGTTTGCTATCGATCTTGACAGCTCGGATACTCGTTGTGACACCAGCCTCGGCACCAGCAGGGCAAGCAGCCTTTCCTCGGCCACCCAGCCCAGAAAGGAGAGCGTTGATGACAGACGACTTTCCGACATTAGGGTATCCTATCACACCAACGGAAATGGCGCGCTTCAGCTGTTTTGAGGCAGCGAATGACTTGAGAGACTTGAACAATGTTGCAGATGTGCTCTGTACGGTGAGGTCGCGATGGTTGAAAGTCTGTGAGTTCGGGGCGGACTTCGAAGCCCGGAGAGGTAGAGTAGGGAAATATCGCCTGAGATAGGCTAGCCAATCCTTCAGCACATTGGGTGGAATGAGATCAATCTTGTTCAGCACGAACATTAGCCTCTTCCCACCATTGGCGGCGGCCATGACCATGCGTTCCACCTCCTTTGACCTGGTGCTCTCGGGGTCGCGTGCATCCAAAACATAGAGCACAACATCTGCCTGTTCCACGACTTGCTTAAAAACCTTATCGTGGGCTTTCCTCGACGACTCATAGACATTGAAGTCGTCCCCATCAGAATCTTCGTCGTCATCGTCATCCATATCATCGCCACTTTGCAGCTCGCGCTCATACTTATCGGCGGCCGCTCTTGCGCTCGCTAATAGGGCAGCCATTGGATTTGAGGAGCCACCGCCGTCTTCGTCTTCGTCTTCGTCTTCGTCTTCATCCATCATATCGCTGTCGTCGAAAGTGGCTTCCATACCATCCTCATCAACGTCGTCCTCGCCTTCTGGGCCGTCGTTGGCTTCTATTGTTCCTCCCGTCTTGGCGGCCTTAGCCATCTCCCGCCGGCGCTGTTGTTCTTCTTGTTTCCTCTGTCGGGCCTCTTCAATCTCGTGCAGAATCTTTTCCTTATACGGGAATAGATTGGGGATGCCGGGATCCTTCTTCAGCTTGGATTTCCATTGTGGGTTCTTCTTTGCTTCTTTCTTTGCTTTGCGCTGCTTTGCAGCTGAGGCCTTCTCGATCTTGTGTCTTAACCGAACAGGCGTGCGCTTCGACTTGGGCTCTAGACAGTAAGATGTTGGTTAGCCTAATAGCGAACAGAAAGGTGAGAATTGAACCGACTTTTAGGCTTATTGATACCGCCCATCTTGTACTGCTGTATGTTCGATTGACAACCCGATACACAGCAACTTTGAGGATATTCAATTGCATGTACCGCCGGACGATACCACTATCTTGAGAGCTATCACACAAAAAAAGTTGGCGCTCTCACCAGTAAAATGCAGTTCTGCCGTCCTTGACCGCCAGCGATAAGCCCCACTAAGTCATCGTAGCAGCCCGCTATCAGCGGAACCCCACCACTGTCTCCGGACCCCTGGAGAGCCTGGAGATAGAGGGATAGAGGGGCTCTGTCTATCCTCTGGCTCACTATACATATCTACCTGAGGCGACGATGGGCTCTCTTAAAAGCGACCTACGTGCTTAAGCTACAGGTACAGTCACAACTTGAACCTCGTCCTGACGGGGTGGGTAAGAAGGAGAAAACGATGGGTAACACGCCGACCTCTTCCACCGGTCGTTTATTCTATCAGTATGTTTGGGCACCAAAGCCAAGCATGACTCGGAGGAAAACCGCAGGCGGAGTTTCTCTATTCGGTAAAGCCTTCCGCTCCACGCATCGTGAGCCGCCCGTCTGCACCGGAGTATTTTTCCCCTGCGATGTAGGTAGATGACACTTGATACACTACATAAACCATTTGATAGACGTATGCTTGTTTCTTGTTGATGAAGAGTAGATAGACCACAGCGGGGAAGGTATTACCAAGCACTGTACCTTGTCGCCTCATCTTCACGAGCTCGTTTAGTAACAACCATCTCTGCCCGGGGAGGTCGGGAAGAATACGAAAGACGACCAGGATGGCGTACTCTGCACCCCCCGAGACCGTCACATTTGATGGTCTCCTTTTTGATATGGATGGAACAATAATTGATTCCACGCCTGCTGTTGTGAAGCATTGGCATACGTGAGCACTCCCTGCCCCTGTCCGCCCCAACCCCCCTCACTATCCCCCATCCCTATGCCCATCCCTTGACCCTGGCAGCGGCGTTGACATGAGATTCGCAGCATCGGTAATGAGATTGGGGTCGACCCCGAAGTCATCTTACAGACCTCGCACGGTCGAAGATCTGTAAGTCATCTGATCCCTACCAGCACCTTTGTATCCTATTCTCCGAGTCAAGTTTCGGTGTTGTGTAATGACCAGGGCGGGAGCAATTACCGGTATACTAATTCACGGATCGCACAGATAGATATTTTGAAGCTGCTTGCTCCTGAGAAGGCCACTGTGGAATGTAAGTCAGACTATATATAGGGAGCTTCGGCGGTAGTCTAAGGGCCGAACGCGGGAATGGCGTTTTATCCTGAGATTGGCCTTCTGCCCTGCTTTCTTCCCTAAACCCCTTTCAAGTCTCCTACCTGATGTCTTGTGGGGCTGAACAAGACGACTGATCCCTCGGATTTGCAGATGTAAGACAGATGGAAGCCCTGATGCCGCAGAAATACGGCAACGAGGCTGTGGAGATACCTGGTGCAAGAGCATTGCTCCAGCAACTGATCGCCGTCAATGCCCCATGGGCTATTGTCACCTCGGGAAGTGAACCACTCGTCCATGGGTGGCTTGAGGTATTGAAGCTCCCGCATCCGGCCCACCTAGTCACAGCTGAGTCTGTAGAGAACGGCAAGCCGGATCCAACCTGCTATAAGCTAGGGTGGTCGCGGCTTGGGCTCGCGGCTGATGCCAACGTCCTCGTACTCGAAGATAGCCCTGCTGGTATCAAAGCGGGCAAAGCGGCTGGTTGCAAGGTGATCGGGCTCGTGACAAGCCACACCATGGAGCAAGTCATCGCTGCCGAACCAGACTGGATCGTTGAAGACTTGCGCTCAGTCAAGATGGTGGCATATGGTGAAGACGGCCGGGTGACGCTAGAGTTCTCTAACGCCTTGATCTCCAAGGTCCAATGAGGACACACCTGATATGACCAGGCTGGGGTGCCAACCATAATGACAATAGAGTCGATAGTTTGTCTATCTTCTCGTGGCGGCTGATACTCGCTATTGAGAGCGCAACCCTAGAACGTGATGCCGGCAGTCCCTCATGGGGGCCAGAAGAAGCGAGAAGTGCCGACTCAGGGGTATTCTTTGACAGCGTGCCTGGCATCTTCGTCTAAGATGCATGCTGTTGCCTCGGCCCCCAGCCTATACATCTGACCGTGCATCAATACGCGATAATAACAGCGCCTATATTCTCGAATGGTGCCAGGACGGAAGTACGGCATAGAATTGTCAGAGTTACATAGAGAGATCCATTTCATAAACCACATACATCTAGAGTAGATTGACCAAAGATAGATACATGCCCACCGCACGCTGTTGTGGATAATGCTTCTCGATCGGGGCCGCCAGAATCGGATTGATTGTTATCCCAAGAGATTAATCTCGTCTAGTAATAGTGAGGCGGGCAAACGGGAATTGACATAGGCCAGTTGCCTATCGGAATCTAGCCAGACCATACCTGTGGGGAATTCCGCGATCTAGACCCGACTCGCGATGCCAAGCTGGCGGGAATGGTGGTTTAGCAGAAGTCGAAATCGCGGAACGGGGTCTCAAAATTGTCACGAGCCATGGGGATAGAGCCGAATTATTTCCGAGAAGGTCTTCAACGATGGAACATAACAAGAGGCGCCGAGGAGACCAAGACGTAATCCATTTAACCTTCATTCAAGCCGGCTTACATCTACCCGCCCGGGCGCTCCCGGAACCCCGGTGCTGAAGACCCGGCGCGATGTCGCAAAACTGCAGGGCTTGAGCGGTGCAGCGTGCCTAAAATGATGATCACCAGAACTATCGGTCTCGCGCAGACTCCGTGTACGTACGTATGGACGCGTGTGCAGGTCTCAGTCCTCTTGTTTGAGAGCGAAGAACGTCCATCTCGCCCTGTCAGAATCAACTCAATTGCTAGATATGTTGACCAGCTGGTTTGGTCGGTTGGTTACCTCCTCGATGTGCCTCTACATCAGCAGGTATTAATGAGGCAACCCGCGTGTCACAAGACCGCCTGTCACATCATTACCGTCGACGCCGGTAACCCCGACCAGGAGGCGATCCAATAGCCTGGAGCGACTGAACCCTAACATACCTACGTATCATTGAGTGAGTGACTGGCTGACTTGTTAGTTGATTGATTGGCTTCAGGCACGACCGATGACGAAGAAAGAAGTTCGGAAGACACCTATTGTAAACACACAGTCGTCACAGACGTGTGAGCGTTACCTACCTAGGTATTCAGCCAACCCAGTCCAGAGTTCCCAGTACAGCCCAGTACCACTGAATTGCCATGATCGTCACGACTAAAAACAAGCACTCTTGGCTCGCTACCTACTTTGGTAGGTCGATCACCGTACCGTGTATGTAATGCAGCGAGTGTTGATGGGAAGTGTGTAAGTAGTGTAGCGCCGGGCGGTTTTGGCCCCTCTCCCCCATCTTTTCTCGCCCACTTACTTTTCATCTGCCGAACCCCAAATCGACCGGCTCTTTCAGGTCACGATCACCAGAAGATCAATCCTGTGTCGTGCCGCTGGACCCCGCGACAACTACTGTAGAGAAGAAAAATAAAGATAAAAAAAGGATGGCGAGGCAGGGAGGGAAAGAGGGGAGGGGAGAAGAAGAAAACCAGCAACAACAGAGCCTGATGGCGATACGATACGATGTAAACTCTGCTGTGAAGTCAGATCTTCCTACAATATTCGCTATAAGCAGCCGGCAGTTAAGATCGATTACTTTATCATCTAACCCTAAGTAAGTAAATGCGCCTCTTTTGCGCCTAATCGTACCATATCCTTTTCACTTAGACGGTACTTAAGCTACACACTTACAGTAGAAGCTGGGTTTGGTTCTGGTGCAACATAGTTAGTTCTCGTCACAATCACGTCACCTCAAACCACCAGCATCACCAGACGATCGTGTCGTCGTCGTCCCATGGTACTGTGCCGCGCCGTACCAAACTAACCCTCAAGGTAAGTTAAAGCCTCCCGGTATCGGGGGTTCTTTTGTGTTGATGCCTTTTCTTACTTACGCCAGCAAGGTATCAAAGTATAATTCTAAGACAAAGAAAGAAGTAACCACGGCTGGGCCTGCCCACCACAACTGTAGCCTGTTACCGACCGTCTGTTTTTGGTTTGTTTTTTTTGGTAGCCGTCGGTTTGTCAGATTGACAAAAGTCCGTCATCCCTACAATAAGGTTTGTAATGAGTGAGACTTGCCGACCTCATGTGTACCATAACCCACCTACATGATAGTATAGTGAACTTACTATGTACTAGGTATATCTTGGGTTTCCTGTTTCGTGTCGTATTGTCACCAGGGAAAATCTCATCCATACTGGTTGGTACCTGGCATTAGTGTCCCCATCGGGTACGGCTACCCACCGCAATACATAGCTCTCTTTCGCCCTGGCAATAGTTGATAATATGCTTGATTATAAGGTTGAGTTACCATCTCACTTATTGGCCGGAAGAGTAAGTTACAAGGCACGCATAAGTAGGTAGTAACCGGTAATTCAGGTAGCAGATTGTGCCCCCCAGTGCACTACTCGCTAGTGTGATGTAGTAGAGCGGCACGGGTCGTGCGGGCTTATGCGATGATAACTTAGTCCCTGTCTTAAGATCACCTCTCGCTACCCGCGAATGCCATCTGTTACGCCGTGTTTGATCTACGTCCAGGTAATTTCAAGGTGTTAGATCCTTTGGGTTTTTGGTTATAGTGGAACCGGTTGCAGCTAGATCTCATTTTCGAGAAGTGAATTTTTGACCCCCAAGGATTTATATAGATAGCACCTAGGCACTGCACTGCTGCTGGTGGTGTAGAGGCTCGAAATTGACCGGGAGAGGGACAAGATCTGTTAGCAACCGTATCGTAATACCTAGTTACCCAAGCCTATTTCCCGCATTACACGCACATTACCTACCTAACCTACTGTTTACTTATCTTGTGGCGTGCTGTGGGACCTTATGAAGCTAAAGCATGTATGGTCCTTTTCACTCATCTCCTTGTCAGGTAAATGTAAATCACCACCACCGCACAATACATTCCAGCTACAGGAGTGGCGCCTGTCCCTCGCTGACCTAGGTGAGGCGGGGAACGAAGAGAGAAAAAGAAAAAGGGAAAGAGATTGATAGGTAATGCCTGGACAACTAACTAACCAACTACCTGCTTAAAAGAGGGGAATTAAGTAACCTTGCCGGAGACAGAAGAGCAGCACAAATCTCTTGAAATCGGCCCGGCCCCAAGTACATTCACTACTGTACACTTAAAGTCAAGTCCGCTGTCGATCTCCCCGCGCGTAGGTGGGTAGTGTAAGTATCCGCTTGGAGCTTACAATGATTTTCGGCTTTCAGAGACACTTACGCGATCTTCGTTGCTCGCCGAATTCAATTCCTTAGCAACTTACCTGCTATCTTGAGTAGCCTAAGCGAGTACATGGTAACGTGTTGTGTCTACTGTTGACATGGCGTGGAGAGGGGGAGGAGAGGCGCGAACCCGCGTTCGAGGACCTGAATGGCCGACGTTCCCTCTTTCATTTCTTTTCTTTTTCTTTCGTCTTCTCATGCACGGAAGATCCAAAGTAGTGTAGATCAAGAAGGGCACCCACATACCGATACCCACGAGCATTCTTTTTTTGCATGCATCTACCTGGCAACACCATAATCATTCATTCAAGCACTGTACCCCGACGCAACGAGTTTCTTGCTACCTAGTCTTTCGCGCTGTGACCGATTCCATCGCGCGTGCAGAAGCGTCTTCTAGGCTTTGGCGTTAGGGGGGAAAAGAGATAAGTGCCTAAAGCGTCTTGCGTGAGAAAAAAGAAAAAATAGAGACCAAAGGCTAACTTAGTACATCTGTAAGCAAAAAAATTGATCGGCGCGCAAGGAGTTCGAGGTTTTCGAAATCGCACACCCCCAGCGTTCCCGACAATATGGATAGGACGTTGTCGGATAGCGACGGAGGCGCAAAAATGTCAGACAGAAAGTGACTCGTCACATCGTCCCACACATATGCTCTTCTCTTTCGCTTTATCCAAGTCTATCGGGTGGATGTGGCAGAGAGAGAGAGAGAGGAAGTGAGCAGGTAGGTAGGTACCGAGGGAAAGAAACAGGCGTCATGCGCCGCCGCCCCTTTGCATCCCGAAACCGCCGTCCCGGTTCAGGGAGACGGACGAGGTGGATGATGAAATATGTCTCTTGCTTGTTGTACAGTACACTAATGATCGCGATCGCGCAGTGCGCTGCTCGTATTCCATTCATCTAGTGCTACCTACCTATCTACCTGCCTATCTGCTATTACGACTTACTGCTGCACACTCCTTCCGGGGCCGCGCTGGGTATGTAGGTTACCTACATGGTACAGGCAGAGAAACGGTACTGCCTGCGTTACCCAGGTAGCTTCTAGAAGAAGAAATGTGGCGCAAACAGCGCTCGTCGAACACGAGTTGGCGAGATTAAAAGCTCGGCTCCTTCGTGTTGCATACAAGGGTTAGGGGGGTTTCGATGTCGAATGCAAGTGTGAGATTATCTCGCTGTCCGTAGCCGTGAAAACGAGATCAAGTCGCACGGCATTCCAAGTCGGGTTTCGGACATGATCCGAGAAGAAGACCACGATGGCCGGCTTCATGTAGAAGGGTAAGGTCCTTGAATGGAGAAAATTCGAATGAGAGAGACCAATAGAATAGGTTAGTGATAATGACCCGGTTTGAGCGAAGCAGACGGACATTGCATAGTGAAATGCGTCATAATTCCGTAACTTATGTCTCAAGGATGAAGAAGTTTAGGTACAGACAAGTTAGATCGATGCTGCTGGTCCCGTCAACGCGGGGAGATCGACGGTCACTAGATAAATGTCCCACCTTCAAATTGCGCAACGCCGCGACGAGGCGCGACGGTGGACGAAAGGTGAATCCATTGTGGTTCCCAGATCCATGGCTTCGGCATTAACCTTGAGAGACCGTTAGACAAACGTACTTTAATGGCGTCTACTTTTGCTCGGGTCTGTGTTACATTGGGGTGTCTCATTAGGTCGCATAAACGAAAGCCAGAGAGATGGTGAGATAGGGGGCCCCAGAAGACAAAAATTGTCTGAGTTCACATGAACTACCGGTATGGCAATCTCGCGAGATCCTCGCTGCTCTCGTCTATCGGAGCCTCTTTCTGCAAGGTCCCGGATGTGCTCTCTTCCCTGATTCTACAGTGTGCGGAGCGGAAAACGCATAATCCTGTTATCGAAGACTCAAAAGCCCTAACCTACCTTGTGCCTGGCTTACAGTACCTGCGCGCAGCCATTGCGAGCGGATGGTTGCAGCGCTGCTCGGGATTATTCCAGAGCATCCATCCTAGCCCCTGCGTCTAAGACATGCAGGCCGATAGCAATCGAGAGATAAACAGGGCGGTCTGTGTGCATGTGCGCGTGACTGAACTGTGAGAGATGGGTAAGAGAGAGAGGGGCAGCGAAGAGAGGAAGAAAAAAAAAAAAAAAAAAAAAAAAAAGGTAGCCAGCCCCATCGGGGATTTACTTGATGCTGATCTTTGGTGTGGTCGCCGACCTGAGTTTACCGTAGCCAGCTGAAAGCGGGCGG